AAAATCGGGTTCCGCACGTCACTCGCTGGAATTCCCGTAAATCGTCTGCTCAAATTTGTTGTTTCGTTGTTTCTTTTTTTTTTTGAGTTTTTTGATTTTTTGTTTGGCCCGTTGGCTGGTTGTTTCTAAAAAATTGTTTACAGCTATACAGCCTCATCTTCGATCAATAAATCCGGTTTCCATTCGAACAAAACAAAAAGAAGCCAACGAATATTTCGTATACGTAGTTTTTTGATTAACTTTCGCCTAAATAATTGCACAATAAAAATTGTATGGAATTTCGTTTGTTGTTTTGATCGCATTTTTTAGCTCTGCACAAAAGTTCGACTTTGGCTTTGGCTTGGCCCCCTCACTCACTCACACCCACAAGCCAGAGCTGTGTCTGTGTATCAATTAATTGTTCTGTTTGGCTATTTATAGATTTTGCGGTAAATTCGCTAATAATACTCAAATTTCAACAAGCCAGCACCCGCACTCTAACGCCCATTGCCCCTCGTCCAGCGACTCCCCCACCATTTTCGCCCCGAGTTTATTAATAATTTGCAAGCCGAACCCAATGAGCAGTTAAGAATAATAAAAATCATTTTATATGATCCATGATTCATGGCCATGACAACTCTGTGCAGAGTCTTTGCCTGGGCTTATATGGCCAGGAATCGGCCGAGATTCTAGGGTGACTAATTCGCGAAGGAAATATCATCGGATCGGACCGATTGGGGTAATCTGGTGGCGGCTCCAAAAACGGCACTGAATCAAATGGCTTATGCTGATTGGCTCGGCAATCAACAGATGATCAAAATGTGTCCACAAAGCCATAAAAAGAGATTTTGTAGATTTAAAAATTATGATTTTGAAACTTAAGATAGTTTTTTCTTGAGCTCCGAGCCGAACCAAATTGGGTAATGAAAAATGAATCAACTCAACTCTTAATCTTTTCTTATTAGATTGCAAATCTGATTTAAAATAAAGTTTTCCATCAAAAGAAAACTTAGAGTCAAAGAACTGAATTTGTGTTATGGCAATCAATTTTAACATTTTTCATGTAACTTCATGGTAGTAAATATACGTTTTTATACGATTTGGGTTCGCATTTTAAATTATTTATACAATTAAAAAACAAGTTTCAAAAACTACATTCACTTGATTAGGCAAATATAAATGTATATAGCCTCTCCATTAGGCTTTTCTTAATCAGAAATATATATCGGAGTCTTCCCAAAGAAAACTTTTCTCAGGCACTCAAACGAGATATAAAAACAAAAACAATTTAAAGCTTCCCTTTAATTTCTTTAAATATAAAATAAAACTAAATAAGAAACAAGTTTTTAATCAGGCAAACTACAGTCGCTTTTCCAACATCAATTTGTATAGAAAGAACACAGGTTATTTGAAAACTCTCCCAAGAAAAACCCATTTAATTAAACTATATGATGTGTGACTTTTATGGAGCACTTATTCCGGCACATTTGGGTTCGGCTCGATTCAGCTCAGTTCTGTTGGGTTCTTTTTGTTCGGTTTGGCAATGATTCGAACGCTATTAAAATCGCATTACCCATTGGGAGAGTAGAGCCCGGCGGAAGGCGGAGGACAGGACCAGTTTGAGGTCGGTCTTCACTGTGGTCCTGGCACTCCGCAGTTGGGCTGGGCTGGGCCCATCGATGAGGCCGATGATGATGATGATGATGATGACGATGATGGCTAATAGCTTTGTTAGCTTTTATACGTTTGTCTGGCTTGTGACTTTATTATGTCGTTCGATGCATTCGTTTCCCCCCATCACACCCCGGCATACGAAATTGGTTACCTCTGGTTGTTGGCCCATTGTCTTGAGCAATCGTCAACGTCATGGGCTGGGGTCTGGTCTTGGGCCTTGTCTTCATCTTCAGCTGCAGCTGTAATCGTTTTTCGGCTTGGGTTTCGGTTTTGGTTTCAGTTTCGGTTTCGGTTTGTGTCAGATGGAATTGTACCAAATACAGTTCAAGTCCCGAGCCCTCCTTGCCCCGAAGGGCCTCACATTTGACAAATGTGCGTTTTTAGCCATCTCATTGTTGTGGCAAACAGCAAACAGCAAACAGACTTCAATATGCAAATACATTGAAATTAGTTGCCAGGCAGCGATCGGAATCAGCGGGGAGTTTCAGCTTGGATTGGATCCAAGCCGAGGCTGGAGTCGTGTCTTGTAGTTGGCCTGTGGAATTTGCATGATTTGCCAAAGTCTCTGGGGTTTTTTGGCGCCGCTTGCGGGGGATTACGACTGATCTCGGGGCTTAATGGCCATGCGGCTGTAGGTTGTAAGTCGTAGGCATTCCGCTGTTAATTGAATTAAGCCAGCGACATGGTCCACTCCGAAGGTAATTGGCAGGAGGCACTGGTATAGGCACAGGCACTGGCACTGGCAGTGGCAGTCCAGCCGGGCAGGGCTTTTAAGTGGAATTCGCGATGGCGAGAGTGTGATAAGGATGGAGTAAAGTGGATATATATAAGGGAGTACGAGTATATACCTACCGCCGATCATTAGAGGCTCCGTCTAGACGCCGTCTGCGTGCCATGCGTAACCCTTTCGGGGGCCCAGAAACCAGAACCCAGACCCTAGAACCTAGAACCCTAACCAATTTTCTGCAGCTCAAGTGCAACCCCGAGCTCGGTTAATTGCCATGGCCTTGTCGGTTGGGTTGACGCCATGTCGGAACCATTAGAAACCCCAACGCGAGTCCATAATCATTGGCTCTCGGCCCTCGGCCACTTTAATTGGCACGACATCGTCTAAGTCTGAGTCATGTAATGCCGACCGACGACGGCTAACCAATTACACACATTATAGAATAATACGGAGGGCCAAGATCTTAGGAACTGGGCCTCAAATTAAATGCCCTGCTAATTTCCACTATTGCTCGGCTATTTTCGGATCAACCTTAGGCCCCACCAGCTCCGGCTACTCCGGCAGCTCAGACCCAACCGATTTCTCAACTCATTCACTCAATCGCACATTAACCTCAGGCTGAAAGAGCGACTGATTTGGCGATTTGGAAATTGCGTACACTGCACATGTACACATGTGGCACGATCACCAACGCCATGGGCATTAAAACATGAACAATGAACCCACACGATAAGCCGAGTGCCCAGGCAATCCAATTGAAATCAACTCGAGCTCTCGGGCCCTTGACCAGAATCAAGAATCGTATTTGGAATGGCAGTCGAAGAGTGCTCTTGAATTGAGCGATGGGGGGGAATCACGGCGACATTGGAGCTCGCTGTTACATAATCTCTGAGGAAAACTGCGACTTGTTTCTTGCTGGCTGCTGCTCAATGGTGATTAATTTGAAGACCTCCACTTTATCAAAGTCATCTAATTCTTGTAGTCGCACAAAGAATCATTTCCCAGAAACAGAGAAATGAATTAATGAGGCATATATATATATATATATATATAGTTGTTCCCACTTTTGATTTGCATTGTCCTTGTCAACTGACGCTTGACAAATTGCACCTAATCACAGGGAGCGGGCTCAGGCAGAACAACACCACTTCATCGGATCGTCACGTAGTCAATAGCTGCATTCGCTGCTCCTCGTACGTGTGTATGTTCGGCGTTATCAAGTGCAGAAATTAACATATTATTCAGAGCTCTACATATATACATATAGTCCAACATTAGCTGAGGTCTTATCAGGTCGGGCAGTGTGACAAATACCGATTAAGGGGGGTATACGAGGCGTGAAAAGTACTTTTTACCTACAGAAATGTTTTCAGTTATTGTTATTCATACTCCTCAGATGCCTATCCTAAATTTATGATGTTAGTCTTAAAACTCATAGGGCTAACTACCAGAAACTTATGTTATAATACGCCCTTGATATAACATTGTTTCCCATAGATTAGGGTACCTATATGGTTCATTACTTTTCCTAACCATTTGGCTCTTGTTCGCATGCCGCTGACATTTGTTAGGTCAAGCACCGATTTGGGCCATCCAATCCAAATCTCTCTTTCTCAGCTCTCCCAATCGCCGCAGGGTGTGTCACACGATCTTCGATAGGAAATCAAGCCGGGGCTTGGGATTACGCCGGGGATAGGGATTAGCGCTTAGTGATTCACTGAGATTCGTATCCGCATTTGGTGCGTTAGGCGTTCGCCGTTCGTCGGTCGTCGGTCGACGTTCGACTTTCGGCGTTCAGCTGGCGCCACTTTGAAGCGACCAGAAATCAATAAAAAGTCAAAAAACCAACAGAGAAGCTGAACGACAGCAAATCTTTGGCGAAAATCGCGGTGCTGTGCTGGCTCAAGACAAATAATAAAATATTATGCGCCATCGAAATTAATTATAACTCAAACAAGCATTACAATATTCCCTGGCTGGCGCCAGCCCGTCAAAGATCATTAACATTTTTATGATCCGCCAGTCGAACAAAGAGCCACCACACATAAGGCTCGTATCTGTTGTTACCTGAACCAACACTCGAACACTTTCAGATACACAACTACAATATGCATAGAGAGACTCGTACACGGATATACGCACCCATAAATCGCAAAACTAATAATGTCCAGGTTGTCTTAACACCTCCCAAAACAAAAAGAAGAGGCGGGCGAGGGCTGCTCTGATGATTCGCAGAATTCTATCTGTCTATCTTTATATGGGATCTTGGGATTTTGGGATTCTGGGTTCCGGGCAGGAGTCGTAAAACCCAAAACGGGATGATTTACTGTACTGGCCAAAATTTCACCCTGGGCGGCAAGTGTGTTTGCACTCTCCAAAACAACAGTTGTTGCACGGGCACCGGCACGGACACAGGCCACAGGCACACCACCACAGCCACCAACACCGATGCTGACAAATCGGTTCTAAATTTAATTTGAACAACAAAGTTGTAGGTACAAATTGGTACAAGACACCTGCAGAATATCCAAACAAATCTATTTTCGCCCGCTGCGCTGTTATTTTTAAACTAACCGGCTTGATCGTGATCTTTCTCCACCAAAACACAATTTCTTTCCAGTCATAATTCACGCGAGCCACAGCCACAGCCATAGCCATAGCCACAACAAAAACCGAAAGCGAGGCACTTATCGAGAATTGTGCAGAGGAAAAACTAATAGAGATTTCCGCGAACATCGACCGATTGTGAAAATGTGTTGCCAATCAAGTGGTCAGTGGAAATTTTCTGCGCAGCAGCCACCAAAATCATCGGCGCCAAGGCGGCTTTACACAGGGATTTGCGGACTCAACCAGGCCCTGATCCTCACCATAATCCTGCTAGCCGTGCTCCAAATACAGACAGTAGCCGCCGGAGCGGGTGACAGTCTATCAGGTGAGTTTGTGATAGTGTTTAAGTCTCATTTTGGCTGGGCACCTAAGGGATCATTGTTGGTTTTGTTTTAAGGAAAGAACATCCATAAAGGTTTCTTGGGCAGTTAATAAACATAAAAAAGAGTTTGAAAAAGGTTTCTGAAAAGTGAAATCCAAAAGATCCTAGACCCTTTTCTGTAACAAACTTAAGTATCTCGTAAACAATATTTTAACGATCATTTGAGGACCATTTCTAATTTGATAATTGTTTTATCACTTTTTGGGGTATAAATTTTGTTTCCCATACGATCGTCAAACTTTCAACCAACCTTGATGAAGATCAACATTCCTCCCGAAACTTGGAAAATATTATTCAAAGACTCCCTCAGATGTGTGCATCTAAGCGGCTTGCCGGACTTACTACAGCTTATGACTATGAATCATGGATTTTAGCTGATTTTTACGAGCTTATAACAGCTTTAACTGCCAACCAATGCGATCGGTTATAGAGCGGGGTTATATACTTATTTCAAGCGTTTTTCTACGGAACTTTTTTGTCATTTTCAGCTGAGTCAGAGGCGACTTTTGCCAATTGCACTTGGTAACCTTTAACTGGGCGTTGTTTTTTATGAATTTCACATCAATCTAAGATCTGGAGAACCTTTTTAATAATCAAGACTTAAGTCTTAGTTATAAAAGACAGCATTAAACTTCAGATTAATGTTACATAAACTAACTTGACTGGTTGAAGCAAATATTAAAAATGTAATCTAATAACTTGGCTCTTTAATTTTGAATCTTTATGATCTATAAAGACAACTTTTAACCAGTAGAAAATGTTTAATCTTTATTAGACATAATCAATTGATTTTTGATTATTTTCCTCGCAACCCGCTCTCCTCTCGCTAGGCGTACGCTCGTGAATTCCGCTCGAACCCGTGCCGCCGTCTGCCTCTTTCCTCTTTACCCCTCATCACTCCTCCGATGACCCCCTCTGACCCCCCTTAATCCCTCTTTCCATTCAATTGGCTGGCGCTTAATCTGCGACTGTGATTAATCGGAGAACGTCGCCAACGCCAGCAGATGGGGGAGAGGAAAGGAGAAGGGGGCTTAAATTGGGGAGGTGAGGGAGCGGAGGAGCTAGGGCGGTCCGGCGGTATTAGCTACTGACTGAGCATATTCAAGCGGCGACTTTATTTTCGCTGTTTTCGTCTGGGCCCCTCTAAAAAACACACATTGAGTGGGCTTTTTTATGGGTTTTCGAGTGTGTTAAATGTAAATAAAAATCGCATAAATTAGATATATTGCAATGCCGATATCGGGTTACTTGAACCAAGTTCATTAACTGTTCTAGTCGAAAAGAGAAAGGAATGTAGAAAGTCCGCCAGCGGCGAACATGATATTTGTTTTGGATTCGATTAGGCAGAGGAAAATTTCCAATTGATTTGAAATTGTGGGTGTGGCATTGGGAAAAGAAGTGGGGAGAACAGCAGGACACAATCGCATAACAGGAAAGAGTGGACCAAAAACAACAATCATCCAGAGTCCAGCATCAAAGAACAAAGCGAACCAAAAACAAACAAGCGACCAAATTACACAGATTGTTTCTGTTTCTGGAGGGGATCGGGGGCAGAGATCAAGTAGGAGGAACCACGATAATAATGCAGAATAAAACAAAGTTCTAAAGCCGCCCACAGAGATCACAAGACGAAGAGGAACAAGATGAGAACAAGAAGGTAGCCCGAATGGATCACTCCTTCCATTCGTCTTACACAGAAAACTCTTGGGGTTAAAGAGGTTATAAGGCTAAAATATTTATAATGTTTAAAAGGTGAAATGTTTATACCTAAAAGTAATCATACTATAAATAATGAATAAGGATAAACATAATGTTAGAAATTTATAGCATTTTTCTTACGGTGTAGCGCCGGCGTCTTCATTTATTGCCCTGAACAGCGGGTGCGAGGGAGAGGTTCGGAGTTGGTATACCTGTGTGTTTATCAGCACATTGCAGGTGGTCCTCGCTTTTCGGGAAGAAGAAGAGCTGGCTCAGCCTGCCGGGGTCGTGTCTCTCCCACTCCCTCTTCACCATACCTGTCTTTCCGTCTCCCTCTCAGTTTCCGTTTACCTTTTGTTGGCCCATTGTTATTGATGTTGCTGTTGTTGTTGTTGTTGTTACTTTTGTTGTTGTTGGGGAACATGTTTAACATGCAACTCTTGGCTACTTTTGACTTAAGCGCCAGCAAAAGGAAAAAGGTAAAAGCCAAACAAAGTAGCAGAGCACAACAACAACGAAAAGAACAAATCAAGGCAGAAGTGTACTTACAGAGAGAAAAATTCGAAGTACAGAGTCGAAGTTTGAACTTTATAAATAGTAAAATAGAGTTTACGAAAAGGTCAAATAAATGCTGTATCTCAAAAGTATTAGGAATTGTAATTTGATTAACAGAAGATAGTTATGTTTGGGTTTCGGAAGTTGATCTATTAAGTTAAGTTGATCCCAAAAGTAAAGGTATTACCTTAACATAATTATCTCAGTGGAAAGTAAACACGCATGTACATAAATCCAGTGGCCTAATCTCATTGACCTGCAGAAGGAGATCAGATGCACAAGTAGGAGAGGGTGAGGGTTGAGTCCATTTTGGGTCACGTGCTCGGATAAGATCTCAGTCGGTGGGCAATTTCCGGCGTTTGTACATGCAATGAATCGTCTTGTTTGTGTTTGTTTGGTATTATTACATCAAGAGTCAACGTCAGAGGCAGGAAATGCAGTGGACGGGGTCGGGTTGGTTGGGTTTCGAAAAAAAGGGGATTAACTACCCACATAAGATAGGCGACCCATCACTAATCCGCACTCCAATTACTTACTTCCAGGCGTCCGGCAATCCTGCTCGAATGAGGGAGAAGAAGTGCAACTAAAGAACCAGCCGCAGATTTTCACCTGCTTCAAATGCGAATGCCAGGTAAGTTGCAACAGAAGTGCTTGCCACTTTAATTTCCCATTAAGCCAGAGTCGTATTCCCAACTCTCTGTTCGCTTTTTAAGGCGGCTCCACGGATCTTTGCCAAGTTTGCGAGTGGAGTTGCTTTTTGGCCTCGATAAAAGTCACTTAAAGCGAAATGAAACGAAATGAAATAACATAAACATGCTTGCTGAAATAAATCTCTTGTACTTGGCCCATCCTCTGCCTCCCTGCCCCTCCATCCATCTATCTATCTCGCTCTCAGCATGGGGCGACGCCAGTGTCCAGCCAGCAGGACATTCAGACTCATGTCATTGCAGTTACATCCTTAGCGGCCTGCCAAAATGAAAAATACCAAAAATTCTGCGAATATTTCAACGAGATTACAAGCCACCACTCACACACTCAAACTTTTGCCTACCGTTAACGGCACAGAGAACAAAGTTGATCAAAAATTTAGTTACAAAACTCAATAAACAGTGTTAATATTCTGAAACTTTAGTACTAAAATCCTTAATTACCTATTTAATAATTCTCAAAGTCAGTTTCGAATGGCATAAATAAATTTCTTAATATTCAAAAATTGGTTTCTTACAGAAAACATAAAATTCCTATACTTTTCTCTCTGTGTATTAGAGAAAGAATCTGAAGCAGCTGAAGATATTGCCGGAATCTGTCGGAATGTTTGAGTATGTTTGCATTTGTTTGGCTTTGTCTCTTCCTCTCGCCAACTCACTCTGTCTCTCCCTCTCCCTCCCTCTTTCCCTTCCCCTATGGTCCGTCCCCCTCTCGTGAATTTTTATGATCCAAGGTCGTCAAACGGGTTTCACGCCGTCATCCGCCATGTGGGACGGGTATCATGGGTAGTATCACGGGTGCCGCAGTATTGGCAAGGGTATTCGGTTCGGCATTGGGTTCGCGTCCGCATCCGCAGATCGATCTCGGCACTCGATCGTTTGACAAACACTTGGCGCCGCCGCCGTGATTTTTCGTCGCCAGTTCCCCAGCGACAGCCTCTCTCTTTCATTCGCCACATCCCGCCATCTCTTTCCCTTTCTGTCGCGGCTCAAACGGCGGTTTCGTGTCGTCATTAAGCGAGCGCGTGCTCATCGGACTGATCGATGGAAGGAGAGCGGTGAAAGGGGTAAAGGTGGATCGGGGCAGGTGGTAGGGTTGCCAAAGCACAGGAAAAAATAGTTCTTGCTTATAATTAAATATGAGTTTTTCTTTGATTTTCGAATGTAAACTTACGATGTTGGTTTTAGGAAGAATATAGTCAAGGTGAATATGTAATTTAAAACCTAATACATAGAAGAACATATACGGTATTTTCCATTAAAAAAATATATAGGAATTCATAAAAATAATGTTTTAAAAACGTATCTTGAGAAGCCAAAAACTATCAGTTTAAGAATATATTTTTCACTGTGATGCTGTCGTGAGCCTGCTGCTAATTTAGCGCTAAGCGCTGCTAAACGCCGCTGCTCCAATTTGAGCGGCAAGCGTTGAAGCGTTCAAGCTGGCGCCGATGGAAGCGGTCGGGCGATCGGTTGGTCGGCTGATCGGGTGAACGAAACGATCCAAGCGATCCAGCCGATCGATCGATCGATCGGTTCCGATCGCAGAATCTTTTTTCGCCTGCGGCTAAGCTTCGCTTGCTGCGTTGTTATTATTATTTCCATTGTTGCTGCTGTCGTCGTCGTCAAGTGGGCGTAACCGAAATTAAAAAGCAGCAGCAAAATCAGCGGGGGGAGCTGAATAAAAAAGAAAAAGATACGATACTGGCGCCACCTTACTGGGAAGGCGCCATCGGTATCAGTATCTCCGTCTCTTTCCCCAACAACCGCATGCTGCATCTCAGTCGCACGCGCTGGGGATTCGTCGCTCGACTCATTAAAAGTTCATGAAATCGAATTTAACCCGAGTTCGATGCGATTTCTCTTAGGTACGCTCTTAAGGGGCCAAAAACAAAACGCTGGCCATGCGAAGCGTGCAAAACGTTAAGCTGTAATCGCGGCTTAAACGCATAAAACCGATAAATAACGCTCCCGTAATGTAAGTCTCTCTCTCTGGTAATAGCCGCCATTTAAGTCGAAACTTTACGACTCGCGTTTATTGTCTAAAGCACACACATGAATATCTTGTTCATGCATAGAAAAGGCTACCAAATCGTCAAGGACAATCAAAGAAAACGGCACTCCACCCCCGAAAAGACCACAAATTTTCGCTTTTATGCGAATATTATGCTGAATCCGCTGAATTCGCACTTAATGGCTTATGATTTAAACGCTTTCCCGGCGAATCTGCTCGCCCATGATTGAGCGGGACTTTTATGGGAATTTGCAAATGAAATTTTTGTCCTCAAAATGGGTAAACATGTGATTAGAGGATACAGTGAGTGATTGAATTAATATCAATGCCAACTTGGATTAGCATTTTTAGTTTAGTTCTGTATTAATATTAATAAGGGATTTACGATCACCAGGGGCAGGCACATCTACAAATTGGAATCATTAGAGCAGTTCCAGTGTGCATAACTTAAAACCAACAAAATAAATTCACTTTTGCGAATATGGAATTCTAGAGCACGGACAAACCAGATTTGGCCAAAACTCTCATACAGGTCTGCCAACTCCTTTCCTGCAAATTCTTGGCCCAACCGTTCTAAGCCCGATTCTCATTTCGATTCCGATTCCAAGACCAATTCCGATTCCAATTTGAGCCATAGCCCACAAGTGACAAAATACACATGACCATAAAACCACAAGACTGCCATTACCATATTCACTCCGCGTCTAGAGCGGCAGACTCCAACCTGGCCAACTTAACTCCGAGATGGCCAACAGAAAGAGAGCCTCTGACAAAGAGACAGAGACAGCGCCAGCGATGGAAACAGAGGCAGAGAGACGGTGTTAAAACCGATCATGTTTTGTCAAACGCAAGGTCGTTAGAGGCCGTTTGCAAATGTGGTTCTGCCACTGTGGCAAACCCGAGTCTCCAACTACTTTTTGTTGTTGTTGTTTTTGCGGACTGCCGCTGGGCAAGATCCGAAACAACAACAACAACATCTACATCCATCCTCCATCCACAACACATCCACTCTCCATCATCATACAATGCTACTTAGCAGCTCGGGTTGCCATCGTGGCGCCTTTGGCTTCAGCTTTTGCTTTGGCAATCTCTCGCAGAAAAAATGCCTCAACTTTCATGTTGGCTGGGCATATTTCTATACCGGTTCCCGATTAGAAAGAAAGAATTCCAAAGCATAAACAGCTGGATGCCAGTTGGCTGATACCAAGTTGAAACTCTGGCCGGATTTCGAGAGCACGTGAACTTTGATCCGTCAGATACGACAAGCGATTAAAATGATACTCAATCTGTCAGCTTACTGTATATCAAAAAGTGCACAGTAAAGAAATGCGATATATAGTTAATCTATATAATTAATTATACTTCACTTTAACCTTCTCACAAAATATAATCATAAATTAGGCAAATTTAAATTGGATTAAAAACGCCATTCAAAAACCAATACTGCTCGTTCGACCTTTACTTGAAGTAATTTTGTTTTTCGTGTAGAAATGGAGTGGGGAGGGGGGAGGCAGGAGGGAGTTACGACAATGCCGCACTAAAGTGCCATTAAAATTCCAACTAACAACTGCCATTAAAACTAATACGATGATAAACATCTAGCAGCCAGAGACCGCGACTGGCTGAGACTCTCGAGATTTTCATTTTCATAAGAATTGCAAATTTTGCACGTTGCAGCCCCATCCAAATTGAGATCCAATCTGGTTTGCTTGCACTAAATTATACACACACACTCATACACACTCGATTCGGATACTCAGACCAACATTGTTCGGAGCAACTGCATACAAATTAGTGAAATATTTTGCCTGTTTTTGGTCGACATCTATCTAGATTTATAGATACATTTACAATTAGCGGCGGCTCCGGCTGCGACCCGAGCTCTATTATTACGGCCAGGTTGGATCTGGATCTGAATCTGAATCTGGCTTTAACCTGTCACTGCCAAGCAGCTGTACACTCAAGGGTTAAAGGCAACAGCAACACCAACAGCAAACAGCAACAGCTAACAGCGAATAGCAATTGCAATGGCAATTGCACAAGCCGGCCAAGTTGCAACAGTTTGACTTATGATCGACATCAATTCCTATGCTCCCCGCTGCAGCTGTCAGCATGTCGTTAACAGCCAAACGGCTAGAAAATCCAGATGCATAGATACCCGCATATAAATATATGTATATCTGAGCTGATTTCGAGCTGCTTACCTGTGGGCAGGCAATCAGCCGAGGGATCAACTAACGAGTTGCACACAGATCGGGGGGTTTTCGGTCTTAAGGATAAATTACTGCAGCATAAATTAGCCAGCTTTGCATAATCCCAGCTCATTTTCCACCATTAACTTTCAGAGAGGAAAAATAGAAACAATCTTATTTCTATTCTTACGTCTAAATGGGTTTTTATCTAGTCTTCAAAATGAGAGAAACTTAAACTATTTTTCTATAGGTTACGAAATATCATAATAACAGATATATATACAAATAGAGCCAATTTCAAAATATATATCTCTGTGTAGCTAACCCCAAACGAAGTGCAAGTCAAACCAATCGCCACGCCCAAAGTAAATTACAGTGAAGGTCAGAGTGCAGAGCCTCAGTGAGCAATGGCAATTTGGAAAGCAATTGCTGGGCAGTAAATCAGGTGGAGGTGTATTTTATGGGAAGGAAGGTGGAGACATATATAGCAAGTGTGCAGTGGAACACACCAATCATCAGATCAGCTGCCCGGTGACAGCCATCTTTCGCATGGCTAATCGCATTTGTGCACATTGCGCATACGCCCCATGGGGCCGGCAAACTCTATCAGCCATAATACTAATTTATTGTCTTGCATTTTATTTGAATCTTACAGAACGGATTCGTCAATTGCCGCGATACCTGTCCGCCCGTTAATGATTGCTATATTTTGGATAAATCCAATGGAACTTGTTGTCGGAGGTGCAAAGGTAAGTTGGACTTAGCTTAAATTAAAGATAATTTACAGAATAGGCATTCCTGTAAATTCGATATTTTCCATTTCATAGGCTGCACCTTCCGTGGCATGTCCTACGAGAGTGGGTCAGAGTGGAGTGACCCCGAGGATCCCTGCAAGACGTACAAGTGCGTGGCCACCGTGGTCACCGAGACGGTCCAGAAGTGCTATTCGCAGTGCGACAACAACCAGTTACAGCCGCCACGGCCCGGCGAATGCTGTCCCACCTGTCAGGGTGAGTTTACTACTAGTCACTCCGATTAAATCCAGACCAGTCCCCGTCCCCAGTAGCATCACTCACTAAAATTAGCCGGGATCTCCGGTTAATGCCTCATAATCGTTAGACAATAGAGAGCCCAAGCAGATGGACAAACGGTTTGTTTGCTCTACGAACGGGTATTGCCAAAGCGGCATAAAATATGTTAAATCTTTTCGAAATTCATAATTATTAGAGGAAAAAGTATATATAAAACCCCAATCATTGGCCAAGCCAAAGTAGATCATCGCAGATAGTGCCAGCATGTTTATGTCTCTATTACCGAAATGATTTATTCATGGGCATTCCTCCGATACTGGGCCCATCTCCGATCAAATCTTCGGTGATCGGTGATCCACTGCGATCTGTTGATCTGTTTTGATCTGTTCTCCGCGACGCTGATGTTATTATTGTTGGCTCTGCTTATTTATGGGCTTTAAATTGTCTATTAAGGCGACAATGTCGTCCCGCATATTCGCATTGCGACCGCGGCTGAGAAAACAAAGGCAACACCAATATCTGGGGGCCCTCCTATGACGCTGCCTATGCAAATGCGGTAAATGCGGTAAATGCCGCTTGGAAACCCGTTTCGCCTTGTGGAAAATTTCTTGGCCCGTGGCCAAGCAAATCAAACCCAACTAAATCATAAGTGTCTGATGGCTAATGTCTGATGTCTAATGCCTTATATCTGATGGGATTGCCTCGCTGTTTTCAGGTTGCAAGATCAACGGGCAGACGGTGGCCGAGGGCCAGGAGGTGGACGCCTCCATCGACGACCGCTGTCTCGTCTGCCAGTGCCGCGGAAACCAGCTGACCTGCTCCAAGAAGACCTGCCCGGTGCTCCCGTGTCCCATGTCCAAGCAGACAAAGCGTCCGGACGAGTGCTGTCCACGCTGTCCGCAGAACCACAGTTTTCTCCCAGTGCCAGGTGAGCATTGCTATATCCCTAAAATAATTTTTTAAAAGGAAATTTTGCTATACTATGCCCCATAGATCTTGCTTATGTTCAGTGTTTTTCCCTTTCTATTTCGGATGAACATCAAATTTTTGTTTTCTACATAAATAAGCAATTTATGAACTTTAAAATTTGTACCTTGCTGTATACGACCACATAAACAAATTTGTTTTATATTTTCTTGTTGATATATTATCAAGCCAAAACTAATTATAGATTCTTTCTATCAGAATGTGTATAGTAATATAAACATATTTTCATTTTAATTTCAAGTGATAAATGCTAAAAAATATTAAATCAGATTATTGTAATATATAATAGAATATTTTTAGATTCCAAACTAACATCTTGTCTTGTTTTTCCTCCAGGCAAGTGCCTCTTCAACAAAAGTGTTTACCCGGAGAAGACGCAGTTTATGCCGGACAGGTGTACAAATTGCACCTGCCTGAACGGAACCTCCGTGTGCCAACGTCCCACCTGTCCGATCTTGGAGTGCTCCCCGGAATTCCAAGAGCCAGATGGCTGCTGTCCAAGATGCGCGGTCGCCGAAGTCCGAAGCGAGTGCAGCTTGGATGGGGTTATTTACCAGAACAACGAGACCTGGGACATGGGACCGTGTCGCAGTTGTCTCTGCAATGGTGGAACCATTCGATGTGCCCAGGTGCGCTGTCCGGCGGTCAAGTGCAGGGCGAATGAGGAGCTGAAGCAGCCACCGGGTGAATGTTGCCAGCGGTGCGTGGAAACGGCAGGAACATGCACCGTCTTCGGGGATCCCCACTTCCGCACTTTCGACGGAAAGTTCTTCAGCTTTCAGGGAAGCTGCAAATACCTCCTGGCGTCCGACTGTCTGGGCAAGACCTTTCACATCCGGCTGACGAACGAGGGGCGTGGCACGCGGCGCTCCAGTTGGGCAAAAACAGTGACCCTGAATCTGCGCAACTTAAAGGTCAATCTGGGCCAGCGAATGCGGGTCAAGGTGAACGGAACCAGGGTCACTTTGCCCTATATTGGCGTGGCTGGTGGCCAGAATGTCACTATTGAGAGATTGGCCGATGGAGGAGCGGTGATGCTTAGATCGGAAATGGGATTGACCCTGGAGTGGAATGGAGCTGGCTTCCTGCAAGTTTCGGTGCCGGCGAAGTTCAAGCAAAGACTGTGCGGCCTGTGTGGCAACTTCAACGGCAGTTCGCGGGACGATCTCACCGGCAAAGATGGACGAAACCATGGGGACGATGAGGTATGGCACTTTGCCAACTCCTGGAAGGTTGGTGGCCCCAAGTCGTGTTCCCGCAAGCGTGAATTCCTGGCCGCCACACCCACCTGCGACAAACGCAAGTCGAACTTCTACTGCCATCCCTTGAGTGTTCCGGAACTCTTTGGCGAATGCCACGAGCGTCTGAATCCGGAGAACTACAAGGTCGCCTGTCGGATGGACGTGTGCGAGTGTCCGTCCGGCGACTGTCACTGCGACAGCTTTGCAGCGTACGCCCACGAGTGTCGGAGACTGGGCGTCCAGCTGCCGGACTGGAGGAGTGCCACCAACTGCCCGGCCGGCTGGCGACGCAATGCTACGCTGTCGAGCTTCAAGGGCAACCAGTTCTACGGGGATCCCAGCTTCAGCCGGATGAAGGGTCGTCGGCGGAACCACCAGCTGAGGCTGCAACTGCAGCATGATCAGCAGCAGTGGAGCAAACAGGGCCAAAAGGGGCGGCACAAGCCGGGTGGCCATAACCAGCTGGACAGGCACGGCCACAACAGGCTGGACAAGGATCAGCTGCAGAAGGACTTCATCCTGAAGCATGTGCCCAGCAGTGTCCTCTTTCCGCGTGCGCCGGATCGCACGCCGCCGCCCCTCCACTAAGTTAGTTGACCGTTTAACTTTAGTTACCCATTTAGTTACTACACATACACCCACACCCTAAGCACAAGCACGCCCATCCACACAGATACTCTCGCGTGGCAGGCCGCAAACCATAGCATACTTTTGGCGGCCCAAAAGAGGCGAGAGACCGTGAGGGAAACCTAGTTGAATTCGCTCCCATGACAGCCAGGCCACAGTATTATGCTGAAAGTCCTCTGGAGAAGGCAGACATATATATATATAAATATATATGGCGGATATATATAATATTCAGACTACATGTAGCACGCACACACACATAGCATCGAAACTCATCCTGTCGCCATTTCGTGTAGCCTAAGTTTTATTTATTTTAGCTTTAGTAATGGAGTTATATTCGGAGAGCCTGTTGTTTGTGTGCCTGTTTTGTATTTGTAATCCTGTATGTGTGTTTCGTCGCTGCGCTGAACTAAACTGATCTAAAAACTAAACTATAACTATAACAAAAAACTAAACCTAAGCTAAGCTTTAGCTAAGTGTACTTAGAACTTAACGCAGTCCTAGCTAAAGTACTTGATAATGTTTGCTTAAAATTTAAGCCCTAGAAAGGATGAGGAGAAGGACCTACCCAACTACTATGAGAATTGCACAACAGTATTTTTGCTTAGTTGAATCATGAACGAGCCCCAGATCCCCAGAACTCAACTCTCCCCACTCAACTCCTACTTACTCGTAACCAACTCGAAATTCCGCTTATCTCAAATTAACCAACTTTTACCCAAACTGTGTTAATATTTATACAACTATCGCCAGCTATTTATGCACTTAACCTGCGGAAAAGGGAGACAACTCTTTGCCATTTTCAAATTTACAAATTAATCAAGTTTAAAGTTTAAAGTTTAAAGTTAATGTAATGTACTATAAAAACTACTTACTTGTATGGCTGGATCTGTAAATTTACGACATATTTGAATAGCCCAAAAACGAAGAAAAGAAAAAAACAAAACAAAAACCAATGCCACTAATGCAAGTGGATAAAATCAAATTAAAATATATGAAAAAAACAATTAAATTTTTGCATTTTTTCGGGGGTTCAGGGGAGGGAAATGATTTTTAAAATTGACTAATAAACTAAACACAGATTTAGTACTAAATTAAATCCGACTTTAATCCACACACCCTTTTACTCCGCGAGCAACCTTTACAAAAGCCTTTTGCAAGTGGTGTCTAAGTTGGGTGGACCTGTCTCCAACCCATTAAAAAGCCCAGGCAGTTGACCAGCTCAAAAAGTGGGAATCGAATAGCCTGTGGGAACTTCAACTGCTGGCTTTTAGCTTCCTACCCCTCCTGGTACTCCTCTCCAAAAGAGGATCCACGGCCAACTTGTGTTTATTGTTCTTTGCTCGTGTGTGGCATCAGTTTCAGAGGCACGAACTCCAACTCCCCACGACGACACTGCGTCTGGGGTGGCAACAAGCACTCCGATGGCTCCAAATCCGAATCCGATGCCATGGCCGCGGAAGGAAGTGGAGTGCAGAGCGAGCGCGAGTGCCAACGGCCAAGGGCCACTCCAGAGTTCGACTGGGACTCTGAATCGGAATCGGGGAGCGAAACTCAGTCTGGCTGGCGTCGAATTACGGGGCATGGCCATTAGCCATTATCCATTGGAGCCAGTGGGGGCAATGCCAATTTATGCATGTTTGCTTAGCAATAATTGTCAGCGATGTCTAGGGTCGGGCTGGCAATTCCCATTCCGCGTCCAATTCCCAGGGCAAGATTGTCTGTAATTCGAATCGAACTTACTGGTCAGCCTGTGGAATTCTGAGAACGAGGCGGGCGCTCGTAAATTCAAGCGATCCGATCGCAGGCGATTTAGACGGAAAACACAATCTGGCATGGCCCCTGGATCATGGCTCGCGGCTCATTGAGGAAAGCAGTCTACACAGGAAGAATGAATATTTATTTTGATGCTTAAGTGGATTGAATTACTCACTTTTAGTACAATTTTTTACAACAACCTAGCTTACCTAGCTGGTATGGTATGCCTCCATTTCAAAACGAACAACTATTTTTTTTTTTTGAGTGCATATTACCACGCAGCAGGCACGTGCACTGAATCCCGAAACAAGTCGATCGATCAGGTTGATGCCACTTCCAATTGCAAGTGCCTGCTGCCTGATTGATGTCCGTCCAGGGGCTTCTGCAGAAATCTATGGGCACTTAAACTCGATCTTGGACCACGGCGACATCTGCCCGTTCGGATCGCCTTTGAGCATTTCCGCGTGTCGCTCCTCTGGAGACGCCGGCGACGCGTGCTCACTCCTTATCGGGCGCTAACCTGTCCATATTGGACCAGCTGCCACATAGCCACCTATTCCATTGGGTCTATGCCGATCCGACGACCATCCAACGATGGTGTGGCGCCATGGCGTGAGCCAAATTTGGCATTTGGTGAAATGTTTTCTGTCGGACGAGTGGCGTTTACTGCATTCCCCAAGGGGCGGCATTAGACGACGGACCCGTGTTCATAACTCATAATTTGAAGCCCCATCCCTTTGGAATAGCGGCCACTTAAAATCCACAATTTATCAATTTCTCTGGCAGGGCTGGCTGCTGGATAAGACGATGAGATGTCCGGCGATAAGCCGCGATGAGCAAGGACAGTCGATGCCATTGGTCATGCATCATTTCGTACACAAACAAAAATAATCATTTACTCAAATAGAACTATCATTCATGAGTTGTAGTAATGAGAAAATACAAAACAGAATAAAGATTTCAAAAGTCATAAAACCCTAAAGATAAGCTTTTACTTTTTCTCTGTGTAAAGTCAGCATCCAAGGATGCGAATCCTAAGTGTGCATAAGCGAGTGGAAACGCATGAATCATCCGGCAGATGCGTGGGAGCATCCATTGTCATCGGTTTGGCCATTAGCGCGTACATCAATATGTCAGCGGCTTCCAGAGAAAAGCCACCCACGTTCCAACTGGCTCAAGGGCTGCACTTCGTCTTATGGGGTTTGAGTACGCGGACTGGTGGGGATGACCACGCACAAGCCATTTTCCGGATGCGGAAAACCAAAGCTGTTGACAGAACTGGACAAATGAAGCATTATTTATGTTATTGATACGGCCACGGAGAGAGTGAGATATATGTATGTTATATGAGTACGAAAGAAAGGGGGCAATAATTTGTAGCATACTCTTCGGCGTTGACCTAAATGACCCACAAGCGGGGTGGCAATTCCGAACGATTCACCAGCAAATATGTGGGGAGAAATATAAAATCAAAATGGTGAGCGAACAATAACACGACCTAAAGAATTGTTTCTCAAATTCTTGGGTGCTTTGCAAAATTTAATCTAAAAAACAGATCCACCTCTACCGATCTCTTACCTATTCTTTGCGGTTTAATTTTCAGTTAATAAAGTTAACTTCGTTTGGCTATTTGACACGCTCAAATTGAGTTTATTAGCAGATTTATTAGATATGCGATTGGCATCGTTTGTATTTGGACACGATTAAAATGATTTAATTTGTGAATAACTTGTACTGTAACGAGTACTCCCACTTCTCTCCTAGTTTACTAATTAAGATGTCTTGGCCTAAGTTGATTAGCTGTGCAAATTAGTTATTAAGTGCTGACACCTCCCCCTAGCCTATTCCCCACCCACTTAGCTGTCAATCAGTGTCGAGTGTGTCATTAAAAAAACGAATGCCTGGGAAGATTTGTTGGGCTTACACGAAATGAATGTCTGAATGAATTGTGAATTAATGGATATTTGCCGCGGTCTATCTACCACTCTCCATCTTCATCCCTCTCCCATCGATTCTTATGGGTTTTAACTAATTTAATTGGCAATCAAGTATTCAGTGTTGGCTTAAATGGCGATGGCGTGTGTCTGAAAAGAAATAGTAAAACCCACAAGAATCAAAGCACAATTAATTGCCCAGTTATTGGCCATTCGAATAACTACTGAAGTGCGGATTATGGATTCAGGACTTTCTGGGCAAAAACTCATAATTTCAGTCATTGGCAGTCATTTGCTTTAGCACAGCCACAGACAGAGAGGCGTCAAGAGCAACCTTTTTGTTTACTTATTTTGATATTTTTGTATCGGCTTTGGTCAGCTGAAACTGGTTGGCATCCATCAGATTCGGATACATTTTGGCACATGCCGGGCGGGAACAATACAGTTTATTAATTATATGAAATGATTCCGCTTGTTCCCCGAGTTACTTGTAGCGATTTATTTCGCTCCAAGCCTCATCGCAATCAGATGTAATTATGCAAAATTGACTTGAGTCTGGTGTTTTTGCTTATGACGGAAGTGGTTGCAGTGCCATCGGTATTGAGTATTAATTGGCATTATCTAATCTTGTAATCTGAGTCTGAGGCGGGAAGATAATGGCGCAGTGATCTGAGATCCCAGATTATCAGCTGTAGGAACAAAGATAGCCGCATCCCATTAAAGATTGATCACTTGATAATAACTATCATTTGTGAGAAAGCATCAAGATATGGAAAGTATTAGGGTATACAAATCTTCAAGTTAAGTCACTAGCTCTTACATATTCGAGACTTTCCTATTCGATTGACTTCCTAGGGTACCCAAACACATGCTACAACCCATCAATTAGCAGCACAAAGAATCACCTTTCTTCTCGAATTTCTCCACCATAAATCTATGGAAAGCAACTTAAATCACGCGTCAGTCTTAAGTGCCGCCTTATCGGGCATAATCGCTGTTGAAATTTGCATACTGAGGCCACTAAATTTAGTCTAATAGGTTCTAAGCCGGGCTGATGGGCTTTGTTAGCTCCGGTCTGGATATATGTCGGATATATGTGTCAATAAAAGTCGGGCAATTAATTGCACGCCCCCCGAAATGGATAGCCGCCGTTTCCCAAGCTCCCAACTGGATAAATATAGCCAGAGCATATATATATATATATACTGGTATATGGACCGCTTAACGATCGCATTAACATCAAACGCGCACATTTTATGGCCTGTCAACCGATCGTTGTCCACATAGATCGATCGATAGCTTCCAACTCGTGGCAACAATGAACCTCCAGACTCTCTCCTCTCTTTTTTCTTATTTTCTTTTTTTCATTTTTACCAATTTTAGAATCACGATTTTAGAAACTCTGGCTAGAGCGGGATGAAATGGAACCGAGAGACCGAGACCGAGTCCAAGACCGAGACCGGGAAGATTCACTCATCCTCCGCTCGGCTGGCCCTCAAATTAATATTTATATTTATTATCATTATTTTGTGCAAACTTGTTCTTGGCCGTTTCGTTTCTAAACGTGTTAGAAAGGCTTGGTCTGGCTAAGTCGGGCTATGCGAAATGGCATTAGAATCGGCCGGAGAGAGATATATAAAAAGTCGGTTGGCACCCGAGCGCTCTTGCTTAGTTTAAGACTTAGTCCCCGATCTCGGTTCTGTGATCATTCAAACGGAAACATCCAATAAAGACGGCCACGCTCATTGGCCAGAATCTGATTGAAAGTGCCAACTCCAAAGTGATAGACGAAGGATCCCTAATTAGTATTACATAAGTGTTAAAGTTTATTTTTGAGATTATAATAGAAAATATGTCAGCTTTAATCTATGGAACTGCCTTGCTGGCCGTCTTGCACTTAGTCCTGGCAAAGGACTACAGCTGGTGTGATCCTACTCTCTGCGAGAATGGTGTCAAGCACATCGCCTGCCGTAATACCGGAGTAAGTATTTGTTCAATAAATTATATATAGATTCCCGTTTGTGCGTTAAATAAAAGGTTATAAAAATCAAAAGTCAAATTCTGAAATTCTGAAGTCTTGAATATTAATCGCATGCATATTGGGGAATAAGCGATAAAATATTTGTAAATATGTCTGGAAACTCATTGATATTGCACAGCTCAAGGCTTTATCTGGATAATTTATTTATATTTAAATTTAATCGCCACTGATCTTTAATCAGATTTGTATTGCTTTGAGTGGAATGAATTAAGTCAGATAACCTATATCTTAATTATAGATCGAAATTTTGAAATCGCAAAGTTCTTACTAAACAGCTCATGCCAGCCATTAAACTACTTGATGTCGAGTTATCCGAGATGGTTTTGCTTATAATATTTATCTATAATTTTTAAGAACTCCAAACATCTTTAAGTTCTTGAATAACATCTATGATATGTATCACCCTTTCCATAGCAATTTGCCAGACGTTGTCAGCCTGATGCTGTCCAAGTGGATATAAGCCGCCACAAGGGAGATTTTCTGCATGCCCATAACAAGAGAAGAAACTTCCTGGCCTTAGGAAAAGTGCCAGGATATTATCCCGCTGCCCGAATGGCCACAATGGTGTGGGATGATGAACTGCAGTACCTGTCCATGCTGAACTCCCGAACCTGCAAGCTCGACCACGATGATTGCCACAACACCTACAGATATGCCAACGCAGGACAAAATCTCTGCGCCGTCTGGCGTCCTAGGGATCCCTATGTGAATGTTACCAGTTTGGTGGAGGAGTGCTTGGGCCTCTGGTTCAACGAATATTCCCTGATAGACAGCAGCTTTATCGATGCCTTCAAAGTCACCTCTATTTTGTGAGTAAAGAAGGAGATATCCTAGAAGATCTAGGAACTAAAAATCTTTTTAAAAACAGTGAGGACTATGGACACTTTGCTGGAGATGAGTGTGGACAAGAGTTTCGCGCTGGGCTGCTCCATCATGAGATTCACACGTCCCGACTATCCATCCGTGTTTATCTACAACTTTATCTGCAACTACGCTTCACTGTACGCCCTGGGAGCTCCTGTCTATGAAACTGGACATCCGGCATCGAGGTGCACCACGGGCAAGAGCCACTTCTATCCAGGATTGTGTTCCACCCGCGAGGTGTACGATCCCAATTGGTAATAGTTAACCATCCCAGGGGGATTCCCTCCACTCAGGTACAACTGCCAAGAGTATTTAGTAACCCTTAAGCTTTAGAACGAATACAAACCAATAAATGATCGCATCGATTCCAGCTTCCAACTTTGCATAATTTATTTAAATTCACTGTCGTCATCGGGAGTCCGAGCCTGACTTCTGACCCGGCCAGCATTGCATAATACCCGCGGGTTGTGCTGTAAGACAACGAAGCCCGACCAAAATAAACAATGCGAATCTACAAAGAAAGCCAGTCCCAGTCTTTGGAGACTGGTTTGGCACACAGAACTTTCGTTTGTTATTGGCCAACAACTCATAAAGATGTTCCCCCAGCATATGCAAATGCTGATTTTTATTTGATTTGTGCGCAGAAGTTATTGATTTCTCCTTTGTGATTGAGAACCTGTCCGGGGGGTCTTTGAATACTTTGCTTAGCGTGTGCAACGGGCAAAAAAACGGAAGATTATTATTTAATAATACCTGATTGTCTAAGCACACCAATTGGGTCAATGTCAATGTCAAAGACTGGAAACTCTAGAATAGCAAAGTCACTGAACTTTCCGAAACACCCACGCTTTCAATCTGATGTTGAAGTGATCTGATACTCGGTCTACTTATTAATATTTATAGCTCCATTGATCTCTAGGTTTCATTATAACTCTACACAGTAAGAACTTAGAGTATATCTCACCTGTTCCGTACACCTCTAACCAGTCTAACGAAAGCTCAAACCTTAACTAAATGCGTCTACTTAGCTTTCTCTGGGTTGAACTTAACTCGACTCGGAGATTAACGATCTAGTTAAGTAGTCTATTTTTGGACAGGGAGCAGCTCGCCCAGAAAGTGGAGACTTTTCCTATTGGAGCTGCTCCGGGGTTTATTGCTCGAGTTTTCCTAGAAGTCGTGCGCTTCGAAGTTTTTGGTGTGAACGCTCTTTGGAGATAAAAACAGAAACAGAGACTGTAATTGAGACAAAGACAACGGCCCCCGAAAATGGAAATGATTCATAAAACGTCGCTTGACCTGTCTCAAGCTGCGGTTTCGTTTTCGGATTGAGATCGGAATCGGATCGGGATCGGGATCGTCGGTTTCGGAATCGGAATCGGAATCGAAGTCGGGATTGGTATCGGGATTGGTGGAATCCCGCCGAAAATAAACACCTGCAAATCAAAATTTCCATATAAATAACGCCCTGTCGGTGGTCAGGACTTGCATTTGAGCCTTCAGTGAGATTCAGTGAACATGGAGTCCGGAAGATACCTAACAATCGCATGTCTGCTGCTGATCGTGGGAGTTGTGATATCCCAGCCGTTGTCCTGGTGCGATCCGGAATTGTGTCCGGATAACACGGTTCACATAGCTTGTAATAATGACGGGGTAGGATTATCTCAGAGCTTATCTTTGGATACAAAATTTAAGAACCACTTTATCCATTAGCAATTCCATGAGAGCTGCTCTCCTGATGCCACCATGGTGGACCTGAAACCTTATCGCCATATGATCGTGGATGAGCACAACAAGCGAAGGAACTTTATAGCTTCTGGGTCACTGCCTGGTTATTATCCGGCCACTCGCATGGCCACCATGGTGTGGGACGAGGAACTGGAGTACTTGGCAACGTTGAACCTGAAAACCTGCTACCTGGAGCACGACGACTGCCACAACAGCTACCGCTTCCGGAATTTGGGTCAGAATCTTTGTGGGGTGGATCGTCCCCGGAACTGGCTGATGAACGTTACCAATCTGGTGGATCAGTCGATGGGCTTGTGGTTTGGGGAACATAAACTGATCGACAGCAGCTATATAGCCGACTTTAAGCTCACCAAAAATCTGTAAGTCATCCGAATTCGCCCACTAACCTAATCCACTAACTCATATTCCTTTCACCAGTGAAAAGTATGGACACTTTGTGGAAACAGTGGTGGACCGAAACACCCACGTGGGCTGTGCCATGATGCGGTTTACCAATCCCCAGTACCCCTTCCTCTACATCTACAACACGGCCTGCAACTACGCCAGTGTCTATGCCATAGGAGTTCCTGTTTACAATGCCGGAGAGCCCGCCTCCGAGTGCCGGACTGGGAGCAATCCGAAGTACCCCGCCCTGTGTTCCATCAAGGAGCAATACAACCCCAACTATAATTTGTACTAGCCAATGAACCAAACCAAAATACACACTAGCTAATGAACCTAATCGAAACACCTCGATTTTTATTACTTTCCTTCGACAATTGCGCCCACTGATTGATACGTCAAGATTTGTTTATCGTCGTTCCGGCTGCTAAATTTGGCTCGTTCTTAATTACCAATTCAGCGGGCACTCAATTATTAATGTAAACGGAAACAATCGGAAGCGGTTCTCGGACACTGGGCTCGGGCATCAAAATTGCGTCAATTTGGCTCCTAAAACAATCTTTAATTGCATGTTAAAAGAAAAGTTATTAAATTTCAATCATTATCGATATCTTTTGTTTTATTATTTATTCCGAACATTTAGTAGTGAAATGTTACTTCCTTTAAAGTAAAACCTGTTTTTCCAAATTCATACACCTTCCCAGTCCAAGGTGCATTCGGTTACTTTTCACGCCTCGCTGCATGTGACTGACCTATCCTGCACTCGTTATTATCAAAACGATGATGTGTATCATCGAAGCGCAAATTAATTGTTAATTGCTCAGGATCACATTAAAAAGCAGTTAATTCATCAACAAGCCAGCTGCACCCTCCGACAAACAACAGACCGACCACGAGCCGCGCATAAACAATGTGCTCAATGCACCCGATGACGTAGACAGATTCATTTCCAAACTTGGCTACAAACACAATTCCAGTCCTAAGGACAGACCTGACATTCCTTCCCGTCAATTGTGGCCAATTTACGGTCCAGCAACTGGAGCTGTAGCCCAGATAGACAGTGACTCCTATAACTCAGCTCGCCATGTGTGGGATTGCATGTGGAGCAAACATGGGAATCACAGCAGCTGTCCCAGGTCTAGTTGCGATGCACAGTAAAAACAAATTAAGAATAAAATAAATGAGTTTGCAAAGGAAATATAATAAATATATATAAAGATCGGTAAAAGTATACAACTATAAAAGGAAGTTAAAATGTGAAATTATTATAACAACAAAGTAAAGATTCAAAAATAAAATTATAAATAAGAATACAAATTTTTCAAGTGCATTCCTTCCTCCACTTTCTGCCCACTTTCAAGCGGGCCACAGTGAAGCCTCTGCCCAGACTTTTATCTTGCTTTATCTGAAGCTATGCATCATAAACGAGTCTGCTTTTTGTTCCTACTCCATCCTGACCTGTCCTGTCCACACAAATCTCTGCACTCCCACAGACCCTGGATCTGGATGGCTGGCTGTCGTTGCTGGTTATGCAAATTCCGATTACGAAGCTTTATCGCCGCCAGAATCGCAGATCTCGGGTCCAGCAGCTGTCGCTGCTGTCATCCTGTCGCGTTAGGAGCGAGCCAATAAAGATCTCTGTTTTGACAGTTTGCACGTTTATTGGACCTGAAATCCCCCAATACCCTAATCCACAAAGTCTACCACCAGATGCCCAGGTCGCTAAAGAGCTCCTCGGTGGTGGGCAACTCAAAGTCCTCGTTGACCCACTCGGATCGCTTCTTGCTGTTTGGGTTTTTTTGGTCGGTTGCTCCATATTCCTTGCGGTAGCCCACATCTTCGCGAAGATCCTCCTCGTCGTATTCCTCATCGTCTTCTACTGCCTCCAGAGAGCTGCTCATATTGGTCTTACGCTTTGGCGGGGCCAGTGGCAATCCTTTCTCACCCAGCATCCGCTGCATATTCCCTATTTCATCTACAGGCTGTGCGGACGATGGCTTTTCCTCTGTGGACTTCTCTTCAGTGGCTTTTTCGGGGTAAACTGCTACCGGAGAGGAAGCCAATCTCACAATCCTATCGAAAAGCGTGGCAAAGTGTCGTCTAAACCTGCTGTAGTCAAAACTGTCCCTAGTGCCAGTGTTGGCATCCAGTAATCCATGGGTGGAGGTGGATTTGGAACGGGTCAACGGCCCAAAATGATGCAGCATATCGATTCCGGGCGCCATCGATTCCTCCCAACTCTGACATAATTATTTTCGTTACTTTTTAATTTTCCTTACTTAATATTTAAGCACTTGCCAGTTCAGTCCAGTCCTCGATGGGCACACTCAGCACTGAGTTGACAACATTGACCACACGCTCCTCCAAGTTCAAGGCATGAATAATCCATTTGGCTAAAGCCACGGCGCAATTCAGGTCGCAGCGCTGCCTGAAATCGATAAAAATAATTGAAGAGATATGCATCAAGGGTTGTACATTACCCTAGACAAAAATGTGACCGAAAATATATATATATTTCTAGTAAAAATATTTTCATCTAAATAAAAATTAAAGCGATATAATCTCATCTATATTAATTTATATTCTCTTTAGCTCATAAAAAATATTCTTCATAGATAGAGCACAGCCAAAAAAGGGATATACCCCATGTTATTAACAAATTGCTAAGTATAAAAATGTCAATTATTTTAGGGGGTTTGAGGCGTGGCACGTTGGTAGAATGAAATTATAATGGTTCGTAATTAGCTTGATGGTTCTTACTTGCGTTCGTCTCGTCTAATCTCCACCAGTTTATCACCCTCCAGGATTAGTTGGTCATAGTTAGACTCGATTTGCATGGTGAGGGCCTCTTTGGGCTCACTCTCTGATTGCTCCTGCAGTTGGCGCTGAAGGGTTTTGAACTGCTGCCATAGATCCTCCAGTTGGTCCTGTACAAGGAGAAACCCATTACTTTTAACATTCTGGTTCAAACTTTTTGTATACCGTTTGCTTCCTAATGCTCTGCTGCGTTTCGTGGTGAACATCGATCCGATGAAGAATGGGCTGGGCGGGTAGAAAAGGAGCCGCCATCAGACGTTCCACACAGCGATTGAGAACTCCGCGCTTGGCCTTCTTCTTCTCCATTTTGATAAAACCCGCTGAACTGTCCAGATGGAGTGTTCTCTCAACAACACGCTCTAGGATCATGGCGAAGGTCTCCACGTAGTCGGATTGTATGCGCAAACGATTTGAATTCTTAGCGGCCACCACAGTTATGATTTCACTTTGTTTTTCAAGTCCTGGACAGAGCAATTGAAGGCCCAGGGCATGGGCATCGCTCTGCTCCTCCAGAAACTCCCCAAAAAAGGTGGCCAGCTTGGGGGTCACATGCCGACTGGTGATGCTGTATGTCAGCTTGATCCCAGCTGCCTTTTGGGGCTGGCAAACTCGATAGAACATGGACAGAGGAAGGTTGGCGGTCTGCTGGATGACCCGTGGTATCCCCTAAATAATATTTTCAATAAAATGAAAACTTCGAAAAATATAACCATCCATTTTTACTTGCCCTGGGACTCAGAAAAGAGGCTACCACTTCAACCTTAGTGGTATGGATGTGTAGCAATTCGGCAATATAAAAATCCAGCTTAAACTCCTTACTTGTACCCGCTGGAACATCCACAAAGCTCAATGTGTCCTGACTGCAACGAACTCCATTAGGCGTCTGGAACACAAGTTGCAACTCGGCTAGCTCCGACTTAATCCTACATCGCAGTAATCCCCTAGCCGAAGGCAACTCCTTGACTGCCACATCTGCCGGCACATCCAATAGCAGAGTATCCAGATCATCTATAGCCTCCGTCTGGATACTGAAACTAAGACGCACTTGATCTGCTGCCTGCTGATTGAGGGCGTCCATGTCCCTCACATCCACGGCCTCCTTAATCTCGTCTTCCAGCTGCTGCAGCTCCTTGTGGGCCTGGGCGAAACTCAATTCCTCCACATTTAATGGCTGAACCTGAAACTGAAAGGGATCGGCGCCCAGGTAGCCCACATCAAGCTGCCCTTTGGCACCCAGTGTTACGATTCCTCCAGCTAAATTCTGGACATTGGACCGCTGTATGGCAACTGGGGCGGTAGATTGATTTGGCCACTGTGCCGCCCATATGATGTTAGCCTCCTCATACAGATGCAACTTTGAGGAGTCCGAAATAATGGCACTAATGAGGCGTGCTCCGGGCTCTAGAAATTGCAATAAGGTTTAAGGATGGGCACATAGAAGGATTAGGAAGCAATTCTCACCCCAGTAGTAGCCCACAACAAAGCTAGCAAAACATTTTGGAGCATAGTCCAGCTTGAGCATGAAATTGAATTTGCCATTGTCATCCAATGAGATAAAGTTATGTTCACCCAGGATCATGATATGGGAACAGTTCCTAAGTGATACAGAACATTAAAGAGTGGTGTTGCATACTTTTGGGCTGTAATATATTTTACCCTCTGACCACAGCTGTACTCACTCTTTCACTTGAACCACCCGCATATCGACAATGCCCTCGCCAACGCACTGCGTCCAGGTGGGCTGGTAGCTACTCTTGGTGACCAACGAATGGGATAGATCCTGATAGCTGAAACATTGCAGATCCCAGGTGGCACTGAAGCGAAAAAAGCTATCGGTTCGCTCACAATATGCCACTGGTGCAGGAAGAGCCCGGTATCCTGGGAACCGGCACTCGTAGGAGATGCCATCCTGTTCATAAAAAGTCAGCGTGCCATCGAGATGCACCACGCAAAAGAATTCTCGACCCTTAACCTGTCCAAAGTGACCTTGACAAAGACCAAACGAGACGCGCTGAAACTTATGCTCCGCCTGCACCTGGAGTCGCAACTGAGCACCATGATCCGCCAGTCCTCCGATAGCCACGACGTTGTAAATAACAATTGCGTTTGGTAAAAGCACTCCCAACTGATTGGCGTTCTCATTGCGAACGTTTCTGCGGCATAAATGCAGTTGTAATAGAAATTCCGAGCTTAAATCCTCTCCAAACTCACCCACTGAACTTGCCAGCGTATAGCCCGATAATGGGAGCCACCATCTGGGTCTCCAAAAGCAGGTCGGTGGCATCGTAACCCCTGCGGTGCGGGTAGTATATACTCAGCTGTCCGGTCTGGGAGCCCACAATAATGTAGTCTTTTTCCTGAGACTCCAGACCAAAGCGGGCGCACAGCAGACTTGCCACATCATATTCCTCTCCGGGATCGGAACACTGGGCGGACCACCAACTGCAGACATTAAACAGTGACATTTTGCCACTGGTTACTGGAACCACTAAAGTACAAATCCAAGATGGTTCATTTTGTTGTGGTCGAAAGGAAAAGGTTGCCATGGAAACCATATTTGTAAATTTCCATGACACGGAAACCGCTTTTCTATACATTTCGAATTTTGGTTTTTACATATTTTCTTTATTTGCGTTTAATCATAATACTAGGCCATACGTTATTTCTGAATAAAAACTAACTGATTATAGGTATATGTATATTAAAGGGTATTTATGTAGTATCGGATAGATCTGCATTAGATTTACGAATGTACATAATGCTATATGGGAATATAGGGCTGAGACCTTAACTACGATTTACAAATTGATTTTAAAGCAGTTAGCCTACGATCTAGGCACTCTTCACTTCGGTAAATATAGGATCGTACTTGAATAGATTACAGTTACATGCCACTTAAGCTAAAAGGTATATCTATGGATCAGTAAGATTAGTAATACGGCGGATTCTGCTGATTGAAGCGATCTTCTTCGTCATCTTCAGCGTCTCACCTTCAGCTCACCATCCTCCAAAGCGGTTAGATCGGATCGTAACGACCGCCATTCGCTCATGGCTGCAAAACCAATCGACAGAAATTGAGATCAATTTAGCAATGGCTGGCTGATTGACTGGCTGACTGATTGAATGCATGAGGATCGGCGAGGGATGAGCTATTGAGATTTGTTCGATCTTTAAATTCGAAAGGATCTGATTGATTGGCTTTTGACTGAGTTGAAGGTGTTTGATTTTGTGGTGGTTGTGGGGTTTGAATCTGAATTGGTGTGTTGTAGGTGGCAGTGGAGATGATGCTCGAGATGCTCCGCCGGTGACGTGGTCTGGCGGTCCTGCTCGAGCGTTATTCTTTCTCGCTTCGTATCAGGATCTTTTTCTGCACCAGCTTGCGTACCTGTTGCGTTGTAGGCTGCGATATTCCACCTTGTTGCTGCTGCTGCTGCAAGCTGCCCACCGTGGGCAATGTCGTGGTCGTCTGTGTGATCGTCATCACCTCCGCCGGTCCAGCAGTAGGTCCTGCAATGTTCGTGTGCTGCTGCTGCTGTTGCTGCTGTACAACTGCCAGGAGATTGCCACCGGCGGTGGCCTGCAATCGGACAGGACTAGCGTTCTGTCGTTGATTGTGCTGCAGTGCAGCAATCAGGGTCTGCTGCGTTGTCTGGCCTGCAGCTCCTCCGGAGGCGGCCACTTTCAGCGCACTGGCGATGCTTGGACCAGCGACATGGGTGCGGAGATTTCCTGCAGCCAACGCTTGTGCGGAGGCAGCCGAAACAACCTAATGGAAAATAATTCGAAACAATTAATTTGTTCAAAGCAATTTGTTGCGAGCTAACCCACCTGAATTGTCTGACGTTGATTTGCCTGCGAAGCCACCGACACGGGAATCACCCGTCCAACGCTTGTCTTACCCAATACCAGATTGGTGGTGGCCAATGTGCCCTGCTGACCACTGCGCATCACCTGCTGGATCTGCTGTACGGTCACCGAATTCGGCAGTGCCTTGGTATTCTGGATGTGCAACAATTGCGCCTGGACACTATTTCCACCCACTTTCTGATGTTGTTGTTGCTGCTGCTGGCCAGCTACTGTGGGCAAAGTGCCGCCAGATACAGTGACTCCCTGCTGCTGTTGCTGCTGGGGACCAGTGGTCGTCACTATATTAGTTGCCGTGGGCTGACCACTGGCACTGACCAGCTGCGTCATCCGGCTAATCTTTCGCGGCATTGTCAGCTGTTGTTGCATTTGAAGATGACGCATCTGGTTGGGCATTGTTACCTTGATCTGACTGCCTGGCTTGAGCTGGGGAAGGGTCATATTCACGCTTCCCGCCTGGACAGTTGGATTGGTGGCCGATACAGTTACTCCGCCAGCATTGACACTGCTTCCGCTGGCTGCTGCCGCCGTAGAAGCTTTAACCAGAGAAGCGATCTGCTGCTGAGTAACCTGCTGAGGCTGCCCGGCCACAGGGAGTTGACCCTGCTGTTGCTGCTGCTGAGCACTGGTAGTAGTAAATAGCGCTCCAGAGTTCTGTTGCGCCTTTTGGGCGGCAAGAATATTATGTCGCTTAACTAATAACATATCTCCAGTTCCTGCAGTGGTGGTAGTTCCGTCTGCGGACACCACTTGGCGCTGCAGTTGCTGCTTCCCGGCCGCCATATGCTTGATTAATTGTGTCCTGGTCACATTACCCGCCTGCACAGTGGCGGATGTTCCCGGCATTCCTGACACAGCCACTTTTTGGCTGGTCACGTGAGTGCCCATGCTGCTAGCCTGAATTATTGTACCACCAGCTTGCAGAAGATTAGCAGTGGCTCCTGGAGTACCACCAGCTGATCCACCGGCGACAGCCTGAGTGGCTGTTTGCAGCACCTTTAGGCTGCGCTGTCGGTAGAGCTGGATGTGTGCCCCTCCGGATTGCTGAGTCCCAGGTATCACCGTAGTCTTTCCTCCCTGCTGTAATGCGCTAACCGGAATACCCTTTGTGGTTACCAGCTGGGTGGTCTGAGTGGCCGGAGATGTGGGAACAGCTGCCAAACGGAGATGAGTCTGAAATTGCGCCGGACTCACGCCTTGTCCCAAATTCTGCATAGACTGACTACCGGCTGCGGTGCGCTGTTGTAGGGTATTTCCTGCAGCTGTCGACACAATCCGCTGGCCACGCAGCATGGCAGTGTTTAGTGTGGTTACAGCTGCGGTCTGGTGCTGCTGTTGCTGCTGACTGGCAGTAGTGGTCAGCACAGTACTCACGGTGGGCAGAGTGCTAACGGAAACCACCTGAGGCAGCGACTGGGTCTGCACAATGCTGCCCAACTGTGGAGAACTGTTCACCGGCAGCGTCTGTGACGAGATAGATACTATCTGGGCACCTGAGCCGATCTGGGGTTGCACCACTGCCGGAAGAGTCTGGACTGGAGTGGTTAGTACAACACTCACACTGGACTGACCGCCCGAAGCAGCCACCGACTGTTGAGCCAGCTGTTGTAACTGACCTGCCGTCAGACTGGAAGACGTGCCCACAATGGTCTTGACCAGTTGTTGGGTGGTAGTTTGTCCTGACTGACCAGGATGTGTACGTAACTGCTGCTGTGGTTGATGGAGAAGGATGGCCGTTTGCTGACCGGGTGAGACATTCGAACTGGTCAAGTGCTGGATCTGTAGTTGTTGCAGTTGACCAGCGGCTGGAACAGCCACCGTTGTTGTGGTGCTGGGTTGCTGTTGCACTAGCTCCACTGTTTGTTGTACAGGCAGAGTCTGCTGAACGGTAGGAACAGTTGGCAATTGTTGCTGCACCACCTGCTGCTGCTGTTGCTGTTGCACCTGCTGGACCACTTGTTGCGGTTGCTGTTGCTGCGGCGGAGGTGGTGCAGGCTGTTGTTGCTGTGGGGCTTGCTGTTGCACTTGCTGGACAACTGCTACGCCAACGGAAGGTTGTGACATCTGCTGTCCTCGCTGCTTTTCCCTGATCTTATTCGCCTTCATCGCCGCAATATTCTGCGGCGGCACAGGCTGATCATAGTTTTGAATGCCGAACTCTTGCAAAACCTCCATGTGTTTGGGATTCATCAGGCTGGGAGCAGTAAACTGGCGCTTTGGAGGCGGGGCCTTCTTTAGGTAAGCCGTCTTGATGCTATCGAAGCGCGAGCGCATCGTCTTATAAAAAGAAGCGTTGTTATCGCTTACGTAGAGCTGGGTGGTACGCAAATACCGCAGTGGACTCTTCAGGTAATCAGTTCGCAGAGTGGGTTTAAGTTTTTTCTGCTTCTTCGGACTCTCCACCACCTTGCCTTCTTCTCGCGGCTGAATATGAGTCTCGTATCTCCAGCGACATTGACGCGCCGAACGGTACGTCTTTGAGCAGAAGTTAACCATCTCAGAGACAAGATCCCAGTTAGGCGTCTGCCCAGGAGAGAGGAGCATCAGGCTACAAGGCAATCCTTGTAGATTCACCAGCACGTGAAGAATGGCCATATCCTCAAAGACACACCACTCTGCCATGGCCTCCGGTTCTGTAAGAGGTTTAGTCGGAAGCTGAGGTTTCAGCCCTGGAATCGGAGAGTTTGGTTTAAAACTTCCACGGAATCGCTGACTCTTCAGTTCGCGCCGCAGACGTGCCAGTTGTGGTGTCGGTCGATCAAAAAGCGATCTGGGAGGCACATAGTTATCTTCCCGGCGCATCTTATTAGGCCTTCTGCTTCCATCGTAACCAGCATCGGTGCGCGAACGCTTGTGATCTTTGCGCACGTAAACTGGAGGCAAATCCATCTCTGCAATGGGTTCCAGCTCGTACATGAACGACAACGAATAGTCAATATAGATATCATTATCGTTATCCTGCGGCGGCGTGGGAGGACACCACATCTATTTAAGGAATCATAAAGGATTAGGACTATAAACTTGGGACTATAACGCACAAATGATTTAACTTACCGGCATCTGTTCCATGGTGTTGCGCGATATCCAGACCTGGACCAGAACGTAGCCAAAAAAGTTAAAAAAGAATAGACGGTTTCACATTATTTTCAAGATATAGCAACTCTGTTTTGGTGTTGGCTTAGAAACTATTTTTAATTCAACGTATTGCTCTTGATTTTAATTGAATAGAAAATTAACAAATTGATGGCGTTGTAGCTTTCATTCCGAACAATTTTTATCTTTCGTACGGCGCTTAAAAAATAATTCAATGGAGATTCGTTTCGTAGACATGGACAGAATAATGAATAACAATAATTGGATTGTAATTGCGACACCAAAACAGAATTGTACATTTGTTTACAGAAAATAATATTTAACAGTCTTTGAATGATTTCCGCTTATTCTTTTCCAACATGCTTTACTTGTTTACTTGTTCTTTGAGGCAACGCACGAAATTAGTCCGTAAATAAAAACCACAACGTCTTTTAGTTTTGTATCAGATTTAGATTTGTTTTTATAGATTTTGTTTTTCTTGTTACACAATCAATAAATCTTTATACTTTTCAAAGCATACGATTTGAGTTGTTTTATTGGTTAGTCAATCTATGCTCATAGTCTTTAGATTGTTAATGATTCGTTTAAGTTAGAGTACAAAATAAATTATAGAATGCAAAAATGTTTAACAATTATCATAGTATACCTAGTCTTACGATCTAAATCAGATTTTGGGAGAAGCGCTTGTTATGCTTTCTCGATTGTTTTCTTTGATAAACATTACTTAACAACAACAATCGAGGATGTGGTAATTTGATGGGGTACAGTTGAATGATGGATACTTGTAGTCTTCTAGATACCTTTATATACAATCTGAGATTTCTTACAACACTAGCCCAGAAGTTGTGAACTTCCTGGTAAACTATATCTACGCTATCGTCTACGCTTTTCCCCTGGGCCTAAAGCCCCTCTCGCCCAATTGATCGAATTAAGTTCAATTTGTTATCCTAGACTCTCGCATTGGTTCTGCCGCCTAACTAACTTAGCTCATATGATAGAAGGAAACTTGTTACAGTCTATAAATACTCGTTTTGTATCAATTGGCAGCAGTCACCTGGCAGTAGTGACAGCCCGGGAAAGGACCCGTCTCCTTACGGAAAATTCGTCGCCCACTAAAACGAACACAGCACACACAGCTGATAATACTGACAGAAGGATGAGAATGAATATCATCACCTGGTTGTCCCGCTCGAGGAGACATTTGTTCCCGAAACACCACTGACTGCTGGTGAGGAACTAGAGCTGGCCGCCGTCCCAGGAGTGGATCTTAGCATCACCCTGGGTGACTTTGTTATCCACCGATGCAAGGTATTGACATTACTGATAGTTTTGTTATTAGTTTCCTCTTTTTTCGCAGGTACTCGCTGAGCCACCCTTCGCCTTGGCTCGCTCTGAGATATCTTCGGTGTGGACTCGTTTCTGGGTGTCTTTTTAACACTCCTATTGGCACTGTTTCTGGTCAACGTGTTCGCCACTGGGCTCATGTCAAGTGTCCATAAGTTTATCTTAACTGAGCCGCGCGACCTAGTTCTAGGCGTGTGTCCAACAGCCTCACTCTCATCACTCTTATCCGATTGCTGCGGTTGCTCTTTGCTCTCCACTTTACCATCGTGATGTTCATCAGTGTCCGACTCATCGCTCACATTATAGTACGTGGAGCTAGTCATGGTTGTGTCCTGCACTTGATTATGTGCATCCCAACCATCCAAACTTTCGGGTCCTTCCTCTGCCGTACCATCACCCGCAGTGCCATATGTGGAGCTAGACTTGGCATCCACCTCTGAGTCTTCGCCCTCTACGTCATTTAACTCCTCTCCTTCGACTTCTTCCTCGACTTCCTCCTCGCCTTCGTCCTCATCATCGTTTGTTTGGGATTCGGTTTGCGTGGTCTCTTCTTCAAGTGCCGAATCCGCTGTCTCCTCTTCATCCTCGTCTACAGTAACACCCATATCCTCGTCTTCGGTATCTTTTTCTGATTCCTGCACTTCCTCATCCTCCTCATCCTGCTCACTGTCATCATCCGAATGTTTTAAAGGGGCTGCAATGGTAGCTCTCCTTGCCAGAAGTTTTTTGCGCGTAGCTGTCACAGCGACACTATCTCTTCGACCTTTTTTGGGTGAGTTGTCTTTACGCTGTTGTTGGATACCACATTGGGTTTGAGAGGCGTTTTTAACATCTTGCTCATTGCAATATTGGCCGACACCCTTTTAGGACGCTCCTCAATGATCAAAGAAGATTCCTCTAGAGCGGATGCGGCTGCAGATGCAGCCAAAGCTGTGCGTGTTGTCTTTCTAGTGGGCGGTGTTAGAACGTTGGTCATGTTGACCGCGCCAAGCGAATGGAGACGGGTGTGCCGCCCAACTGGTGTTACGGTACTATTGCCTCCCGTTACTGACCTCTTGCTGTTACTACTGCTACGGCTGCTGCTACTGACCCCCACCCCCGTACTCTTTCCTGTCGCGACTCCCGACCCCACGGGAGCACTCGAATTGAGGCTGTTCTGGCGATTACCCCGGACCGGAATCGATCTCTTATTTTTGCTGTTACTACTGTTGCTATGACTACTGACACTCCTGCTCAGCTTCTGAGCTGAATTTCTGCGTTTCACCCTCACCAGTGGTCGCTTATTGGAAGTGGAATCTTTTTTGCTATTAACCTGATTACTCGAATCCTTGCGACTGTAGGTGAGCATCTCCTCGGCTTCCGTTTCTTGCTTAAGCAGCTCCTCCTCCTTGTGCATGGCCTCCAACCGATTGGCCTCCCATTCTCGTTTCTGTGCCTCCAACTCCGCCTCCGCGGCTCGCAACTGTTCCGCTGTCCACGCTGCTCCAGTAGCTTCTACGAAGCGCATGGCGTAACGCTCGATGGGAGAGAGCTGAAATACGGATGAGATAATGAAAATTATTAGTACAATGGGTTAAAAAGTGTTGCATGTTGAATAATAAATTAAAAATTGTTAGACGTTGAGTGATACAATCGTGGCGTGGGTTATGTCGCCTCAACTATGTCTGAAGGTCTGATCTTGCTCTAGGCAACACTTGCTACATAGAAATCGCTTTGGAACACGAATTCAATAAGTTGCAAGTGATGCCACAATTTTGGCAAAAAAAAAAAAATTGGAACAGGATATATTTTGTATATCAAAATGTTTGACTTTGCGTGATACAATCGTGGTGTGGGTTAAAACACTCTTAGTTGACCATAAACTCACCTGTTTCACCAAGTTCTGCATCTCCAGATCGGCCTTACTGAGCTCAACTTGAGCTCCTCCTTCCGCATTAGCATCATCAGTTGCAATGGGAATGTTCTCGTCGAACTCCGCCAAATCTGCGGCCACTTCTGCTTTGGCTGTCTTCGTAGCTTGGACATCCTGTTCGTCCTCGGCGGCTGCCAAGGCGTGCTCAAAGGCGCGCAGTGATTGTTTCTCTGTATCAACGACCGTCGTCGACGAATCCAGAAGCGTTGTCGTAGCCACAATTTTATCCTTATCCTCTGATTTTTCCTGGCTAGTATCGTCTTGCTCGTTCTGTTCCATAGTAAAAAGATCCTTGATGGTAGAACTCTTGAAGTATGTGGTGGTAAAGTTACCACCTTCGATGGCCATGTCGCTAAGCATTCGTTTCTGGTTTGCCTTTTTGAGGATGTTTACCTCTATGGATCTTTCGGAGACAAGTCGGTAGATGTGAACATCTCGTGTCTGACCAATTCGATGACATCGGTCCTGGGCTTGCGCATCCATAGTGGGATTCCAGTCCGAGTCGTAAAAGATCACAGTATCGGCACCAGTCAAGTTTATGCCAACTCCACCAGACCGCGTGGAGAGAATAAAGCAGAAGATTCGTTTATCTCCATTAAAACGCTCCATTAGGATCTGACGCTGTTCTACCCGCGTGGAACCATCCAAACGCAGATAAATGTGACCGTGGTAGTTAAGAAAGGCCTCCAGAACATCCAACATCTTCGTCATTTGGGTGAATATCAGTACACGGTGCCCCTCAACCTTCAGTTGACGCAACAATCGATCCATTGTTTGCAGCTTGCCGCAATCGTACTGAATTAGACGCGGATCCGGAAACTGAGTGGTCATTGCCGAAATTATTGGATGAAGCAGAGCTAACTTCGGCAGTAAGGCCTGACCCACAGTGTTTTCAATTTCGCGCTCATACTGCCAGTGCGTTGATGCAAGATTCTGTACATAACGACGGATACGCGGCGCACAAACGGAAGGAACATAGATTACAAAGTTGGCAAACAATGGCTTAAGGTCTGCACATCTTTCTTCGAAACTCTTCAGCAAATGATTCAGAGACCAGCCATCTCGGTGCGACATGGCCGTGCAGCAATTAGAGTAGCCACGTGTCTGCCAGGTTGACCGCTTCAGTGATCTCGTCGCCTGCATACACCGCTGAATAGCCCCGCGGCAATCTTCGCCGTATATGGGAGTAGCATCGGTTCGCCGACGATTCATCATTGCCATACGTTTTAGCGAAGCCAACCGCTGCTCCTTGCGCATCTGAATCAATTCCTGCACTTTGTACGGATCCTCGGTCTCAGTTTCTTCCTCTGGCTCCGTTTTCCCATTTGCAATACTTTGCTTTTGTGCTGTGCTTTTTACATGCGTGGCCAGATCTTTGACAATGGGTTCCCTAATTAGTTGCTGGGAAGACGTAGTTGCTGAAGATCCGGTTGCTCCGGACATCGTCGTGGCCGCTGACGATGTGGTTTTACTCGTCAGAGTGAGGCGGGCTCCAGCTGCTCCCGAATTCGTAGCCGGTGTGAGGTAGAAAAATGGCTTTCCGTCTTGCATCGTTTTAGCCACTTTGGCAGGCGTGGGAGCATTTATTTGCGAGCGCGCGCCTAGCAACTTGGAGTTGCTGAGCACACTTAAGGCTCCAGTAGGAGAAGCTGCAGTTGTTGACGCTGTTGTCACCACACTATTAATGACCACTGGTTTTAGAGCCACATTCACAGGGTTGATGGAGGCACTGACTCGTTTGAGAACTCTCCCACTAGGTAGCAAACTGCGCATTGGCACTATCTTTGAACCTTCCATCCTCATTGCAGGACTGGCTCCTACTTTTACCGCGTTCAGCTTGATGCGTTGGGCCAACTCTGCACTGCGTACCCGAATGTGAAAACGGTATTTGCCATTGGGACAACGGGGTGCTGGTTGGGGAGCCGTATCGATCTCCTCGATAAGCTTGCGAGGCGGAGCAAGCAGGCGGGATTTGTGCGAGACGTAAGCGGTCATCGTTTGCTCCAGATGCAGTAACAACAGATTCACCGTCTCAAGGTTGATTTGCTGTAAAAAAAAAAAATTAATAAATTAGTTCTTTTCATGTTATAGTGACAGAAAAAAAGTTTGTTGATAATCGAATCAGACAAATGCCTCGCAAATGCGAACATCCTGGTAAAAGTTTACGACTCTCTCCAAAATAGATTAAGCCCAACTATCAGTGACAGTTTAACATCATTTTCAACGAAAAATGGAAGAGGTGAATGTTGTTTGACTTACCGTAAACGGATTATACTCCATTATGTCGCAGACAAGACGTGGCGTATGGAATGTAATGCCCTCCATTTGAAATGGCGAGATGGTCGGTCGAACCTCGAACATGTTCGGATGATTACACACCTTTCGCAGCTGCATCAGAACATTAATCACGCTCAACAAGTTTCCAGTTTGAAGAGTTTCTCGAGTACTGTAGGATAATCATAAAATAGGTTACTAATAATTCATCAGTTGTGATCAAATTAAAACTTACTTGGCGCGACTCATAAAATCGTCGTACAAGTAGCGCTGGCGATTCGAAAGACGGCACATGATAACATGCTCATACTTCTTTGGCATTTGTTTTTCAACCTCCTTCTTGAGACGTCGAAGTAGGAACGGACGAATCACCTGTACGGAAAAACAAAAGCAATATGCTGATTACTGCGCATTTAAATTTGAAATTATAAAGAATAGGCTATAAATGCAATTGTGTTAGGGGCGTTTTCAATGTGAGCAGCCTGATAAGAACCTGAGCACATGGATAAGACGCATCTCCTTGATCTGGCAAACTAACAAATTGTCATCACACGAGGCTACATTTAAATGTGACACAGAGTGCATTTGCATAACAAAGACCAAATACAGGCATAAATCTTACAATAGGAATATTCACAATGTAAACGGATTAGAGTTAATGGAACTAAAATCACTTGCTATTGTGAGGATTGCTCTGGCACACAACTACGATTTTCAAGAGCATTTAACAGGCTGACAAGAAAACGCTTTTAGGTGCAAAGGGATTATTATATTTTTAACGGTGTAATATGCGTTTTCAATGCAATCACCCTGATTCGGCATTAATCACATGGATAAGCGCATCTCTTCGATTTAGCAAACTAACAAATTGACATCACATGTGGTTTAATCGATGTGACACAGAGTGCATTTGCCTAATCTAAGTTAACGCCATACTTTAAAGTATTTTAAAGGATGTTCACAATGTAAACGGATTCAAGTTTTGAGGAAACTAATATCACTTGCTATTGTGAAAATTGCTCTTGCACACATCTACGATTTTCAAGAGCATTTAACAGGCTGGCAAGAAAACGCTTTTAGGTGCAATCCCAATATTAAATATAGTCAGCTATATGGAATTCAGTTATGCAAAAAACAGAAACACTTGCAACTGAGCATTGCTCTTGCACACATCAACGATTTTCAAGAGCACTTAATGGGCTGGCAAGAAAACGCTTTTAGGTGCTAAATAAGTGAATAAAAAAGGTATTCATTTGAATCCAATGCTAACCTTGTGCAGACGAGATATTAAAGTCTCATTATATTCCATGTTGCCTTCAATCATGCCCGTCATCGGGTTGGAGAACCACTCTTTAAACTCGCGGTGCGATGAGAACACATATGGCATGAGGAAGTGCATTAAGGACCACAGCTCCATCAGGTCGTTCTGCAATGGTGTTCCAGTCAACAACAGCCGTCTATAAAAAACAAAGAATAGTACTTATTAAATCAATTCATATTAAAAGCTTTTTAGTTAAATGTCTCGAGACAAGGCCACAAGCATTCTAGGACTAGATTAGCATGCTCTGGTTTAGTATGCGGCATTATAGCGAATTTAGTTTTAGCACCCAAGCGTAGTCGCCATGCTAGTTTAGCAATCGCATGGTTACTGATTTTGGTGCTGGCTCTCAGGTTTAGCAATTGCAATCTTAATTATTCATTACTCACCTCTCTGTGGAAAAGTTAAGTAGCAGTTGCCAACGTTGAGACTTGAAGTTCTTGATGTTTTGCGCCTCGTCCAAAATGAGGTACTTCCATTTTTTACGACGGAAGCTCTGTTGATCTTGCACTACCAGCTTGTAGGACGTTATGCACACATGGAAAGCATTTGGCTTTGTCCAACCTACGCGCTTTAGCTTGCGCTCCTTTTGGGTGCCGTAGTAGGTGAGTATTTTGAAGCCGGGACACCACTTCTTGAACTCCATTTCCCAGTTGAGCATCACAGACGATGGTACCACAATAAGGTGGGGCCCCCAGTTACCCTTGCGCATGCAAGGTGGGCTAATAGAGCGATGGTTTGAATGGTCTTGCCCAGACCCATCTCGTCAGCCAGGATGCCGTTAAGTTTGCGTTCGTTCATTGTGACCAGCCAATCGAGTCCAATGTGCTGGTACTCACGTAGCGAGTGCTTTAGCAGGAAGGGCACCGGGGTAACCACATTGGTGGAGGATAAGGTGTTACCCTTCGGCTGGAGGCTTTCGGCTAAAGCGGCGGCATTATTAAGCATATCATCCTTGTTACCGCTTCCTTCTGCGGCACTTCCGCTGCCAACAGCTCCACCAGGTGCATCGCCATCCGTCAGCAAGCTTTTAAGGCCGTCTTCTGCTTCCTCCTGCTCCTCCATATCCGTATCAGTTTTAATAGTGGATAGATCTTCTTCATCCTCAGTGGCCTCCTCTTCACTTTCGTCGGTGGAATCATCAACAGCAGTCGAGTCATCATCAGAATCCAGTGCAGCATCACGCGGTGCCAGCTTGCGTCGCTTCGGACTAGGAGGCTGGTCACTAACTCTAGCTGACTTGTATTTCGCCAGCAACTGCTCCACTGACAGATCATTGTCCGCCTCCAATTCATCGATTTCCTTTTTGTGATCTACCTCCTGTTCGGCTTCTTCCTGTTTGCTGATGGTATTCTCGTCATCGTCGCTGGCTTCCTTTGCCTCGAACTCACTATCATCGCTATCATCAGGAGTTTCGCTCTTTATCGTCGCACTCTGCTCCTCTTTCATAAGCTTATCACGATTCTCTAGATAGCCAGGCGGTAAATCATTGAGAAAATCATCAAAGTCCATTTCAGACTCCTTGGCCAGCGCTGTCACCTCCTCTTTAACATCGGCTGCTTCTTCTTCGGCCTTGGCGATGGTCTCCTCATCGTCTTCGGAACCAGACTCAGGTCGGAAGTCATCTGCAAAGGAGATATTTTAATTAGAATTTGCTTAACGATAATGATATATATAATAATGTGTGGTAAAAAAGCATCAGGCAAATGCCTCGCAAATGCGACCATCCCATGTTAACATCGAAGCGTTCAAAAATAGACCACAACAACGTTTCAGTGTGTAGTTTATCATCAAGTGCTTAGTTCTGATACTGAATATTATATCAAAGAACAACTCACCATCAGATTCCCGTTTTGGCGATGTAAGGCGGCTAGAATTCAGACTGGGCGTGTCCGCCACACTCTTGTTCATTCCCTCGGCCAGTTGCTGTGAAAACTTTTCCGTCTGGTCGACAATAAAGCTAAGGTGCTGGTCCAGAGCCTGTTTGCGTTTTTCCTCAATCTTAGTTTGGTGCTTGTACTCGACCAGCTTCTCGACATTCGACCAAAAGCTCTTCACTTCGCGGGCAATAAATGAGGCGACGCGCTTTAACTGCAGTTCCTGAGCCTTTTCCGCCCGCTGGGCAGCAGTCGCCTTATCCTGGAAATACTTCTGCACCATCTTAGCGCACTTCTTGGCCGCATTTTTCTTCCACTTTCGCTCCTGTGCAAAGTCGGCCGCCAGCCAAACCATCTCCTTCGAGGAGGTAGTCCCAGTGCGCCTTGGGGCGGCTGGGCTCCTGCAGCTTGGGCAGTCGCCGCTCAGTCCATAATCCCTCTCGCTGTAGTTCCGATATACGCTGCATCACGTACACTTCCTGCTTGGCCTTAAACGAGAACTCCTGCGCTGCACTATTCGGCGTACCAGAGCCACCAGCCAAAGCGGGGCTGAGCAGGCTGCCAGAGGTGGGAGTGCCGGGCGTGAGGGCTCCACTGCCGCCCAACGCCGCAGGGCCATTGCCGGTGTATAGAGGTGTGGGTGTACCGCTTCCGCCTCCTCCAGATGCCGAGGATGATCCGCTTGCGGCATTGTTCTGACCTTGTGGGCGCCTCAGCGCAGTTGATCCCACGGATGTACTGCACGGTAACAGCGGAGTGCCACCTTGGAAAAAAGCCAATAAAAATCGATTAAAACCACGATTTTTTCAATTAAAGAACATAGGTAAAAGATCAACTCTTGGCATGCTGGAAAGTGCATCAAATATAAAAGAACTACCAGGAAAGCAATAATGAATGGATGGAATAGAATAAACATGAGAATCGTTTGCGAATCGGTTGCTTAACGAAAGAGGTGGGAACTGCATGCAAACTTATTCTAAGTGTGGAGCCCGAATTCAGTGCGGCAGCTGGGAAAAATATAGCTGCCACACGGATAAGCGAAACACCGCTTTACTCTAGCAAGTTTACAAATTGTCATCACATGAGGCTGGATATCGATGTGACACAGAGTGCGCTTGCCCGATCCTCGCGAGTTAAAGATTCAGATAGAAATATTTAATTGAGCACAGCTTAAATTGGATCTGATTCATTCGTGGACTCAGATCACATGCAACTGCAACTGCTGCTCTGGCACACATCTACGATTTTCAAGAGCATTTAACGGGCTGACAAGAAAACGCTTTTAGGTGCAGGAATTGACTATAAACTAGGACTAATGACTAGGCACATGTGGATGAACGGATGAATGGTGGGAAAGAGAACCGAACCGGCGGTGTAATAAAACCTAAATTTTGACGCGATCTCTAGATTACTAAGAATGATTAAGTTTGCTAACTTGCTTACAAATCAACGCAATCAATAAAACGATACATTCATCAATTATTTATCAATTCAAACTGAAATCAAGGTATTAAGCAGATTTACCAATCAAAACTAAGGGCAATAACACCAATTCTAGAAAAAAATTTACAAAATGAAAAGATAATCTTTATGCACATGAATCAATGCACTACTTTGCTTTGCAAAATATAAAATGCTTCAATATTTAACACACAAACTGGTATAAATTAGAATGAAAATCAAAAGAAAAACAATTTTAGCTGTGAAAGATTTTTGATATTTTTTGATGTTTGCGAACGATAAGCACCTGGCACCAAAGGTACAGAAGGATTTCCTACGGCAGCAGGAGGAGCGGGTATTTGACCGAAGACCATACCGTGACGACCTCCTAAAGGTCTACCGGGTATGTGACCTATATTATAACGATAACGATACAATTATGGTGAGTTGAGTGTGTGCGTTATAGGAGGATGTAGGCAGCATTAATGTGGGAACAGAAATCGGAAAAAATAAATATATTTGTAAATAATAAACAGCAGTACGGGGTAATCGGTTATGTAGTTATGCTTGTGTTTTAGTAGGTGTGTTTTGTGATATAAACGATAAAAATAATAGCATTTGGTGAGTTTAGTTTGATTTTGTTGTATAATGTATTAGTAATGCACAATAGTTGGCGGCCACAATATAATATCGGTATAACATTATAAGTTTTTAGTGCAGGACGTGCGTTTGGCATTTGGCGCGGTTTTAGTTTCATTTTTGAAGTTACAGGAGTTGGTATGCAGTTGGCTAAAGTTTTTGCATCGATTTTACAATTTCAATTTGGTATAAATATGGGGACCAAGATAACAATTTAACAATTTTAAAACAACGAAAAATACAATTCTTTTGGTCGAAACGAACACAACAGAAACACAAAAGTCTTCATAACAATGAGAGAGATCAGAGTATGCGATCGGGAACACGGTGAACTTACCTTGTTGCGTTAGCTGGACAACTGCAGCAGGTAGCTTAGTCGAAATGGCCACCGGAGTAGCTCCAACAGATGGGATTTTGATTTCCGCCTCCAGTGGCAGGACATTACTACTCGCCTCAACCGAATTCCCAGTTGTGGTGGATGCGGGGGCACTTGCAGCTGCTCCTAAGGCAGTGCTGCTCGCGGTGCTTGCTGTTGTTGCGGGAGTTGTGTTTGTGTTGCTGCCAATCTTACTTGGCACTTGAGATTGCGTATTCTGAAAGCATTAAAATCTCGATCAGAACACTGCTTATAAACAATAACAACAACAAAATATATCTACGTCATTCAGACAAATGCCTCGCAACTGCGAACATCCCTTTAATAAGCCAAAAATCAATCAAAAATAGATCGAAAAAGGCACTCAGTTGGTGTATAACATCATAATGGTCCACAAAGGGATAATTGTCTTAGAATTCTTACCGTTTTCACTGTACTATTGCTGATGCTGACATCCAGTGTTTCTGTTGCAGTCGTCCCAGTACTAATCTCACTGACCACTGGCGACTCCACAATGGCTGCCTGTTGGGTGGTATATTTCTGTGCTTGATTCTGGGCCGCAGCTGCAGCTGCTGATGTGCTCGGCTTATCCTCGTGTATCAGCTGATCTATACGATTCGCATTGCTATAGCTGATGAACTGCGGGGTTGGTGTCTTCTTGCGCCACGCGGGGTAGTCCATCATACTGCCGCCGTTTTGTAGATAAAAGTATTCGGACACATTTTCAAGATGCCTTTTAATAGAGGTTAAAATTAGTTATATGGTTAACGAGTATATATATGAAACACCTACCTTTCCTTAAGATTACGCAAAATCTGCAACTTCTGCTGAAGAATGCGCTTCTTCAGGGCATTTCAGGTCCTGCAGGGCCGTCGATGAAAGCCCACCGACCTCACTGTTGGAGGCCACTGATGCTGGAAGCAGAGAGCCCACAATGTTGCTGCTCCCGGCTGTTCCAACAATACTGGAGGCCCTATCCTCAATATTTTCTAAACGCTGACGCTTGGCCTGCGGCGGCGAAACGGAGGCTTCTATGGTGCTGGTCGTACTAGGTCCGGTGGATGGATTACAGTGGGCGCTTGTTGCTGCTGCTGCCGTTGCCTCTGTCGTTTGCTGTTGTTGTTGCGGCAAGGGCGACAGCGGCACAGGCAGCTGCGCACTGGGCAGTTGCTTCTGTTTGCTACTGCTGCTGCTGGCGATTCCCTTAGCTTGGGTCGCAAGGTGATGGTGATGGCGGGTGGCCGGCAAGGCTGCTACAGATGATCCTGCTCCTGCTTGTCCTGAAGTGCTTGTGGTTTTGGCTGTTGCAACTGAAATTTCCGTTGAATGTGGAGTTACGCGGTCTGGCACAGCAGGAGGGGCCGGGCAAAGCCCTTCATGCCCCCCTCCTGCTGAATTACCTTCATTCATGTTTGAGACATCTGCAAAGACAACAATAAAGGAATGAGTTCCCATTATTATTTAAACCGACAGCGGTTGGCGGGAAAAAAAAAGTGGCCTGCCGAGCACATGTGCCGATAATGCAGCCCTGGTCATATTTTAGAGCCTACTTTACAATTTCAACATCCGACTATGTTATTACCATTTATACTGCGTAATATCCATTATCGAATGTTCTAAGCAAATAAAACTATAGTCATCTTCAAAAGAAAAAAAATGCTTATCGCACCGAATGCACCCCCCGAAAATCAAGAAATGCAACCCTGCGTCCTGGGTTTTTTCCATGCCTTGTACACACCCCGGGGTTTTCTACATCCGCAATGGCAACGTGAAAAACCAATATTATTGGCACATATTCCATTGTTCGCACGATTTTTAAATTTTCACCATATTTTAATGCTCAAAATAAGCACTTCACACATACAGACAGGAGACTCAAAATCCCAGTTGAAAGAGAGAGACGACTATATTCAGCGACATGGCGGCGTCGCTTCTTTGTGTTGGTGTGCGCGTCAATTCTTCGCGCGGCAGACATTTTCTTTTATTCACTTTTTTCGTACCTCAGACGGGGAGAATTTTAATCACAAGATATCACCATCTCTACAAGGCATCCGGGCTTGAAAATGGTGCGAATGCGTCGTGAAAAATGTGCCGCACTCGTTCGTATGCAATCGGCACCGAATTTCTTGCACATTTATTGGAATTTTTCCGGCAGCGGTGCGAGAGCACGTCTGCTCGTGTTCAAAATGACAAGAAAATTGATGTGACCATTGGGGAATTGCTCATATATACCAAAGAAATTTTCTTTTCTGTGTGACCCTTCTGGGACACAAGAAATATACCAACTTGTCAGCGATTATTTCTAAAAGACTTTAAGAAAGAAGCATATCTTCTTATTTGTATATCAGCAGAATGATCTAAACTAAAGGATTTTTGAGATTCAATATTTTCATTTTTTTATTCACTTTGTCATTTTATTAATATTATTATTGTCCAAAAAAATTCGCTTGACATCATGTGAAACCATTTTTACGCAACAAATTAGACTGAATGATAATCAATTAGAAAACGGGTATTACAATTCATACTTATAATTCTTAAATTGTGAAAAAAAAAATTAGTTAATAATAGCAGGACAAAAATTAGCATTGACAGGTTAACCGAATCCGCCCCTGCCTCAACAGAAATCCCATACTGTATTCTACAATCAACTGCAACCAACTGGTCACACTGGCTAACGATGATGACGACACAAACAATTCGTTTTAAAACTTTCTTACGGACGTAAAAATGCGCAACCACGCTGGCAGCACAGCGTACGCACACGTAATTGGAACAAATGTTTGCTGAACCACTTCCGCCCACTCAATGTAAGCGCCAACGACTCTTTCACCGCCGCCGTCGTCGTCGCCGCCGCCGGACTATTTTGTTTACTATTTATTTACACAAGTGCAGTCGTCGATAGCTCTTAATTTCGGAGTAACAAGTACGTAGTTTTCGCCTTATCGTATTGCTATCACATATTCACATGTTGGTGGTAATCAGTACTATCCAGCTCATTGTCTGACTATCGTTTTTGCATACGCGGCCAGACACCCACGAGAAATCAAAAACAAGAGACCAGTGAAAGTAGGAATAATCCCCGGCAAAATGTTGGCCCATTCCGCCCATGTGATGACGCTGGCCAACAGCATTATAGGCGTTGGAATCTTGGCCATGCCTTTCTGTTTTCAAAAGTGCGGCATCCTGCTGTCCATCGTTCTTCTCGTGCTGAGCAATGGAATAACCAGGATTTGCTGCCACTATCTTATCAAAACATCGCTGCTGACACGTAGAAAGAGCTTCGAGATGCTGGGTCTCCATGCTTTCGGCGTTTCCGGCAAGTTGCTGGTGGAGCTGTGCATCATTGGCTACCTGATTGGAACGTGCATCACGTACTTTGTGGTCGTTGGCGACCTGGGGCCTCAGATAATTGCAAAGATTTTCAATCTGAACGTGGCAGATCACCTGCATCTGCGAAGTCTGGTAAGAAGCTAGGATTACAGGAAAAAACATTGACATATCAAGCACTATATCTAGGTCATGATCGTAGTCACGGTGGTCTGCATAATACCTCTTGGCATGCTTCGAAATGTGGACAGTTTGTCCGCCGTGTGCACCGCCTCCATAGGTTTCTACGTCTGCCTTATTCTAAAGATTGTGCTGGAAGCTCATCCCCACATTTCAGCCAATGACTGGACTAATAAGGTGCTATACTGGGAGCCGGCTGGTGTCCTTCAATGTCTGCCCATCTTCAGCATGGCGCTTTCCTGCCAAATGTGTGTACACCTGTTTTCCTAATTCGGTAGACACCATTAAATATTTGATCAATCTGTAGGCAACTGTTCGAGGTTTTTGAGAGCATAAACAACCAAAGTCTCGATAAGCTGAACGGCATCGTGCGCAACGCCACTTGGATCTGTACCTTTGTTTACATATCCGTTGGTTTTTTCGGATATGTGGCCTTCTGTACGCACACCTTTTCGGGTAAGCCAACCACCTTTTTGACGCATTTCGTGAACTACATCGTTCGCTTTGTATTTGCAGGCAACATTCTGGTAAATTTATCGACCTCCTTTGGCAGCGATATTATAAAAATTGGTTTTGTTCTGTCGATTGCCTTCAGTTTTCCATTGGTTATCTTTCCCTGCAGGGCCAGTCTTTACTCGCTGCTATACAGAAAGGTAATTTCGCCGTTTTTATCTTGTTGAGTTGACACTAAAAAAAACTTTTAACAGGGTCACTCGGAGAGTAGTAGTTACATACCCGAACAACGCTTCCGCTTTATCACTATCTTCATAGTAGTCTTTTCGTTATGCGTGGCGTTGGTTATACCTTCCGTGGAGCTGATCATTGGGTTAGTGGGTTCTACTATTGGCGTTGCCATTTGTATTATGTTCCCAGCCTCCAGTTTTCGAAAGATTATCAAAAAGGAATCAATGGAACGTACGCTGGCCCAGTTTGTGTTCGTAAGTGGATTTCTTCTGATGATATTGGGAACATACGCCAACTTGAGTGCAATTGATGAGAAGAGCTCGGGCCCGGAGTTCGATATAGTTCCGATAGTTACCCCCCTGTATCCGGATGGTCAGGTACCCGCTATCGTCGGCGAGTTACCAAAACATTTGGCCAAAGATCCGATTGAAAATGAGAAGAACGTATTGCTAAAAAAGCTGGAAGTCCAAAAACCGGATTTAATTAAGGAAACTGTAGAGGAAAAGATACTTGATAAGCCAAAGGTAGTTGAAACCGCTGCCTCCGACAACCCACCGTTGCCTCCACTGCCCATCGATGAAGTCCACGTTGTTCCCTTAGAAAGTAATAAAGCTGCAAGTGATCTTAAAAAACAACCGGCGGAGGCCCAATACCAACCAGAAGCTAAACCAGCTGATGTTAACCTGGCTGTAGATAAGCCCAAGGAGAATCCACCTGCCATCGTTGCAGCACTATCGGATACTCCGAAAATAGAATCAAGTATGTTATCAGCAAGCAATACGATTGATGGAGCGGCCATAAAGAAAGAAGAGGACGTTGCCGCTGAGGAGCAAAAGGAGAGTAAGGCTAATGCGGATGAGCTTATTAAAACACAGAAAGAATTAAAAGAGACAAAGAAACTGCTGGCCAAAACCGTTGGAGAGCTTAATGAAGAGCTGGCTAAAAAGAATCCTCTGAGCCAACCTTTGGAGTTGGAGAAAAAGGAACCCTTGGAGGCTAAAGTCGCTGAAGAATCAAAAAAAATGGAAAGCGTACTCAAGGAACCGCAACCTGTTGCTGGGGCAAACGAGGAGCGCAAGCGCAAGGCATCTTTAATAGATATACTCACGGAAAATACTCATTTGCGCGATGAGAAAGAGGCCCATGCCGGCGTTTTTGAACCGCTCTCGTACAAAACTGGAGAGCTACTCAAAAACTCGAGCGTAAATACAGCAGATTTGATCAAGCGGTTGCCTATTCCATTGGCTCTAATGGTGAATGCAACCCAGCTAAAAGCAATAAATGACACGGAAATTAAGAAACCCAACCTCGAAGATAACGTTGAGGCTATACGGAGAGAACTGCTTAACCTGCGAAGTTCGGGAGATGTGACTGAGCCACCACCGGCGAGGGTTAAACGTGAAGCCTCGAACGAGGAGAACTGTCTCCGCCAGCCAAAGCTGGATATAGTGAATAACAATGCGGCCGCCGTTGCCTTGAGCTTGAACCTGCAGAGTATTGGACGCGATCTCAAATCCATCAAAGATGACGATGTCGAGATAACCACTGAAAACGAATCCTACCAAGCGAGTCCGAATGGAACTCAAATACCCCTGCTTACGTAATGTGGAAAGTCTAAAAGTTATGCAAAGCTTTATGTACATAAACTATACACGTATTTATTTAATTTATAAGAGATTGTAGACTATGAGTATATACAAATATATATACATATACAGTTCATATTACTTGGAATATTCCGTCAATTTTCTAGTTCAGTTGCCAACTAAATTTAGTGTTGAAAAATAGTCCAGAATTTTTGGAAGCTCATCAAAATGTCTATAGTTATTGATGTTGTCCAGCAAATTGTGCTGCAGAAAGCCTGCGACTTAGCATGTGAGGCAGCTATTTTAGCCTTGAGAAAATGTGGCAAAGTAAGTAGAAAGTGGCACTTTAATAAGAAAATGTTAATTCCCATTTTAAGCTCAGAATAGAAGATGATAAGTCGAAGAAGAATGTAAAGAATGACAAGCCATTGCCTATGCCTTCAGTTAAACCCGTATCCGAGGTCGTGGTTTTACCACTGAAGATAACACCAGTTCCAGAAGTTAACAAAACAGTCCAGTTTGTGGGCCGGGACATTCCTAGAAAGAACTTCGGCTCCATCGATCCTCCCCAGTGCTCCTGCATGCGTGTTTGCCGGGATAGTTACTTCTCTTAGGCTTAAACACAACAAAGGTTTAAAAACAATTGCAACTTTAATAGAATAGGAAATAGCAAAATTTCTAGTGACATCTGGCATCGAATCTCATTCCATTGTGTATCCGTACAATTATCAAATGTAACACTAATAACAGTTTTTGGTAGCAACTAACAGGTCTGAGTATTAAGGTAATTAAGATGGTTTAGGCCACATCTGCTCCCAAAGAGTGCAGATCGTGGAGTACCTCCAGGATGGCAGCTACACTCCAAGCCTGTGTGCGGCAGGAGTCTCCGCAATAGGAGCCGTTGTCGTTGGTCAACTCGGGCAAACCGCGCCAGTGAGATGTCTGCAGCTCCCGCAGATGGGCCCGCAATATGGCCCATGTCTCGGCAATTGTTTCGTCCAGGTGGCCACACTTCTTGGCGAAGATCAGCCGCGCTCTTAGGTAGAAACCAATGGGCCAAACCCACTCGGGTCCCTGGTGGTAGTTGGCGCCGTCGGCCACTGTGCAATCGGTGGAGTCGTTTGAGTTGTCATAGTTGGCCCTGTAGTTCCAGTCCTCAGGATCGAGGGTCTTCATGCCCAGCGGTCCCAAAAGATACTTCCTGGCTCGCTCCAGTGCACGCCAGGCATTCTGAGGATTACATAGCTCAGGGGCCACGGTCAAGGTGATGGGGAAATTGCATCGCAGCTGATAGTCTGTCCAGCTCTGAGTGGCTCCGTAGCTATCCTTATAGATCAGCTTCTTGTTGGCCACTGAGCAGGTTTCCGATTCGGACACAAAGAAATACTTGTCAAAGTTGTCCTTAATACGATCCGCCCACTCCTTGTATGTCCACTTGGTCACCTCGCCCGACGGTCCTTTCCGCTCCACTCCAGTGTACGGAATAATTTCCTTCTCGGCCAGGCTTTGCATGAACCGAAGTGATGCGTACTGCAAGCCAATGAGTTCCACTGCGGATCCATCACGGGGCGTGCTGGGTCGTCCCTTGTTTCCGGCCTTCTGCGAGGAGCCCATCTTGTCCATCCAGGTTCCGCAGTTAAAGTTGTTGCCACCAAAAACGAAGCCTGTCTCTGGGTGTACCCCGATGTGGTTGTTAAATCCCTGGTCCAACATATGTGCATCAATCTCGTAGCCTGCGTTTGCGCTCCCTATACTGCAATCCCTGAAAATGCACCTGCAGGGCCTCCTGCATCACGTCGAACAGCAACTGGTCGAATGCTCCAGGAGCATGGGGCTCAGCGTCGTCGTATGGGAAGATGCGCGACACCTTGTCTCTCAGGATTTCGGCACCCTTGGGGGCATCCTCCACGTATTGCTTGATGCAGTACATCCACCACCAGACAGCGTCACGGCAGTTGAATCTGGGCTTGCTGCCGCTGTCTAAAAGATTCGGAATGAGACCGTGTCGCAGGGTCTGTCCAAATCCAATTATAATGTATCGGGCTTCGTTGTAGCGACCGGTGAGGAACATGGTGCCACGAAGTGCAATGAATGTGTCACGTCCCCAGCAGCGCATATACCCTATGGATGATAATAAATTGTTAAGTTCTCAGTCACAAACTTTTATCGAACGACTCACCCGTCGAGAAATGCGGAAGACCAGCGGAGAGTGTTACACATTGCTTTGGTGGCTTAGGTGGATTAATGGCATGACTGAATCCTGGCAAGTTCGCCGACCTACAAACGGAAAGGAACTGCAACGTAGACAAGGCCAGAGACTGGGTAAAGCTGTGACCATTCTTAATAAAACTATGAAATACAAAATATTAGTTTTAGAACCAAATCGAATTTGCTAAAGGATATACTCAGGCATTAATTCGTTGACCTGGTTGATGAGGACGTTATAAACCCCACTGACAATGGCATCAAAGTAGCAGGGTATGAGGTAGCGTGGGATATTCTTGAGCGGCTCAAAGGTAGCTTTAAACCAGGCGGAAAGTGGCTTCAGATCTTCATAGCTAGTGAGGCGGTCGGCGATGTAATCTGGAGAGAATTTTACTGATCAGTATCTATATCGGTATATATTCTATATACTATTTACCCATCATCCAGTTTCCATCGCGCAAGTTGTTACAGAACGGATGGCCTAAATCGTTTTTGGGCGAAATCTCTGTCAGGAGGGAAACGAATCCCTGTAGGCCGCAGTAAACAATCTTTCCAAAATTGGGAATATCATAGGCTGTGCCACCTTTGCCCAGATCGCGTTCCTCCTCATCGCAAGTGAAGAGCGCGCCACTTAGAGCCACCAAATCCAACTTGGAGACTATGGCTTGCAACTGAGACCACTCATCACCTGATCCTAGTCGCAGTGCGTTCGTGATCTTCTGAAGCTTATCGAAACTGGCACGTGGACCTGGATGCATGGACACCCTTATGGCCACCACTGTGCCAGGCCGCAAATTGACAAAGTTCAGTACTGTGTTGTTGCCATCAACATAGGCCTGAGTCTGGAATACAGTCGACTTCGACAGAGGGATGTGCTCCTGCAGGCTCAACTGGAACTGGGTAAAGCCGTTAATCACGTTGGCATCCTTCTTGAACGGAGCAGGCCGATCGAATGGTTTGTCGCTCTGCATGGTCAGACTAGCCTCCAAGATAATCTCGTCCAGAACGCCCTCGAAACGCAGTGGACGGATTCCTGTTGGTCCCGCATTCGGAGACGGATACCCGAACGCCGTGTGGGCTACCAGAATAACCGACTGATGGGTGCTCGGCGAGTGGCGAGTAACGGCTACCACGTTGGGATCCATCTGGTCTACATACACCTGGCTGAAGCCTTCCTCCGCAAGTTGACCGTGCAGCAGATTCAATGCCCTCTTCGCACCCATAATTCCAGATTTGGCGTCGACACCCTTCCCCCACTCCTGGTAGGTGCGTTCTTCATCAACGACATGGATCTAGATGAAATGAAGGTAATAGTTTCTGGACTACAGCTTAAAGTAATGATTGCTTACATGATGTGGAACAAGTTCGTCGTAACCACGATTACTTCCGGTGGCACAGCAGGCCATGGAAACCAATGCTGCTGAAGGTAACAGATCGTACACGGAACGCTTCTCTACAGGGGATGGATTGTCGTGGGTAAGGTCCAGGAAGAGGGCATGGGCCACACTGGTGGCCTCGTGACGCGATGAATTTGCATAAAAACCACCAACAGGTACTCCTCCGTACCGGTAGACCAGACGACCCTGCTCATGGGAGTCCCAAGCGGAAAGGGCCTCACGGATCAATGAGGTTATACCTAATCGATTTACAAACACATTGTCGGTGCCATCCGAGTTAGTAAACAACTCTGCCACCACGTACAACTCCGGGTTAATCTTGCGAGCTTCATCGAGCAGGTACTCGGCCACGTGCAACGGCGTGGAGTGGCAGTTGTCCAATCGCACTCCATCGAAAATGCGCGCCGTGGTCTGCACGTACTCGGTCATGTGCTTCCACAAGTAGGGACTATCTTCCGGTCGCTTTCCGAACCTCAACTTAACACTATCGCCCCACGAGATGAGCTCGCGTTTGAGGTAGACATTGGCGCGTCCCGGCTGCTCTTCGGCAAAGTCACGCAGCGGATCACTGGAACCCATCACCCAGCCATTGTGGGCCATGAAAAACTCGCCAGCCTTGGAGTACATGTCCGCCTCGATCTCAGTCAGCGACTTTCCTTGAGTGCCCGTATGCGTGAAGTAAACCATGAAGACGGAGTGCTTCTCTGAGATCTCCTTTACTTTGGGTCCATCGTCCTGGACTCTTTCGTAACGCACTCCGGCCAAAACATTGTCTATCGCATAGTTGATGTATCCTTGGACCTCGGCGCGTACGCGATCGTTAAGAGAATCCAGATGCCGACGAAGAGTTTCGGCGCACTTGCGGAACCGGGACTCCTCATCGAAGCAGTCGCCATGAAAAGCATTAAAGATCTCCAGCGCCAGCTCGAAATTTATGGTAGTGGCCAATCGTCGATATTGCGGGTCCTGTATCAGTTGGATCTCCTGGAAGCGATACTCGTTGGCCACGTTTTTCGGTGGCTCACGAGTTCGCACCTGGGTCATGAAGTCGTTGACGTACTTCATCACATCGCACTGATACAGCTCGTGTATATTGACCTTGGACATGTATGAGGTGTGCAACTGGTACTTTAACGCTTCCAAATGGCACTCTTGCTCAATGACCGTCGGCACGCCAACATGCTCCAGGCTGCCCTCGGCTATGTCCGCTCCGCACTGAGCGAAAGCAGCGTCTAGCAGGAAGGCCGGGCGAAGGTAGGGACAAGTGGCGCACGAATATGTGGCATCTGGATGCTGCAGCAGCCACTCGGACTCATTGGCAGTGTGATTGAGCACGATGTCGCAGATAGAAGCCACCTTTAAACGAAAGTTGGGAATCAGTAGAGGATTACAAACAGACTCCTTTTTAAAGTCTTTTCCAAATTCTTACCCCCCATTCCTGTCGGCACTTTTTGATGACCTTCTCCACTTCCTCGAAACTGACCTTTCCTCCCTTTTGACTCGCAAAATGGGAGTTGACCTTGAGTTGGTCACGCAATGAATAACAGGAGCGGGAGCCACCCAACTCCTGAATGGGCGTGAAGTGGATCACATTGTAGCCGGCCTCCTTGGCCACACGCAGTTTAGCTTCCCAAGTGTCCAGCGGTCCCAAGAGCTTGGTCAGCACCGTTTGGCAGCGAACCGAATCCAGAGGAATGGTCTTTTGGGCGCCAGGCGGTCCCACATGCAGCGTAGGCTCTACTTGGACATACAGAGCCCCGTCTGCTCCTGAGCTGCCAGTATCTGGTCTATATCAAAAAATGAAATTAATTTTAATTTATTTAAAGACTTTAACCATTAGCTCACCGCTCCAGATACCGGAAGTAGAAGTGATAGGTTCCGGAAGTGTTCAGCTCTACCTCACTACGAATGTCAGTATCGACAACATGGGCTTCCGGATGCATTACGGAAGTAACCTGCTTGCCGTTGCTGAGTTGCCATCCCAGAACCCTATACTCCGTTCGCACGAACTTCTGTCCTTCGGCGGGATAGTTGGTGTACAACACAATCTTTCTGCCCAGCAGCGAGGCATCTGGATGGACACTCAGCTTGGAACCCCTTTTCAGGCGGTACAACACATGCTCCGCATGCTGGCCCTCGCTGATGGGTATGCTGTGCGACTCCGTCTCCTTGCCCATGGTGCTCATCTGAGGAAATCAGAGAGGATAACCGTGAGAGTATTACACAATCGTCACAACTATTTATTACACATGAACATGGATGTTATGCATGGAATGTACAGTTGAACTTCTCTAACTTTATGTCTCTGAAAGTCATTTGTAGCGGCAATTGAGATTAGGATTACCCCTATATTTTTAATTTTAATTTTTTAATAATTGGTTCTTTTTTTTTCAAATTTTTACAAGGACAACATGAAAGTTTTATTTATTTGTTATAGTTCGAGTTAAAGAAGTTCAACCATGTAATTTGAATTTTGGTTTTTCGCTATCAGCAAACGCACAGCCAAAGGCATCTTGTTAAAACACCACCACAGTCCGAGTAGAATTTTAGAGATTTGTCCGCTTAATCGGCGCTTTTAGTGGCTGTAACTAGCTTAGTAACCCGGTACGGAACAGACTGCAGCATCGCTGGACGGAGGGCATGTTTTATATTCATGGCCAGCACACTCACACACACGCAACAAACACACCCGGACTGGAAGACTAGAACATATAGTTATGGAATATGGACACAACACTGGGACACCGATCACTGGGCGATGATAATACCTCACGGCGGCGGATGATTTGATTTGATACGATCTCGGCACTGCCTGCATTGCCCATTGCATTTGCATTTGCACTTGGAACGGTTCTAATCGCGACTGATTCTGATTTTCCGGGGGATATGGCATTCTCAATCTTTAGATTCTGTTGCTTCTTCTTGTTAGTGGGTGCTTCCTCTTCGCTTTCGATTTGTAACGGTAGCGGTTCATTATCAACAATCGCTATAAGGCCGAGCAGCCAACGGAAGAGCTGATAACGCATCAGGATCTGGAGCAGGCTCCTCCAGAGCCAGTGGAATCCCTCATTCAGCATGGCTGTAATTCGATCGGTGGTCTACGGAATGCCAGGAATTTTCAGACGCCGCAATCTCAAATGGAGCATTAAACGAATATGTACCTTTTAATCGCGATAATCGCTCACACAAAAACACATTCACACACAGGGGCGTCGGTTAAGAGGGTTTGGCTTATTGGGTAATATGCATGTACATTTATAAGCCCCCTCTTTTTCTGATGCATTATTATTGACATGTGGCGCCTACGTGTGTATACGGATTTTCATCACGATTAGCAGACCTTATCAACAATTAAATTTCACTAGCAGGTCAGGGAATAAAAATACATTTTTTGCACACACCAAGTTCACAGACAAACATACACATCCCCACATATGTAGGTCAATGAATTGCACTTGGTTGCCGGTAGATGGCCTCTGGGTATTTATTTATAGACCATTTTTTTAGGAGTCCCGAATTTAGAACAAAAACAAAAGTTTTTGATGTGAGTAATCTGTGGTTTTCATATATGTCTCTAAAAAACTTATCTGCCCACTTTTATTCACATTCACGCTCGGAAAATTTGTTTATTTTCATGGGTATGCAAATTATTTGATTATTTTTATTTTATCACTGTTTTTTTAAATTACTTTCCGTACATTTTGGGCTGTGGTGAAGCAGCGAAATTGAACTTTACGTTACCAGCCGAAATTCTTAAGCAATTGATTCGATTCTATTAAGCTCAAGGTGACCTTTGAAGTTTTTGTGGTCATCAGCTGGTTACGCGCTGAAAACAGCCCCCAACAACTACAAGACAACGAAGCTTGTAAACAGAAAACAGCTGGTTGTTTTTATTTACACTCAATCTTTATGTTTGACACCATTTATACAGATTTACAGTAAACAGTTTGAGTTCATATTCATTTCTTGAAAACTAATTCCTTTCACATGACTTTTTTAATTGAAACCCCATTTGTTCATGTCGTTTTAAATAATTTTAATTGAGAAAAATTTGGTTAAATTAGTGAGTCGATAAACACATATCTCAGTGGTAAGTTTTTCAAGGTGCAGTTATCGATACATCAACAGGTCTCTCTTGCGGCACCTGTACTTATACCGACCATGTTAGCGATGGCTTAAAATATATCGATTCCGACTGGTTTTTATTAGCTTATTTATAGGTGTTTATTTTGATTAAATAGAACTTGTGTATATTAGCATTGAAACCTGTTAAAGATATAAAACCATTAAACTACAAAGCTTAGATTTATGTTAATTGCTTTTGCTTTCAATAAATATTGATATCGGACCATCTCTAGAAGTGACATATCAGCTCATCAGAGTGGGAAAAATTCAAAAGGTCTCGAATTTCATTAATGGAAGAAAATAAGTAATGGATCCGTCCATCAAGTTAGAAGTTAAAGACGAATTTAACGAAAGTGCTGCCATAAACGAAGATGAACCCACTCCGTTACGGGAAACTACAGGCGCAAGTCCTCCGCAAGCATTTGCAGCCGGATTTTCGATGGCAGGATCCGGTTGGGATAGTGATCCGGAGATCGGTGGTCCTAGCCACCACTCTCTTGAACCGAAGCCCGAACCAAAGTACAAGATGTGCGCGGATAATGTAATGTTGGACGACATGCTGGCAGATCCTTTTGATTTCGAGGTCCCATCTACCTCCGATGTCAAGCCAGATGTGAACAGGGAGCTGGTTGAGCACTGCAGCCGTAATTGCGATTTACTTCCAAGCGATTTCTCAAACCGAGACAACATGGACGTAATGAATTTGTGCAGTACGGAGGCCTCTAAGGAGATGGGATCAAGTTATTCCCAAAGAGCTTCGCCATTACCTAAGGCACATGAAGTTGTGGAGTCAGATATAGACCTTTTAGCGAAGCATCGAGAGATCTTGAAGGAGTTATCGGAGGAGAACAGCAAGGAAAAGAAGAAGAAGAAGAAACACAAAAAGGATCGGTCCCATCGCTCAAACCAAGATCAGGATTCCAAGAAGCGAAAACGTTCCGATTCTAAGGAAGAGTGTTCGAAGAATAAAACCCGACGTCACGATCACCGTGGACGGAAGCATCCCGTTAAGACAGAAAGGTCTGATGAAGAATTGGACTACGTTCCAGTGCGGGACGATGAGAAGTACATCCGACCAGTTAAATTCTCCGACCTTATTGAGCGTAAACCTCCTCAGGATGAACTCAAAACTGATCATCTCTCCAAGGCAGACAAGCGTAATTTGGCTGTGGCACGGGCCGAATTGATTCTGGATCTGTTCCAAAAAAAAGCTGAAAGGGAGGAACCACAAGAGTTCCACGTGGTGGATACTGTCTGCAAACTGCCTGTTAATGAATCGTTTAGAGACCAAATTGGCTTTGAGAATCCCTCACCCATTTGCAACAATATGAATGTGGTCTACGAGTTTAATTCCACTCCCGGAACGAAAATTGATTTGGCTAAATGGGGATTGGAAGGTGTGCCGCACGCTACAAGGAAGCTGCTCCGCCTTTTGGGCATTGATGTGACCCGCTTGAAGGAGATTCAGAGCACGGCCAAACCTTCACAGCGTATGTTGAAGCTGAAGAAGGAAAAACTCGAACAGGGCTTGGCACCAACGGAGGAAACGGAAACCGGCACTCTCTACAAGAACGCAGCTACGCAAACGGAACGTAGGACCGGTAAACATGACGCAGGCAACCATGCTAGCTTTGACGGAAACCTCAGAGGGGCGTTCTGGCAGGAGCCCAACTTTGACCCAACAGGTTTGACGCAACACCAGTTCAACGTAATGTTAGCCCTCCAGCAACTCTACACTACCCTGCCCAGTGCCACCATGGCAATTAACCTTTACAAGGCACTGGAACCTGCTCTGGCCTTGTGTCGTACGGCTAACCGACCCTAATATCTAATCCCAAATATTTTCTTGCAAACTTAGTAACTGTGCCAAATACTGAAACAAATATAGGTAGTAAGATGTTTAGTAACCACGCGTGCCTTGACCAAATTGTTATAATAAATCCAAGATAATGTATTTCTCGATTATATATATTTGTAAATCTCTCGCTCGAGGTTAACGCAATCGAGTTTAAATATCGCACAATGTATTCTCACTTTTTTATACAATTAATAAATAAACATTTACACATGCATCATACATTTCTAACACGTAGTAAACTCTAATGTGGTTTACAACCGAGACTTGCAAACAAAGTGTCTTTTCTTAGCGTACCGAGTATACGACTATATAATTGTGTAACCCAAAAGTCAGAGTTCCCACAAAGTCCTCTGGTTATTGGCTAATTGCTTTATAACTAATTTGTAACTAAGCGTAGCTGGCACTAAATGGCCATTCTCATTGGCTGGTTTCACCTAGTAGAGAAGATTGTATCATTTATGCACTGTAAACACGAACGGGGCTGATTCCTCCTCCTCCTGCTGTTCTAGCAAGGTGGTCCTTATCGTAGTCCGGTGCTCCTGGGCCTCAACATCGTCGTAGTCCACTGACGACGAACGCAGCAGCTGAAACTGGGAATTGGAATCGTTTCTGGTGATGATCAGGGAAGCTGGACGAGGGCCTGTATAGTGTTTATGTTAAGAAATTATTAGGTATGTTATTTTTGGCTTAAGTTAGTTAGTTAACATCACCTGGTGGAGGCTTGTTCGTTACTCGTTTGCTGGCTCCTTGCATCTCCAACTGGCGCTCGGATACGTACTCAACGTTGGGCGTTATCTTGGTACTGTTATTGTTGTTGTTATTGGTCGCCGTTTGTTGGATCGATACCCGCTTGTCGGCCTTGACGCTTCCCTGCTGCTTCAATATGGAATCCCGGCCTGACGGCGGCTGCATGGAGCCAGATGAGCCGAGCAATGGCGTCGTCATTGCGGCTCCGGCAGGCGGCGTGTCGAGTTCTAAAAATCATATGGATGAGGGAGATTTAGTTAGGGAGTTAGGGGATTACCAGCCACATGTGGTGCTCTCCCAGAATTTATATGGTAACCAGGTGAATAAAAACAACCATTTAATTCAGAACAGAGGTTAAAGGCAGAACATAAACACAGATAGAAAGCTGAATAAAATGCAAGAGGTAACGAGTTGTTCATAAGATTTGTCATTTATTTGATGCTTCATCTCACGCTAGGGATAGACATAGGATTTAGTGGGTGTGATTAGATTACCATTCAGTTAGTTGTTCATGTTTCGTGGGTGATTAACAATTTTAAATGTACTGTGTGTGTAGGTGTGGGTGTGTGTGTGGCAAATAATTAATAACTAATCTTCGGCATATAACTATTGGAATGATTTAGTAATTGCATAACTCAAATATTAGTAATTGTAGATAATACTGGCTGAATCAAAGCCAAGCCAAAGCAAGAGTAAAACAAATAAAACGTAAAATCGTATTTTGGATGATATGCTGTTGGTTTTGGTCTGGTTTCATTTGGCTCAGACATTGGTCCAGCGTTCGAAATGGTTCAGTTTGTCAGACTTTAAAATTTAAGAACGACTCAACCCCATGCAGCTTAATTAGTCGTAGAGGTACATCCGTGATTCAAAGGGCCTCTCACAGCTTGGTGTCGTCATAGGCCTGTTCGCCGGAGGCATTGGGAATGACCACCACCATTGGCAGGGAACTGGACTCGTGCAGCAACTCGCTGCTTATCGAGATCTGGCGTGATGCCCGATGATAACCACCACCACCACCAAACATCGAGTCAACATGCATAAGATCGAGTGTGCTACCGCTAAGATCGTTACCATTGCCCAGGTGCAGAACACCGCCACCTGACCCACCATGACCACCGGGAGCACCCACCAGAGTGCTTAGACTCTGTAGGGAATGTGAGCTAACGCTCCGGTTGTACTCCGCATGCAAGTACTGGTTGTTGTTGTTGTTGCTTATCTTGACCCCATACTGCTTCTGATCGTCGGATGGCGATCCGAACTCGGAGGATTCGCGGATTGGTGCTAATTGCAGTTGTGCGGCTGCCGCCAACATCTCACCTGTGGGACTCGGTCTCTCGCTGCTGGCCACATCCTCGTAGGCCTCCTCATTCAGAGTCTGCAGGGTGCCGCAGATCATCTGCTCCTCCAGAGTTACCTAGTAATGAACGACTTTTATTAGTTATAGTTCTCAATATGGTTTATGTTTGATTTGTTATGGGGTTGCACAAATGTGGGCTTAGAATTTTGGGTTTCAGTCTGTGTCTCTTAGTGTCAGAGCTTTACCTGCAGATACTCGTAGTCATGGACTTTTGACTGCATTTCGTTTCGGTTTGTTAAAATGGTCGGAATAAGAATAGATCAAAGCACATGAGTTAGAGCGAATCAGTCTATTAAAGATGCTTCTGCCCGATCCTACAATTCCTATGCTCACGAGGGCTTATCTTACCTGTTTCTCCATATGACTAACGGAGTTCTTTCGCGACAACGACTCTCTGGGCGGCTGCATCAGGGCATCCGTCACATCCTTGATCATCGGGACATTCGATGGCGCTTCTAAGGCGGCGGGTGGTGGCTGCTGACGTGGCTGCTTCCTTGGCAAACGCTCGCATTCCCGCAATGTGGTTATCAGTAAGCGGAACAACTCCCAATGGCCAAAGCTCAGGCCCAGAACCTGTCCGTAAAAGACCATTTAGTAGAGAATAGTTTATCCTATTTTCGAATAAGTTCTTACCGATTTCAGGTCCGGCATATCACAGTGCTTCAGCACCCGTCCATTTATGGCATTCTCGCGCAGCACTGGCGCTAGTTTGGGCAACGCTGGCTTCATGTCCTCAATTCGCTCAAGCAGGCTGATGACTCCTTCCACTGTCAAGTCGGTCAGCTTAGTTTGCAGGATGTCATCCTGTGGCAAATAAAAATACAAGCGTAAAAATATTTTCTTCTTTTCATTTTACGGATAAAACCTACACCAAATGAATCACTTGGTGAGTTAATCAGCGGAGTAACCGGCTCTGTGCTCGTGCTGAGGTTCCTGGAGCGCAGCTCATTGGGAGGATACTCGTTCTGGAACATTTGGTAGGGTGGATAAGCCTGGGGCGAAGGCACGTAGGTGGTGGGTGCTGGGAATTGACGCATGGTATTCGAGACGCTGGGTCTGGCCTGAATCATTAGAGACCCCTCGTCTTCGATGGTTTGTTGGTCCTCTGTGGATATCATTTTAATTAGTTTCCCTTTCAGTTTTCATTTCCATGTAAACTTACCTTTTAATACCTTTCGCAGGTAAGGATCGAGGTTAATGGTGAAGGGCAGAAAGATGCGCAGATCCGCCACAAGAAGATCTGATTTGTGCAGCTGCAGGAAAGCATCCAGCTTTCGTTCATCGCGATCCAGCTCAAGAAGAGGAGCTGCCTCTCGCAAATAAGCGAGTTTGGGACGCAGTCTAAAAAGATAAATTAGATTACTTTTTACTTTTTGATTTAATTGATTTACTAAACTCACTTTTCGTAAACGCTTTGCAGGGATACGCTCTCATCCGAGTTGCCATCCATGAACTGATCGTGGTGAAGAACTATCATACTAGCCCTCAAAGGGCCACTGCTCCGTCAGATTGATCCAGGAACTCAGCCGATACCAGCTGAAGTCAATCTGGAAGGCCTTGAGCAAACGTACTGTGATGTAGATGACGTTCATCAGACGGCGCATACTGCGGGGATTCACATCGCTGAAGTAATCATCTGTGAGCACAATGCGCGATAGATCCAGCACGGTCTGCGGGTTCTGACCCAGGCGGTGGAGATTTGAACCCGTTGAGCTGGCCACGGATTCGGAGAGACGTAGTTTCTTTCCACCACCCCCACGGGCAGCCCCACGTAACTTTTCCTGACTAGAAATTATCTCAGAGGCATTGGAAAGGCGACGAGCAGATACAGAGTGACCCAAAGTGGGTCCGTCGTCAGTCTGGTAATCTCCTCCGCCACTTCGTTTGAACAACAGCGCCGTCATCTGTGCTCGCTGCACTTTTCTCAGTCCGGAGTTTTGCAGATAAACTGGGAGGTGTACTAAGTTCCTGAGGAAGTCGTGTCCTCCGATACCGCCTTCCGTGAACAGCCGTCGACTATTGGCTTCTGCTGCTTTGGCAATGACATGGGGATCCACAGAAATGAGCAGAACAAATGGTCGGTTGGGTGAAGAAAGAAGCGTTTGCACAGCATTCAAAAGGGTGAGAATCCTCTCCGTATCGCATGAATCCAAGGCATCGATGACACCCACCAAACGACTTTGCTGGTTCGTGAAGGCATCCAAACACTTGACCATGTCCGTCATCACAGCCACTTCCGCTCCCAGCATGGTCAAAGGTGCAGACTCACTGGACCGAACAGCTCTTTTCAGTACACGGATGTGAGATGTAAATAAGGATACAAAAACCTTGGCCAGGACATGCAGGTGCGTGCAAATCAACGTTCCCATTACGGCAGCGATCACGTAGAGTGCTACCAGTATCTGTTCCTTTTCCTTCTGATCGGCAAACGTGAAGTATGCCACAACTAGGGAGATACCAGCGACCAGGGTAACAAGTGCTAGTTCAAAGACCAACACGATGGGAATGCAGCACATGCGGCGCCAACGCCAGCCTACATCCACCTTCAAGCACTTGGGACGGAAAGCTCGATACAATCTCGCCGCCAACCATCCATAGTGAGATTCAATGGCGTCGAGGAGGGCGGCCAACATATGGGCCACAGCTCCATCGCCTGTTGGTGAAGCACTGTTGGCCTCTGCAAAGTGAAACCGAACTGGTTTTGCCTGTGAGTCCGACTGGGGTCCCGGGGGATGACAAAAGGCCACCTGCAGTATCAGTCGTAATCTCGTTATCCTCTTCTCCAGCCCGTGTTGCACAGAATAGGCCCACTGCATGTCCATCTGATAGTTGCAGTATCTGACAGCCGCCAGGAGCAGATAGGCGAGCAGCATAAAGCCCACGGCAGCGGACACGCCCACCACCGCCGACCAGGTGCTCAATCCAACAATCGTTCCAATGAGCAATGCCACATGTAAGCAAACGATGAAGAGCAAACCACTGGTTCGGATCGGCGGTTCCGCCCACTGGCGCGCAAAGTTGTTCATCTCGTCGCGCAGCTTATTTAGCAGGAAACTCTTCCCACTTCCCCACTTGGCATAGAGACCAACGGTAATGGGAGTGGTTAATGTCGGCTCACTGAGCACATCCGCCAAGGCGGAGGAATACAGTTCGTAGCCCAGCATTCCTTCGGAATCCTCGTTGGTGTTTAGCCGTCTGGCGCCAAAAACTTGACCCAAAATGGTTTTCTGGTGCAGGGAGTCAATGTTGTAAGGCGTTTCCCCGGCTTTGTTGGCCCGGTATAATAGCTGGCTGTGCTTGGGATTCCGCAGAAGGGCCTCCACAATTGCCTTGCTCCTCGCCCGCATCGCAATGTGCAGACAGGTGTCGCCCCTTTTGTCGCTCGCAGTCACCTTGGCCTTCCGATCCAGCAACAGGTGGACAATCTCCAAGTTACGATTCCTTACAGCTCTCAAGAGGGGAGTGTCGCCATCCTTGGTGGCGGATTCCAGGTCGGGATTGGTGGCTAGCAGGAGTTTAACAATCGGCGTGTGTCCTTTCTCCACAGCGGTGTAAATGGCCGTCTTGCGATCTTTTCCCTGAATGTCCACATCAGCATGTTTTTTGAGCAAAGCCTCCACCACCGTTCGATGGCCTGCTTTCACAGCATGGATGAGAGGTGTATCTGCTCCACGATCCTGAATATTAATGTAGGCACCAGCAGCTATGAGGGACGCTGCAATATCCTGGAAACCCTCTCGACTCGCTATGCAAAGTGCAGTCATTCCGTCTTTGTCTAAGGCATTTACATTCGGTTTCTTCTCGAGAATGGAACTAACGCAATCCGTGTGTCCACCGGCGGCTGCAACCAGGAGAGGTGTCCACGAATACATGCCAGCAGTGTCCACATTGGCTCCAGCCTTCACTAAAGTATCCACAATCTCTACATTGCCGCGCCTACAGGCCCAAACAAGAGCAGTGGTTCCATATTTATCACCAACATTCACTTTGGCGCCGCGTTGAACAAGAAGTTCCACGATGTCCTTGTAGCCACGACCTGCCGCCCACAACAAGGCGCCCAGGTGGTAGTTACCATGGGCATTGCCATCGGCTCCTTTATCCAGCAGAAGCCGCACCAATTCCGTGTGGCCGCGGTAGGCTGCCCACATCAAACTGGTCCAGCCCCCTGAAAAAAACATTTAAGTATTAAGCTTCAATCAGGAATCTACTTTTAGGATAGGACTTACCATATCACGATGTTCCACTTCGGCTCCATGGTCTAGCAGCAGTTGGACAACATCAAAGTGTCCGTTCCGGGAGGCACATAGCAGTGCCGTCCAGTTGTCCAAGTCTTCCGCCTGTACATCGGCACCACGGGCCAGGAACTCCCTGACGAAGGCAGTCAATCCCCGTCCGGCAACTACCATCAACACTGTGGTGGCATTCTATAGGATATCGATAGAGTTCCATATTAAAAAGGACTGCTAGCTGCCTTGCGTTCTCAAGGACTCACCTCATCGCGATCATCGATGGTGAGATGTCGGCTGTCCAGAATAGCGCGCAGACCGGAAATATCATTATTATCGATGTACTGCAACAAGGCGCGATGTCCCAGCGAACCCATGGAGTCTCCGTAGCGATTTATGTTCTACATAGAGAGGCAGGGAGTTAGTGGGTTTTCTAAATATTTTTATAATGGAGTTTCAATTAATAATTTAACCAAACATCATGCAAATAATAACGGCTGGGCTTAGAAGAACATGTACCAGTTATTCGTGTTAGGAAGCAATTTAAAGACAGAAACCATAACTCATATTCAAAAATGTTGAATGTTGTCTCCGGGGGTCATAGTTGGGCATTTTGCATGCTTAACTCAAAACCAAAAGAACGACAGCATTAGGAATTAATTCTTCGTTCATATACTGAGAAATTGTTTATCTTAGTGCTAAATAATGGTGTGCTGTTAAAATTAACCACAGGTCCATGATTGAGTCATCGAACTTTAGTGTCAATAAATTAATTATGTGGGTTATAAAAGCCACCACCACCAAGCATCGACGGTTAATTGCGAAAGAAACAGTTCTCCAAGAAATCAGTATCAAAGGAAGGTTATAGGGGTTTTTATGGGCATTGGCTAAAAATATCAAAGGGTTATTCCTGGGACTCATTCTCAGCTGCCAGACATGCGAAATTCATGATATCTAAAAGCCTGATCTCGTAGTCCCTGGGCAAATAGATATTCCTCTAGTCAGGTAAGCGCACATCTTAACGATAACGTCACAGATTGCCTTATTTGTTATTTGAACAATTGCCAGCCGCCGCCTCTCACGCATTGCAGTAGCTTGGCTTTAATTTATTTGCTTATTCTAATTAATTTTGTTGGGCCTTCAGTCTATATGAAATAACACGTTCAATTTGATCAATAGAACATCAATATTTTTGTTTATTGGTTAGGCAAAAAGTCGGTCTTGCTGTATTCAGATTTGGATTATTTCGCCTTCGCCATGGTTTTGGGTTTCATTCGAAGGTGTTAAAATGCACTCGAGCGTAACGAAGGGAAGTAAAACGGTATAGTAAATACAAAATGGTAAACAAAGTTACCGCTGCCTTAAGTTAGATCTAAATGCTGCTTTTTAAGCACCCTAGAATGAATAAAATATTGGTATCAGTGGGGAGTTGTCTGGCCGAAAAGAATAGATAGAAAATAGATTAGTCAGATAGCTCCGATTTACGACTTGCAAGTGTGCCTCGTGAGTAAATTTTATTAGTCTGGAATATGTTTATTTATATTTTTTATCTCTGAACTTTCGTTTAACATTGGTATTTCCTTTCTAATGGGAAGAGTAATTTAATGAGATAGAACTGGAGGGTGTTTCTTTTTTACTTCTTAGCTCAGAATGTTCTAAATTAACCGTAAATAGAGTAAGATCTAAAGCTAATAAGCCTGTCTAATTTAATCAATGGCTATGGATACCATTTCATCTTAAATACTTTACATTTTTCCCCTTTTTCTTCGCCGGAGATCGCAGGTTATTTAAGCTCAACCGCGAGGCATTTAGAATCAATTCATCAAAGCTCTTTGATAGTTTCATTTTGTCAGCTGACTCTCGTCCAACAGTCTCCAGTTTTGATTTTGATTAATTGTACTTTATTTGGTTTTATTCGTGGGCTTTTGTACGTGCGTCGAGGCCGATTAAATTCAACGTTCTCCGCATTGGTCTGCCAAAGATCACTAGTTTCACTACTAGTCACACTCTCACTGAATGGCACTTTAATTAAGTGCCAATATGTGCATAATATTTCTGCATTTTTCTTTATGTTTATTTTTTTCCCGTTGATATTTTTTCCGCACTGCAAATTAATTGACAAATTAATTCCTGGGGATATGGCCTTTCTGGTCGTAACGAATACACTGCGCGGGTCTCTTGGCCGTTACTGTTGGATGCAACCTGCCGCCTTAGTGGCCCGTTGACGTCTGACGGAGCTTATCAAGCGTTTTGTTACCGGACAGTGCGAAATTAAGTTTACACGCAACCCGAAGCGAGCATCGCTTCTCTGGCCGATTACAGTCGATGTCTGTGGATGTGGATGGGTGGGTGTTTTGGGGGAGATACGGGTATGTTTTTGGTGGTTTCGTGCCGCAAATATAGTAATTGGCCACTCCAAACGTGTTTGCCGATTTTGGAGCTATAGCTTTTAGCCGCTCCTGCTGCCACGAGCGTTGCACAAAGACTGATTGACCAGGTTTTGTGGTCACCACATCGAGTCTGGTTATTTTTGTACTGCCTTGCGTAAAGAGTTTCACTTGAATTTATGCTTAGAAGAAGGCCGAGTGACATGGAATAAGTTCTGCTGACTTTATTGTTTCCATTAGTTTATTGAACAGTGTGTCCTTTGGTCTTCGTTGATTTCCGAACCAATTAATTAATTGTATGCGAAATTTACTCATAGTGACTAGAGTATCTGTTACTTGATAATTATGGCACACCTTCTTATCAGATTAGGTTATATTGAAGTGGCAGTACCAGAAGTTCTGGAGACATTGACGGAAGGCGATCGATAAGATGAAGACGTTTAATGAACGATTGCCAATTTGTATGTTTGTTTTCCGACTTGTCTCGAGTGCCTGCAATTGAGTCGCACGTCACTTGAGTTTACTTAATGGATTCTCATCGTCAAGAGTTTACAGTAATGGGTTAAGAGTCGCTGCGTCAGTGGCATTACAGCCCAGAAGAACATCAGTAAAGTGCTAGCACAGCATTCGTTAACTTAATAGTTTAAGGGTTACAACGAAATTCGTGTCTATGTAAACGATATTCAAATTAATAGCTAGTAAAAGTGTTTACAAACCCTGCAAAACTAAGCCTAACTAATCGTTTAGGTAGTAGTTACACAATATGATTCTGCAATTTTTAGGTATTACCTTAAGTTACCATACACCATGTCCTTAGCCTTAATAATTTAGTACAGATATTATATGGATTTCCCTTCAGATAATATGTAAAGTGCAAAGTAAACCACACCGTGATTTCATTATCATAAAATAATCGTTTCGGTTCTTATGTGATGTGCTTAAACTGGTTACATTTTGGTACCCGCAACTGTTCACTGAAGCAGCAGTCTTGGGTGTGCGAGCAGAGTGGATGAGTGAAAGAAAGACCATTCTTGGGGCATTAGTGGCACAGAGCGAAGCAGTAAACCAAAGTCGGAAAAGAAGAAGCGACTGCAACTAGAATGTTTATTTTTAGATCCAGTGCACGCGACCCATACAGGTTTTTTTCGATGGGAGTTACATACTCCCAGTTGTGTGTGTGAGTGTGTGTGTGTCTTATGGACATTTATGTACATATGGAGTTAGGCCAATCTCAGGGGGTTAGGATCCAACAAGCGGCTGAGCAACAAGGTTACAACACCAACTTAGCCAGGATAATCGGCATTTACGTGGGCATGGATGTGGGAGAAGCGACGCAGAGCCAGATTGAAGTGACTGAAACGGCGGGAAGGACTTTGGTTGGAGTGCTCCTCGTGTTCCTGGTTGTGAGTTGGACTGGGACTCCCCGCTCCCTCTGCTGCAGCCACCGCAGCATCTGTCTCCTCTTCGATGTCGATCACGAAACGGGGCAATGAACTGTGTGGTTTCCTTTCGGTTCCATAACTTCGATGAGGCTGGCGGGGATTCCTGTGGTTAACCATCGTTATCACCCGCTCCTCGCTCTCCAGCAACGGTTGGTGCAGGGATTGAATGTCATGGTGGTGCAGATTGCTCACTAGAGCTCCGATGGCGGAGTGTCCAGTGGTTCTACTGGGTGAGCTTGGTGATGTTGCTGTGGCTGGAGTTGTTGTGGTCGTGGCCTCAGAGATTGGAGTTTCCTCTGTGAGTGACGCCTTCTTTTGTGGCTTACGTGAGTGACCATCTTTCGGCATGACTGCTGATCTGGGTTATTCTAAATTCGATGGATTTCAGGTGATAATCGCGAGATGCCTTAGTGCTCTCGTTTATCTAGGACGTGGCTTAGTTAGTATATCATTATTTACGTGACTTAAATGGCTACGAAAGCTCTGCGCTCTACGGCAGTTTAGCTTTATGGAATTGTTAATGCTTGTATGACTGACATGTCTTGGTCTAATTAAGGTTGACTGAATGGAATAGCAATGAAAGCCATTCCCTAAATGAATCATAATTGACTGATTGATGCAATTTCATTGGGGATTAGGGTGGACCCGAATACAAGCCCATTAAAGGCCTGTCGATCAAGCCGGCTTTGTTTCGGGATTCGTTTGAAGAGAAGGCTGTTCAGACTGATAACACACACCTAAGAATCGAAAACTGTCAAGAGTTGAATAACAGGGGTCTTTCTATCACATGATATCTGTGGTTAGTTTCGCTGATAGGAAAGGAGCGCATCTCGACTATAAAGTTCCTATTTGCACAACACTTATCACGGATATGGGGACAATATTGCACCCGGAACACACCTCACTCCCACCCGGATTCGTCTTTAGGCGGGACTTGAACATTTTCGCCAAACTTTCGCCGCTTAGTTCCGTCTTGAAGGCCGCCTTAATATCGATTGGAGAGGTAGACTATATACAAATTTATTTCGAAATTCGATTTGGAACCGCCGAACGAACGTCGGGCATCGACCGCCGCCAGTAAACTGTCCGCACTTTGCATGGAAGCATCATATAAATGCCCTGGCGACGGGCACCAAACGATCCGCTCTCTATTTAGTTTTCATTAATTGGGCAAACAGCCCTGATAGCCAGATAACTCGGATAAGCAATGGATACTAGCCTGTATATAACCGCTTCCTTATAAACAAAAGACAACATACAACGATTATCGTGTTAATTGCCTTTTTATTTCCCCCAAAAACAAATAGAAGTGAGATTCACACCGGAAAGGGATGAACAGATATCGGTTATCATCAAAGATATTGTGAACGTTTAGGGAAAAAAGGACATTTCTAATGTCCCATGAAGGATCATAAGACTATAATCTTTAAAGAATATTTTTATCAAAGATCAGTTAAATACCTGAACCATTTTTTGAATTTGGAAATCCCCCTTTTCCTTGTATTTTTAACCGCCTTTTGGGGCTACTCATGGCAAACATTCATAAAAAGGCAGCATACTTTCAGGTCTAAGCCATAAATTAAATGTAAAGTTACTTGTAGAGCTTTGACAATAAAAAGTAGTTCGATTTCTACATACACATGAAGGTATATCTCTATATAGAAGGGTGTAAGCGTTTCGGGGCGCCGCAACTAATTGAGACGATAAAACAAACAGATGGAAAGCCGTTTGCGTTATCGGTTAAATAATCTGCTTCTGCAAACGTACAGAGCAGTATCCGATAAGGAGTCGCCATCATACGTAACATATGCCGACTAAGCTATACTTTTGAACCAGCTGAACCCACCTGACTGGGATTACCACCTCGGCCAAAGGAGCTGCGAAGTAGTCCGAAGGGGAAGACGCTGCCGTAGCCACTCTGATCGACCCGCCGATCCTGTCCAGTATTGCTTGTGGTCGGGGAATCCTGCAGAGGATCCGGATTCAACGGCGACATCTCCGAGTAGGCGCGGCCCACAAGGTGAAGTTTGGGTGTGCGTCGCATTTTTAAACTTTTACAAACAGCTAATTATGAGGTAATTCCAGAACACCTTTATCTTTTATCAGTTTTACAGCGCAAATATTTGTTTCCCCTTTTGGGGCTCACACTAAACTGTGCATCTCCGGTTGAACACAGTGAAATATACGCCACCGATCCGATTGGCATATATTATATGTTGTCTAGGCAAATTGGCGAAAACCGAGATTAAAATCTATTTAAAATATTATAGAAAACACACCGTTTAGAGGAGCGCACGCGGCGCGCTCTGCTGGAAAACTAAATGGAATTGGAAGCGGAACCGCTGGCGCAGAAAGAGAAACGAATGCTCGTCAATCGCTCTCCTGGCTCCCCTTTGTTTTACTTGTTTTTTTTTTTGATAAAATGAGGAACTGTTACCCCAAAAATAACGGTGTTTATCAAACTAGGCGTGTGTGCCCAGACACACACGTGATGCGCGAATGTGGGCGATGTCGCAATGAAAACAAAAGCGAAAAATAATTGACAAAGAAACACCGAAGCATGTAATACTCTTGTTTAAAAAGGGAATTATTAGTTGACCCCAAGGTTTAACTTAGTCAGAGGAAGCATATGTCCCCAAATCTATAAAAAAGAGTTGATTAATCATGTATGACATAGATAGCTAGTTCCAAAACTTTTGCGGGTATGTCCTATAATTCCGAAGGAGATAATCTTACAATTTCATAACTGCAATTCTAACCACAAAGTCTGTTACATTTTTGAAGTAAGTTAGAACCTCAAATAATATAAAAAGAAATTTAGCGTTTGATTCTTAACCCATTGAAAACCAATTTCAATTGGTTTTTAGACTCACGTTCTTCAGCTTAATCAATTGTAATAAATGCTTAATCTAATCAAACAATGGAGTGCCCATTTTAAAGGCCATAAAACAACGTACACAATTTAATCAATCAACTTGCTTGAAGTATAATGGCGGGAGATTTAACTTTTAAACAAGAATAGTTGAAATGAGTAATACAGTGAGTAATAGTACAATAAGCATTGATGAAAGGGATTCATTCTTTTAAAACCCAGAAAGTAGAGTTTCTTCTTATCCACTTTATAATGAAAAGTCCACTATAAACACATTTGTTTATTTGGAGACCCACTCACATGCGAATTCGAGATGCGTCTGTCGGCATTTGCTGAGATTGCTAAATGCGATTCCATGAAATGTGAAATGGAATACACCGGAACACTTTCAACCATATTCACAATTTTTCACTATATTTTTGCAGCTTTGCGTCAGATGTCAAACCGATACGAAAACAAACTGAGCGACTTCAGTTGATAAAATCAGGTGCGATGAATGATTGCCAAATGTCTGATTGATCTCGCAAATTAGCGTATATTTGTGAGGCGGTTGATTTAAAGAAGATCTCAAGTACCTTTATAGATTTGGATTCCATCGCTTGACAAGATCGTTGTGGAAAAATATAGAAATCAATACACGATCAGTTCGAATTAGCACATTAATTTTGATGAACGGTCAATAATTGACGATGATGTATTGAAGTTGAGTATCTTTTAAGCTACCTCGACACATTGTGGATATAAAATGTGGAGTGCATGATAACGGGAAAGATAAAGAGTGTCTTACTTTCGAGCACGCAAGGTATTATGACAGATTACCTTCAAAAGAGTTGAACGAAAACCCTATAGCCGATAGCGCTCCCTTCAAAAGTAAACAAATAACTATATTAAACTGATGACGTTTCCTAGATGAAAGCGAAAATACGGACGGGGGTTCGGAATGGAATTATATTATTATTATAAAAATAAATGCGGCTATTCTGTAAGTGTGTGTATTGCAAGTTCTAGGTCTCTAAGTTTATTTATGTAAACTATTTGTACGTTGGTGTGCGTGTATGTGTGTGGGAAACTCAAGAGCGGAATACTATGGAGAATAAATTAACCATTTCAGTGTACAACTTATTAGCACATTTTGAGGCTACTTATGGGTCACTACCATACTGTAATATACTGTATACTATATAATTATCGGATTCAGTCGAGTCTACAAATTAAAGTAAAGCGTGTATGATATTGCAGATTATTCGGTTCTGGCTAGAACCGGATGAGCTCACCTGTTGACTGGATCAAGGGCATATATATCTGCGAATCCGGATTTTCGGGGATATTCTCGGGTCTTTCTGGGATCTGGATCTCAATGCGGAATGAAAACAAACGACAGCTGAGCAGCATTCATTAACAGCTGAGCGCACGTGTATCTGCAAATGTATCTGTGTCCCGTATCTGTGTGGGTGCGAGTGCGTATGTGTGGGTGCCAATTGAAACGTCGATAAAATAATTTTCTTCAACGGTACAAAGAACTTTCGTCACTTGATCAATTCTTGAGTAAAATAAATATTTCCAGTGCATTCACAAAAACAAAGTGTCACAAGAACAAATTAAAGCCTTCTTTTGTTTGAGCAGACAACGGCACTTTTCTTAAAGATTTTTTCGCCCGCACTTCAAACATTAAAACATTACACAATCGATCACTAAAAGCTGGAGCCACTTTAGCGACCTACTATTGCCATTTAATTATTATTTGCGTATTTTACTTCGCGAGCGACGAGCGAAATCCGCAGTTCCTTCATGTGTCTTATCAGGGCTGCCACACAGTCGAAACTATTCTTGCGACTCGCCATCCCTTGTGGCGTTGCCAAACAGCTGCTAGTTAGAAATCTCCTAAATAACACAAGCGCCTGTTCCAGCGCCAAAAGTAGCGACGTCCTTAGTTAAAAACTTTTATGAAATTGTAGAAATGTCTAACGCAAAACTTAATCCCCGGCAATCTGGAGCTTTTATCGTAGAGCATGCTCAACACGTTCGAATTATACCCGCCGGCATTGAAAAACTAACGCAAGAAATCGTCAAAGGACTGAAAGAAAAGCGCATTGCTGTGGAAAACTTCTCGCAACACGAATTGCACCCTAATCCGAATACAAATCAGGATGATTATTCTAAAGCAGCCGATTGGGTATTTGTGCTGGACACCCTCAACTTTTGCTTCTGGACACCAAGTAATTCGTAAAATAAATAATTAAGTATCTCTTATCTTTACAAGTACTTGATCTCTCATAGATAACTATACCAAATACAAGGTTGATGGCTATACCGGCTACTTTGCTCTTTGCGCCGCTATTAAGAGAGCCATTAAAGAAGGTTTGGATGTAATCAATCCCAAGTTCTATTCTGATATTGATCTAAAAACGCTGAAGAGCATTTTTCGTTCTGACGATGGGGATACTGAGATTCCCCTTATTGAAAAACGTCTTGAGGCGCTTCATGAAGTGGGAAAAGTTGTTATTGAGAAATACGATGGAAAATTTGAGAATATTATTAAGAAAGCCGAGAAATCTGCTGTGAGCTTACTGAATCTCATTGTGGAGGAGTTTCCCTGTTTCCGCGATGAGGCGGAATTCGCTGGGAAAAGAGTTTCCATCTTAAAGCGAGCCCAGATTCTAGTGGCCGATGTCTGGTCCTGCTATAGGGGTCAAGGTCTTGGCTATTTCAAGGACATTGAGCAGATAACGATGTTCGCTGACTATCGCGTTCCTCAGGTGCTGGTGCACTTTGGAAGCTTGGAGTATTCCCATGAGTTAATGGAGTTCCTAAAGTCGGACACTATTCTGGAAAACGGCGATCCCAGGGAGGTGGAAATACGAGGCGCATCTATATACATCATTGAACAAGTCAGGGATGCGGTAATAAAAGTACTCCAGGAGCAGCACCCCGAGATCTCACTTGATAATGTAAACTCCATTGTGATCGACCAATACCTGTGGGACTACCGGCGTCAGCATAATGCCGACTTGGAGCACATCCCCTTCCACAAGGTTGTGAGCATCTACTACTAATCAGTGGGCAAATAAAGACGGATATTTGTTAAACTGATTTGTCCTTTAATGATCCAAAATCGGGGAAATCATCTACAAAGTAACGGGCTTGGGCTTGCCCTGCTGGGCAGCGATGCGCTCGTTGTATCGCTTCACGGACTCCTCGCGGGAAAGGTTTCCTTTGCGGGCGTAACGCTGGTTGATCAGGAACTTGACATCCATCTGGTTGGGAAAACAGAGATGATTACATATCTCCAGGTGTATTACCAAATATTTATAAATACTTACACCCAGAGTGGACTCGTGGCGCTTGCGGAGAGGGCGCTTGATGCCATTACGATGGGCCTTCTTGTTCTGGTTGTGATTTGTGTGGTTCTTGGACTTGGCCATCTTAAACTAATTCGTAAATCCGAAGTTCCGTAAGAGGTGGACATGAAATCAGAAAATAATTTCCATTATAATTTGTGTGGCGGTGACAAATTGGGTTACTTGTTAGCCATTGCTAAGGTTTCGTGAAAATCCAAAACTTTTTGGATTTATCATTTAAACAATTTGGTATTTGCCACATACGTTTTTCGCACACTGGAATTCCTAGCTGCAAATAAAGATTTTCTGTAAAAAATAAGCAGTAAGAAAAATGCGGAGCACACTTACGGAAACGCGATAGAAAAGAAGGGAAGGCTAGAGTGGCTGTGATATAGCGGAAAAAAGGACCTAAAAAACACCAAACACGTGAAGTCAGTGTGCTGTTATTTGCGTGCTGTTAAGCGCACTCTGTTGATAGAAATTCATCATTTAAAACAAATAACTAACAGCTGGCTCTGAATAAAGATGAAAATAATGTTTCTTCTCCCCCTGCTAAGTTGTACTTTCTAAAAAATTTAACGCACCTAAGAAGTGATTTTAAATATATAATATTAATGTTAACAAAACTTACAAAATTTTAAATTTGTCCCAAGTGCTAAATAATACTAAATTTGGTATATATAACTTGCGATAGTTTTGGTATATCATATATGTGAGAGACACTAAGCGTTGTCTGCTTTTTGTTTTTGTTTGCATTGCAAAAATAAACAACTTAATAGAAATTTTGATATTTAAAAATATTATAAAAAGTTAAGATGCCACTAACCGCAGAGAGTGCAGCTCAACAGATTCAGGTACAGTATCAAATATAGTAATGTGCTTTATTTGTTTATTTAAGAACCTTACTGTAGGATCGGCTGAAGGATATTCAACAACATATTCACATTGTGGACGAGGAGCGCCGTCGGGCAGAAAACTCCATTTCTAGCTTAGTACGATCGCTTCATGCCACCAATCAAAAGGTTAAACCTCTGCTCAAGGCCAGTTTAATGGAGGCTTCACAAGAGGAGGCCACAATTCGAGCAGCCTTGGCTAAGATCCACGAAATCCGCAGTATTCGCAACGAGAGGCGTATCCAAGCCCGAAATGCTGGAAACAAGGAGGCCATTCGACGAGGAGCCCTAATGAAAATGGTGCAACTATCCGCACAAACGCTACCTTTATTCGTTGGCAAACTAGGAGAACGAGCACCGGCTTTATGTGGAGCCATTCCCGCCGAGGGAAACTATGTGGCCAAGGTTTGCTTAAAATCTGTAGAATTACTTAAACAAACTAAATATTGATAAATTTCGTAAAATTGTGTTTTAGGTTGGCGACAATGTGGCAGCCTTAGCCAAAGGAATCGACGAAGAGGAGAACTGGATCTTGGCAGAAGTAGTGCAGTTCCTGCATCGTCAAAACAAATATGACGTGATTGACATCGACGAGGAGCAGAAGGACCGCCATGTGCTGAGCAAGCGGAAGGTCATTCCTCTACCCCTGATGCGTGCTAATCCCGAGACCGATGGCCACGCCTTGTTTCCCAAGGATACGGTGGTGATGGCGCTCTATCCACAAACCACCTGCTTCTACAAAGCCATCGTGCACCGCCTGCCGCAGACCGCCACAGAGGACTACGAGGTGCTCTTCGAGGATTCGTCTTACATGAATGGTTACGCAGAACCCTTGCCTGTAGCTCAGCGATATGTTATTGCTTATCGTCCAACAAAAAAAGGGTCTGGCAGTGGCAGCGGGAATCTCTCATCGGCTTAAGAAATTACACGTACCCTTAATTATAGGTTAGCTTAGGAATAACTTTTTAAAATTGTATCTCCAAGGAAAAATACCAATAAAGACTTGTTCTTATCTAATAATTTATTTTAACTTTTGGTTCTGCTTAGGCTCCTCAATATGGTTTGTGTTTAGGATGAAGAAAAAGAATTTCATTTACGTTTTTAGTATATTTCTTATATCGATAACAGGATGCGTCATTTGATTACACTTATCGGGACCAATCATTCTTAGATAAATGGAAGCTTCATTAAACCAATCGGACCTATAGTTATTGAAGTAAGCTCGTAACAAAACAAAGAATAAACACAGTTAAATAATATGAGTGAAACTGGGCTAGCGACGCAGAATAATGGCACCGTGGAAACTGGGAATTGCTTTGACATTTTGAAAGTCTCAACTCTTTTTGAGAGCAGCCTACTTGATGAGAATGATGTTCAAATGGACGCCTACTTGGCAGCCTACGAGGAAATAATGAAGTACACGATTGGATTTTTAGTTGAATGTTTAGTTCCTCATAGTTTTGTCTTTTTCGCAGGTTCTTCCAGCTGATGGGCAGTGTCTTTAGTTTTGTCAGCAGCGATGTGCGTAGCAAAATAGATATATTATACGCCTTGAGGGCCACGGACTCAGAGAAACAGGAGCACTTTAATACCTTCAGTACTATGTTGGAGTATGAAAAGGAGGCCCAGTTACTCAATCAGAAGGGTTATGTTTCCGGGAGTCGCACTCTGCTACGTCTCCATCGCGGACTGGGTAAGTGGTATGGTTCACCCACTGCCACAGTGGCTAATTGATTAGGTCTGTCTTATCTAGACTTCGTTTACGAGTTTCTCAACCGGATTCAAGCGATACCTGACGACCAGAAGACCGTAGACGTATGCAAGGCAGCCTATGATGACACCCTAGGCAAACATCATTCATTCCTCATCCGGAAAGGAGCCCGTCTGGCAATGTATGCCATGCCCACGCGTGGAGATCTTTTGAAAAAGGTCTGTTTTGATGTGCATGCAGCTGAGGAGAACCTGCCGCCTATGCTGGAACATATGCGAACTAACTACGATCGCACGGAACAGTTGTATACACTCCATGACCTCCACAGCCTGCCTTAGAATCTACTAATAACCTGGGGTAGTCACAGGACTTAATAGAGTAAATCACTAATATTGAATATGATATATATTTCTATAATATTAGTATCTACTGCTCTATCAGATCTAGTGACTTCGCCAACATAGTTTATTTAGCTAAAATTGTCTGTGTTGATATGTAACTGCAAGTATTTGCTTTCTAAGCCTGTAAGTTTTTAAGTCCCATTTTAAATTGCCTGTATTCGCTCATATATCGCCTTGTCCATGGGCTGTGCAATGTTTTCTAAAATCCCCCGTAATTTAACGCAATAAAAGCTTTAGTCATGAATGAAAAACTTGCCTTATCTGGGTGTATTGAACTCGGTCAACTTGGGCAAACATAGTTTCTCGTGTCTGTGCCGAAAATAATAGCATAATAAACGGCCTTGATTAGATAAGCTTTTAGAGAATGCTGCTCCATAAAAAGTCAACTTGGGATGCAAAACCTCGGGCTATCTGGGTCTTGTTATGGTCCAAGACAAAGACCGCTAAAACTCCCGCATATCCTCAGAATCCAGTCAAGATTTATTGCCTCACTTGGGTTTAACAATCTAAATTTGGGGCGCAAATTGCAGTAATGGCCGCCATTTGAATTGCAGGTTAATTGCGCTATCGATTACGCCTTTACCACTATCACTTCGTATCACTATCAAAGCGCTAAGAACAGCCAAGAAACGTGTTAGGTTGACCATTTTATCGCCGGACGGACAGGCGTTGTGCCAAGTGCAAAAGCGTAGAAGATGGTGGCTCTCCGGGTAAATAATCAACCGACGTTAAAAGCACCTTTACCCGTCCGTTTTGGCTCATTTTGAATTCGTCAACCGTCGCGAACATATGGGGCAATGGATGCTTCCAAGCAAACAAATCCGAAACGCGAACCTAATCCGTTTATCAAGGCCAATATAATCTCAAAGTGGCTGTTCCTGTGAGTCGTCATTCTTTTATTACGGATTAAAAGTGAAAATCCTGTTGAAAATCGGATCACAAAAAGTGAATCCATGGCCATGGTCAATCAGTGAATAGTTTATGACAAGCGATTAGGTTCTAGTGGTATTTGGTGTTTGGGTCTGCTCATAAACCATATCGGGGGCTATTTATCACAAATAGTTCGGATATATGAATTGCCCAGGAGTTAATGGCGGCATTTCTATTTAATGGATTCCATAAAGTTTACAAACCAGAAACTAACAAAACACATTAATTTAAAAGTTGTGAAATTTTATTAAAATCTAATGTCTTCAAATAAATTACTTTAATTTTTTTTCCTGTTTTGCAAAATTGTAAATTTGATTGACCATTGGATGTTAGATGGTCACGTAGTATTGCCCGGGATCAGTGCCCGTCAATTTCTACCCGCCCGTCATGGAGATACATTGATAAGATATTGTACTTATACTAGTACTTATCATTTTACCTTCTTTAGATGGATGCACAGTGTTTTTGGCAAGGGTAGACGGGACGAATTGGACGCCAGCAAACTGTACGAACACTTACCCAGTTTTGACAGTGAATTACTGACCAGGAATCTGCAACCCCACTGGGAGAAGGAGTCCAAGAGAAAGAATCCCAGTCTTATGCGACTTATTTTCCGTGTTTACGGCTGGCAGTTTGTTCCTGTATGTGTTCTATATTCGTTATTGGAGATGACCATTCAGTAAGTACATGAGGAAGTTAACACTAATTATCTGAATAACATAAATTAAAAATTCTTTACTTAAAACTGTTGAGTCATGATCTCAATATAAAAAATGCTAAATTTATTCATTAATTGTAGCGATTCTTATCTTATCGTTTTTCGAATTATTAAGTACGTACTTATTTGTGGTTTTCCCAATTATGAATCATGTTAATATGTTTTAAGTTATTTCTAAATTTAACCCATTTCACTATTTCGCTTTAATTACAGCTCCTTTCAGCCTTTACTGCTCGGAGGATTGATCTCGTACTTTGCCTACGGCCAGACGACTGTGACGAAAGAGAGCGCCTACCTCTACGCAATGGGAATAGTTCTTTGCTCCCTGGTCACCTCCTTGGTATTCCATCCCTTTATGTTCCACGTATTCGCGGTGGGAACGAGGGTAAGATTGGCCTGTGCTGGCCTGGTTTACCGTAAATGTCTTCGTGCCTCGGCAAGCAGTGGCGAAGGTCTTGGAGCTCTAGCCATTTCAGTGATGTCAATCGATCTCTCCCAATTTGACTTGACTTTTTACTTTTTTCACGACTTGTGGAAGGGACCAGTGGAGGCCTGCATCTTTGGCTACCTCATGTACCAGCAGGTAGGCTGGACCTCCTTGATTGGGATCGCCTTCATCGTGATTTTAATACCCCTTCAAGCTTGGGCCGCAAAAGCTGCTGCACATTTCGGCTCCCAATCCGCAAAGCATCGGGATGAGAGAGTGAAACTAATGAACGAAATCATCAGCGCCATCCAGGTGATCAAAATGTATGCTTGGGAGAAATCTTTCGGACGATTAATTGAAAAAGTTAGACAATCGGAGGTGAAGGCCATCCGGGGATCCATGAGCATCTACGCCGCCTTGCAGTGCACGAACATGATCTCAAAGATATCGCTCTTCCTCAGCCTGGTGGCTTATGTTTATGTGGGTGATATTGTGACGTCCAAGAAGGTATTTATTCTGTCTTCATACTACGGCTTACTGAACGATTCCTTACTTCACTACTGGCCCATGGCCATTACCACATGGGCACAAACACTTGTCAGTGCACGACGAGTGGTGGAGTTCCTGCTGCAAGTGGAGAAGCCTGAGGAGGAGTCTTGCTGCCGAGACAATCCCGGCTTGGAGTTAAGTTCAGAGAAACCGAAACTAGCGCAGAGTGGTCGCCTTCATTGCGTAAAAAGTGAGGGGAAGTGCCTGAGTTTCCAAAGAGTCAGCGCAAGTTGGGATAAGCCGAGCATAAAACATCCCAGGAAGCCCCATATTGACGGTATCTCCTTCCACATCAACGCCAATCAGTTTGTTGGCATTGTGGGCAATGTGGGCTCTGGAAAGAGCACCCTACTCCATGCCATTCTCGGTGAGATTGAGCTGATGCAGGGACGCGTTGAGATCCATGGCAGGATAAGCTATGCTGCCCAGCAGCCGTGGGTTTTCCAGGGAAGCATCAGGGAGAATATCTTGTTTGTGGAACAGTACGAAGAGAAGCGATATCGGTCAGTAGTTTATGCTTGCCAATTGGACAAGGATCTGGAATTGCTGCCCCGAGGGGATGCCACTATTGTTGGAGAGCGGGGAATCAGCCTGAGTGGTGGACAAAAGGCCAGAATTGCCCTTGCCAGGGCTGTGTACCGCCAAGCGGATATTTACCTATTTGATGATCCCCTAGCTGCCGTTGATGCCCAAGTGGGAAAACTGCTGATGGACAAGTGCTTTCATCGGCTGCTAGATGGAAAAATGCGCATTTTGGTTACCCATCATGTTCAGTTGCTAAAGACTGTGGATCACCTGCTGCTCTTGGAAGGAGGTAAACTCACCGAGCAGGGTAGTTATGAAGAACTGAAAGACGTTATCACGCATCATGCTGCTCTGGATTTGGAGGCCATCGAGGCGGACAAGCAGCAAGTAAAGCGGGTGCTCAGCCAAGTGGACAGGACGTCAAAGCAGCTTGGCAAGGACGAGGAAGGGGATCCAGCCGTAAGCCAAGATGAGGACGGTCGTGCTGAGCAGCAACTACAAGGAGCCGTCAGCTACGAGACCTACAAGGCATACTTTCATGCTCTTGGAGCTCCATTCCTTGCTTGCTTGGTGCTTTCCATGTTTGTTTTCGCCCGAGGATGTCAGGCGCTCATGGACATCTTTATTTCACGATGGGCAACTTGGGAAGAGGAACGTGAATATGAATCGGTAGACGAGGCAGTGCGGACCAAGATGGTCACCTGGTACACGGTGCTCCTATTGTTCACTCTAGCTCTATTCTTGCTGCGCACCTTTGGATTCTTTTTCATGTGTCTGCGGATCTCATTGACGTTGCACGATCAGCTTTACCATGGAATAATCCGAGCTTGGATGTATTTTTTCAATGCCAATCCTTCGGGAAGAGTGCTTAACCGTTTCTCCAGTGACATTCAGAATGTTGATGTAGCCCTGCCGCAGGCTATGATGGACTGTCTTCAGGTATGTTCGCTCGATATCCACACTTATTTCTGGCTTAACCTGTGCTTTTAACGCCTCTTAGTTCCTGGTGGATGTGGTGGCTGTGCTGGTGATCGTGGCGATTGCTAACTACTGGCTCCTCATCCCAGCGGCTATAATGGTGTTGCTACTGTATCTGTGCCGTGCCCTTTATATAGGCGCAAGTCGAAGTCTGAAGAGGATTGAGAGTTTGAGTAGGTTTAAATCAATTTAAATAATCAACATTTTCTTATATTTAAACTTTTTAACTAAACAGCCCGCAGTCCAATATATTCTCATACGAATCAAACCTTCCATGGCCACGCGACCATTAGATCTATGGATGCCATGCCACAATTGGAGCAGACTTTCCATGGCCACCAGAACACAAACTCTTCTGCTCTTTTTCTTTATGTAAGCGCCAATCGGGCTTTTTCCTTCTGGACGGATCTGATTTGCGTAGTCTATATCCTGGCCGTGACTTTCAGTTTCCTGGTTATTAATCAGAGCTTCTACAGTGGGGATGTTGGTCTGGCCATCACGCAGTCTATGACTTTGGTGATCATGTGTCAGTGGGGAATGCGCCAGACGGCGGAAATGGAAAACAACATGACCAGCGTTGAACGAGTGTTGGAGTACGCCAAGATGCCATCGGAGCCACCCCTGGAGAGTCCAAAGACTTTAAATCTAGCCGATGAATGGCCTCAGGCAGGTCATATTCGGTTCAGGGATCTCCGGATGCGATATTCTCCGGACGATGAGAATATTTTGAAAGGTCTTAATTTTGAATCTCAGCCCATGGAGAAGATTGGCATTGTGGGACGTACGGGAGCGGGAAAGTCATCCATTATTCAAGCACTTTTTCGATTGGCTCTCAATGAAGGGACCATCGAGATCGATGGCCTGGATATTGGCCAATTGGGTCTTCACGACCTGCGCAGTAGAATCTCAATTATTCCCCAGGATCCAGTGCTGTTTTCTGGAACTCTACGCTTCAATCTGGATCCCTTTGATGAGAAAAGCGATGAATCGCTATGGAGTGCATTGGAAGATGTAAAACTAAAGAAACACGTTGCCACTTTGGAAGGTGGTCTTTCGTGTCATATGCAGGACGGTGGCTCTAACTTCAGCATGGGTCAAAGGCAGCTGGTGTGCCTGGCAAGAGCTATTTTGCGACAGAATCGAGTTTTAGTTATGGATGAAGCAACTGCAAATGTGGATACCGAGTAAGTATTAAACATGTAGCCCATACAGATTTTTTTAATAACCTGTTGACCTACCAGAACAGATATTCTGATCCAAGAAACCATCCATACCAAATTCGCTGAGTGCACTGTTTTCACAATCGCTCATAGACTGCACACAGTGATGGATAATGATAGTGTCCTGGTAATGGATGCTGGAAAGATTGTGGAATTCGGGGCACCACACAAGCTCTTGCTTCGTAAGGATGGAGCTCTTCTTAAACTGGTCAATCAAAATGATGCTGCTACCGTTAAGTTCCTGAAAAAGGTTGCTGCAGAAAGTTATATGCGACGCAACAAGAGAGACTCTCTTGCAATAGCAGAAGATCGACTGGAGGAATGAGCAGAAGTCACATTCAGAAACGGAATCTACCTCAAGCGGTGGCTTTAGAAATTGTACTGCCTCGGAGAACAGTCAAATTCGGTTTTATTGGTACGAAAAGTGTACGATAAAGTGTATTTACATAGCAGTAGTATTACGCTAGTTCTAATGATAGTTCGGCACTTAAAACGAGGAGACTCTGACACACGCGCGCACACACAAGATTACAAAATAGATGTATATATGTATATGTATGTAGGTAATATATCAAAACTGTAAACTTGATGAATAGCCTAGGATGATTGTAATCATTCCATTTAAAATAACATTAGATATTGACATGTATTGGGTAAAACTAGGATCAGAAACACTCCGATATGCTCTCGAATGGAAACAAAACGTTTTCTATGTAAGCTGTACAAATGCCATGCTATGTACACAGAACGCTAAAAACAAAAATAAATATGGTCAAACCAGATTCAATTCGGCGGGCATTGCCGCTTCTTCCTGCTATTCAATCCGGATCCGATGTGATGCGCGGCGCAGCGCGGCGAACTCCTTGAAGACCAATCGCCCCAGCAGCACCATGGCAATGATATCGGCAGCGATGAGCATGTGGAAGACATACTGCCATCCGGCGGTGGAGATGAGCCCGGCAAGTAGGGGACCAACTGCTGCTCCAATTGACCCTGTACCATCGATAATGGCCGTAACGGTAGCTAGGGCATTGGCATTGCCTTCCAGGGAGCTGTGCTGGCCGAGCTCCGCACTTACTGAAGTTGTAATCAAAGCATAAGGTCCATTCACAAAGATCCCGACTACAATCAGAAGCACTATGCTAAACGTCAGTGACAAAGCACCATATTGTTGATACATCAGCAGCTGAAAACATATATTAGTTTTAGTCATAATGGAATGTGTGCTTTATTAAGAAGACTTACAATGGGTGAGGCAATGAACAACATGCCTGTGCAGACTGTAGCCGACATCCCGCTTACATCCGATAGGTAGCCCGCAGCTATAGCTCCCAAAATACCGCCCACATCGAAAAGCGTGGATAAGTCAGCGGACAGTTCAGGACCCAATGTACCTGCATAAAAAATTATACAATTTAGAAGACGTTTATCGTTGTACAGGAGGAATAAAGGGAGTTATTCAATATAAATATGGATTTCCAAGTACTCACTTGATTTCTGAATGTAGAGGGGCAGCCAGTACATGAAGGTATAGCTAACCAGCTTAGTAAAGAACAAGCACAGCGAAAACTCTACCACTCCTGGTATGTATAAAGCGTCGATCAGGCTGATGGGTCTTCCATGACCCCTGTGCTGTGCCGCTGGTTGGGATCGAGAAAGGATTGGAGTACGCTCGGTGGGCGCCGATCTGTAGTTGATTTCCTGCAAAAGAGAAACACATGAGCTTTCTATTTAAAACCAAGGGCAAAGAACAGCGCAAAATGTACACAAGCAATATTGGCCAACACAACGAGAAAAGCAAACATATATTCATGCACTTACGGTTTCCGAAGAGTCGTACCCCATTTTGACCACAAACTACGACCGAGCAAAGTACGTTTTAGAAATCAAAATCGCAACATAATGGAGAGACCATAGGTAATATACACCGCACGCAGAACATCAATAAATAAAAACTGCAAGTAATACTTACGGCATCGTTGTGGCGCACCTGCTCCTCGTCATCCTGTTCGTCATCGGACTCGTTGGCCACTCGCCGATCTTGCTGACCAGCCTGTGGATAACAACCCACTATCTCTGGCTGGTCGACCAGGAAAAGAAATAACAAAAAGCCTACGGCTGCAATTATGATGCCAGGCACCACAAACGACAGGGCCCAATCCGTTTCAACATAATGCGCTGCTATCAACGTGCCCAGAATATTTCCAATTGAGGTATGGCTGTTCCATATGCCAAATATCAATCCACGCTTTGATTTTCCAAACCACCGTCCTACAAGGGCTACGACTCCTGGCCATCCCGTCGTTTGGAAGATGCCAGCGCAGATTTGCACGACAACAAAATACCACAAACTATGGATATTAGAGGTTCGGGCAATGCCAAACATATAGGTGAACACTCCGGTGAGGATCATGCCCATGGATAGGAAATATCGCAGGGAAACTCGCTCCGCCACGAAACCTGAAGCAAACATGGCAATGGCATAGGAGAAGAGGAAGGCCGAATCCAACATCCCAAAGAGCGTGGTTGCATCGGGAACATCTGAAAATTGTGTACTTTGTTAGAGAAGTGTAGTAAAATTTTACGAAAAAACTCACCAAAGGGCGCATATCCACATTCCTGCCCCGATGCGGCCAGCGCGGTTGAACAGTTTCCTTGGAGCACCGACTTAACTACAGATATGGGTTTGCGGCACATGTGGTAGCAGGCGTAAGCCAGGAACGTTAGCACGAAGACAGACATCTTGTAGCTGAAAAGAAAATGAAGAAGAAAAATGAATAATATTCATTATTTCATTCATATATTTTCAGCCGAAATGTTCCTTAGAAGCTATCGAATACTTACAGTAGATCTCTGCGGGCGTGGAAGCGGGTGCAGCATTGGCGCGACAGCCGCTGGACCGCCCGGATGCCGAAGGGCACGTCATTGTAGTTGTTGCTCATCTTTCGCGTTCTGGCCAAACCCAGTGGAACTCTCATCGACCGGCGCGGGCGGTGGGCGAGGTGCAAATGCGGCTCGTCCAGGTGGCTGAGTTCCCTTTTCCGTTCCGGTTGCAAAAAAACAGCTACCTGAAAGAACAATAATCAACAGGTAGGTGAGTGATTTGACTCTCGAGTGACTCATTTCGAGATACATATTCTGTTTCGCGGGTTGAGGTTCAGGTAATATGTTAGAGTGGGTCGCGCGGTTTTTTCTGAGGCCGTGGAATTGAGTGCGGATTCAATATCCGACCTTATCAACATATGTTTCTGTAGTTTTCTTGTTTACGTCGTTCCATTCAATCCGCTCCAACAATGACGCTTCGTATCTGAGTCGTAAAATAAAATGCGTTTCCGCTGGCTTTGGCTTCACTATTCTGCTGCGTTGGCGAAAATTTTCCAACTTTGATAGTGTTCTTCGGTTTGTGATAAGGAGTAGCAAGTACTTTATCTAAAAAAACGCCGACAGTTACCTCGTTTATAACGCTATCACATGTGATTGTTTTTCATAATATATATCCATCAAAGTTTATTTACTTTTTTATCACTTGTCCTAATCAATTTACAGAGTATTTTATCTTCGACTTCGGTCAAACCTATAACTCTTTTGTTTATTGTCGCCCCCAAAAAGCGAAAATCATCCGGAAGTTAACAGAGTGCTTTGGTCTTAATAGTGCGACATTGAAAAAGAACTTTTGACATTTATTATTACCGTTAATCACACATTAAACAGCTGCAGTAAACATTACTCCGTCGGAAAAATAATAAATAACAATGTAGAGGTGGAGAAACATCGATAGACGCCTATCGACTATTGCTGCCAGTGTGAACGTTGCTGTATTTCGGTGTGACTTGGCTTGGTATATTTTTAAAATAGTATTTTTATTTGATTTTCGCTTTTTCCGTTATAATTTAAAAATCATTAGGGATTTCTTTGATCTTCTTGTATTTATTACTAAAAATGCAAAGTTAAATAATATGTCTTATTTTATATACCACATTATAAAAGATTTTAGTGGACTTTGAGTCTTTATTTTATCCACGTCTACTAAATCGTAGCCTTCTGGGCGTTAGTTTTTATTACTTTTAAAAGAACAAATCGTTTTTTCTTTCTTGATGCGTACCACATTTAGGTAATGTTGTTTGGGATTAACAACTTACCAACTGATTTACGTTTGTAATTAGAGGTTGACACTTGATCCCAGAATTATATTTCCTGAGATCATGGCTAATTATTTCTTGTGACACGCGACCGAATAAACAAATAAGAATTAGTCATCATATAGCTACAGTTTGTTGACAACAGATAGCACGCTGAGGAAAACAAAGGCCCTATGCACATGATCTGGCTTTTCAATCAGACTCGCCTGAGAGAAGAAAATGCTCTAGTTTTCGGCACTAATACGCTAATTTCCTCCGACTGCAATGTGAAAACCATGGCGAGAAACAAGAACAATTCCAGGTGCTAATCACAGCGCGTAAAAACACTTTGCCAGTTGTATAAATTCCGAGACCCAGCCAAGTGAAGCCACACTTGGCAATTTGCAGTTAAGCTAAAATCAAGTAATAGTATAAAAGCTCCGATAAAATACCAACAAAATGCAATACAATAAGGTAAGCTTAGCTAAAAACTTTAAAGGGTTTAATAAGATAATATTTATAATGAATTGGTATAGAAGATCCTACAACTGGTTGCTTGCTTGCTTTGCTTTACGCTGGTATTCGGTTATCCTCAGGAGCGAATTACTTCAGCGAAACAGATCCCAAGACTAAGAGACACCAAGGAACAGGGAAAGCTATCCTTTGCTTCCAGTGAAGCACTCGAAAACCTCTACACGTACGAAAGAACTTTAAACAGATTGCGGAGAGCTCTAGATGAGCTGGCCTATGAGGAGACGGCTGATGACATGGACCTCGCCGAGATCAATGTTTTCCGACCTCTCTTCCGTTACCGATCCCAAGTGGTCAAGGTGAAGAATCCCCAGCAGCAGTTTGGTTAACGGACTAACTAAACTAACTATATAGTTTTAAGCATTCTCATCTCCATTACCTAAATACTGATCATATGCCATTGATATTTTTATACAAAACTAGACACCTAAGAAATAAAACCAAACTAATTTATATTGTTAAACATTTAAATATTTTATTAATTTTTTATTGTAGAGCCTAGGCGCTTTGCAAATATCCACACGTGATTAAGCATATGTACACATCAATCTATATATATATTTCTCACTAGAGTTAAGGGTATTATTGTAGTTTTTTCATGTTTCCACATTGAGCACATTTACATGAAGGCTTGTGGATGACACTTGAATTCCTTGCATTGCACTATTTTGGAAGGATCCCTAATATAAACACACCGACGCACTCACATACATATTTGACTAAGGAAGACACAAAGAATATTGAATTCTAATTCTACAATATAAACATATGATGGACACTCATCGAGGGTTAAATATATATTCATATTTTGCATTCTTACTAGGCAGCTAACTAACTGTTGACTAAAGACCCTGTAAGACTTCCCTTAGCTGCAGAAAATGAAAATAACAAAGTGCGGCATTCTGATATACATACATTCATTTTATATAAATCTTTTATGAAAATCCTTCGCCTTGGGTTAATATATATATATTTTGTTTGATGGAAACATTTTGCACACCTTTTTATTTTTCCTTGTAAATAGTTAAGCCGCTAGCCAGCTTAAGAAAAATATTCCCCTACTTGCTCTTGGCTTAGAAAAGTTACTAAAGTTGCTAGTTAAGTACATAAGTAGTGTTGTTCTCTGTTTAGTTTAGTTTAGTTAAGTTTAGTTAGTATTTTTGGTTTTGCTCCTTTCGCTTGGTTCCATTAAGTTGCTCGTACACATAGCCGCTGCTAGCGTTATGTCCCTATGTTTTACATTAAATTTGATTTAATTTTTGATTATCAGGCTTACACGTTAGACATTACAAATAGCTGGTGGCACACACTCGTAAGTATGCAAATGGTTGTTTACAGGCGGATTGGAGAGATTCGAACCGTCGAAACCTGTTTACATATTAGATGAGCCCATCTGGTAGCACTTAGATATAAAGCTTCCCGCCAGCTCCTGCCGGTTGTTATACACATATTCACATATCGACACACTTAGTCGCTAAGAATATAGACTTATAGATTTGGTTGATTTTTGTTTAAAGCACTTGCAGGTTCTCGCAGTGCTTGAACTTGGAGTCCTCCTTGCCCAGGATCCAGGTGAGCATCTGGCGGGCCTTCATGCTGGCCAGCATCACACTGCGGCTTTTGTACCAGTGCGGCGGCGAATTGGCATCCCTCGGTCCCTGAAATCCGGTTAAACTTCAGATAAATCAAATTTACTCTTTTCCAAAAAAATAAAATATAAATTTGTAAATGGATGGGGGAGACAGGCTGGGCTTTATGCTTCGGTTTATATACATTTGGCTCTCTATTCAACTGCATTTTTATGGCCCTGCAATACAGTTATTCCATTTGGGGCGCCAATTGAAGTTTGCATTTTTCATGTTCTTTGTGCGAATTCTGGGAGTGGGCACAGGATGATAAACAACAAACAAACAAACAAAACACTTTTGGCAGTGTGCTTGCCATAGTTTCTGTACTTTTGGACACTTGACACATTTTCTTGTTGGCAGAACTTGTTTTGGCAAGATATCAGGGGGCCGGAATGGGGAGGTAACCTTATATAATACAATCCAACCATACATAAACAGGGAGCTACAGCCTAGTTTTTAAGGGTTTTAAAGGGATTCCTAATAAAATCTCTTTGAAATCTCTTAAAATATTCCTGAAATATGCAGTATACCGATTATAGCATACTTTTAGACAGTTTTTAAGTGAAATCCAAAGGGAAGGGACTTAACTTTTAACATCGTTATTTCTATCATGCTTTACTCAGAAAGGGGTAGGGTTTCAAAAGAACACATCAAACATTGATTAAATTCAGTCCGAACAGGAGGTAGGTTTAGGTTGAAGTGGGTTTCTGTTCGGGGGTACGTACAGTTTTACTTACCCCTTCGCCGGCTTTAATATCAGTCAGACATTTATCAGTTTCTACAGTCTCTACGTTTGTGTTTTCTTTAAATTTGCTTTTATCTTTTGATTTTTTCGGATTAAGCTGCGAAAGCGATCGATTGACATTGATTACAAAACACCAAAAACAGAGATAGATGGGAGGACAACTAGCTAGCCAGCTAACTGTTACGGCAAACTAAAGCTACAAAGAGCTAGAGCTAGACCTAAAGGGGTTTTTGCCCATGGTTATTTGGGGAGATTTAACATACCTGAAGCTGGTTCTGATCCTTCTTCAACCGAATCTGGGTGAGCGTGCCCGCCAGGAGCTCGTCACAGTTGTGATTGATGCCCACGGAGACCTCGATAAACTTGGCTCCGAACGTGCAGGCCAGACATTTGCCATCTACGGGTTGGAGGAGCAGAATGCGGAGGATTTGGATTAGGATACGGTCCGGTCACGCCACTTAATTGACGATGCAAATGAATGCAGCGACTTGGCAGCGGCCACGGCTAATTGCAATACTCACCCTGGGCGGAAACGGCGCGTGAGCGGGCCAAATCAATTTTGTTGGCCACGAGGATGGTGGGGCGGTGGCGCAGAAGGTCCATGTCCTGTAGTCGTGATAGAATCTGTTTGGCCCGCGTGAAGGACTCCTTGTCAATGCAGGAGTAGACCACTAGAAAGGCATCCGCCTGCTCCAGTTCGTCCTGCAACAAACAACAAACAACAAACGGCCCAATTGAAACACGGAACTCAACAAGTTTACAACATTCTGGGCTTTCGTGACTGCCGAAAGTATTTAATGCCGTGTTTTATTGCAGCCCAGTGGAGGCGAAATTAAAAGTTCTTAACTGCGCACCGTCAAGTGCAGGCGTTGAGCGAAAAGTCGAGCATCCATCCACCTCAACTCTACTCAGGACAACCCACTTTTCCATCCCGGCTTCCTTTTGTTACGCGGTACTTTTGCATTTTACGCTCGTAAAAATTAAAATTATGGCCACTTGGCATCGCAATAACGTGGCGAGCGAAGGGAAAAAGTTTCCGACTTGCCCAGACTTTTAATGATGTTCATTTATCTGGCCCATACATTAACAGGAACAGGTCAGCGGGACAGCTCTATCGTCCGGCTCCTTCGAATTTTCCTTATTTTTAAGGTGCGAATGCGTTTATTCATTAGCATTTAAGGTTGTATACAGATTGCGGTATGTTGGGTTTTAGTTTCAATTTGATTCATTCTTTATTTGAATTTGTAAAAGTAATTGTAAAGTCTGAAGTTTCCCAATGATGGTTGTACTTCATTAGCTAACAATTCAAGTTATGTTGCACATTTAATACATTGAATTCATTTAAACAAAGTGTTGACAAAAGTAGAAACTGGAAATCGATAATTCTTGGCGAAAGTGAAAGTCAGAAGAGGTTTTCGGTTTCTTGAGGTATGTCACCTGTCCAATCTTTGAGCAAATACGCTTTGTCTGCGGTGACGTCGGCAGGTTTTATTCTTGCCCGGGGTGTTGGCTTCCGATTCCGTGGCTCATAAAGCCACGCCAAGCACATCCGACATTTGTAAATTTGGGACTTGGCACTTGGCACTTGGCTCCAAGGTGCTCGGGATTGGCGGAGGCTTAAGGTCAAACCTTAAGCAATTTATTATTTGCTTTTCCACAACTTTTGGGCAACATGCACGAGCGCCTTAGCTTTAATTCGCTTGAATCTTGTGTCACATTCCCGAATGGATAAATTGTATCCATTTCCTTTTGTTTGTCCTCGTCTACGTCGTCATAGCCATCGCCATCGCCATCGCCATCACCATCAACGGAATCGTCATCGGCGATTATAATTATCATTATCGTGTTCATTTGTATTGTTTGCCACCCTCAAAAGGCGGCGGCAAACGGCCCGTTGGCCATTTGGCAATCGTCCAGCAATTTGGCATTTCGATTGCACAGTGGCTCATATTGTTGTATTTATATTTGACTTTCCTCCCGCTTTCAGCTTTTCCTTCTTTTTTTTTTTTTTTTTTTTGCCGACGGTTGCAAATCGCTTTGCTTGCAGGCGGCGCCCGTCTGGCAGGATTTTAAATGAATTCCTTAAATGATTTCCAGGCAGCCTCCAGCATTCCATGCACTTTGCCATAATTAACCGCAGTTCTCAGCCAGCTATCAGCAAAAGTTTTCGTTTTCAGAGTTTCTGCAGAGTTACGAGTTCCGAGTTCCGAGTTCCGAGTTACGGAGCTCTGCGTCTTTGTTATGGTGGGTGGTGTGGACCACCTCTCGTATTTCACGAACTCATTTTGCATCTGTAATTAATTCACTTTGTGCAATTTATGCTCGCCCGGTTGGCAAATCACTCGCCTTTCCCCCGGGCAAATCTCAGTGGCCAGGCGGCCAGGACAAGCTCATTTGTCTTGCTGACAGCCAGCACCTCGGGCATAAAGCCGCTTGTTCTGCTGTGGTCAGAGGCCAGTTAATGGTGAAATATTTAACGACAATTACAAACACAAATAGGCAAAGCTGTGTCCCTTGACAAATGATTTACCTTGCTCTCCGGATTGCCAGTGAGGAACTTCAGCTCCGACTCGGTCCCATTCAAGATGATTGAGACGTTCTGCTCGGCCTCATCGCATTCTGAAAAAAAGTCGGCTATTGGCTTAAAATTTCTGATGAATCATAGTGGAGGCAGTCTAACCAGGTCCATCGTAGGCATTGATGCAGTCCGATGTGCGAAACTGGGAAATCAGAGCCTGTTTGCCCACACCTGCCGATCCCAGCATTTCCACGCGATAGAATTCCACCGGCTGATGATTCTCCTGGGGAGCGGCATTTCCGAATCCGTTGCTGCTGCTGCCGCCATTGTAACCACATCTCAGTCCCAGGCTACTCCCACCTCCAGTTACGCCCCCCAGGCCGCCCACACCATTTCGCGTGTGCATGGGACTCGATGGAGCCAGGCTGTTGCTCCTCGAGCGGCGGCGGCGGAACGAGTCACCTCGATTAATGATACCTGTAGGGGAAAAGGCAAAAAAATCAGTCGAGAGTTGTCAAAAACTCAATCATGAAAAAACGTCACCCGTTTTCGTATTCCAACTGCATGTGCGAAACTTTTGTTAGTCAACCTGCCACACGCGGCGTATGTGCAACGTGGGGCGAATCAACGACTCGTTGCGCATACGCCACGTAGAACCCGCTGAAATTACAGTTTCCTGCCGCAAGGGCAACATCAACAATAGTTAATCTGTCTTTTGTGTTTCGCATCTGGGCTGCCATGACCCACCCTTCTACTGCTCCGCCCCTGACCTGTCTGTCTGGGTTTCCCTGCCAACATTTAGAAAATCCCATTTTTCGGTCAAAAATTTAAGCAAAAGTTCCTGCATTTTTGCGCCAAATAAATGCCGAATATTTACATTATAATTAGCATATACACTGAGTATTTATATGAATTTTCTGAGGCATTTTATATGGTCTTTATACAATATTAAAGCCATTTAAAAGCCATCGAAATTTATGTGGGACAAGGCGTAATGGTTATTTTACCCCCTTCCGTTGATCCGGGAAATGGGTTGGGAAGAAAGCTTTTTATTACTTAGTATATTGATAGGGTAGTGATAATAACGAATTTCAAACTTAAATATTACATAAATTAATTGAATTCGGCGCAACACATTTGTGTGATGGACCAGCTGCTTAGCTGGGGCCAAGCCGCACACATAATTTAATAACACTGCCGAGGGCATAACAAGTTGATTGACCAACAAAAGCAGAATAAATCTGGTTATAATCTGTAGATCTCCCTGAACCATTTTTCCATTCCCAGTAGACGGACAATGGCCGACCGAAAAGGTATTACCCAACGAAGACGAGGAGTCAAGAGCCTTTTTACAACCCGCGGCCGTTGTCATTTATAATCCCCTAGGCCGGCTGATGTACATACATACTATATATGTATCAATCTGCAATTCCTGTTCGACTGCTGCTATATATATATCTACACATGTCGCTGTCCGATTTGTTCAGTTTATGTAAGTATATGTTGTGCACATTTGAAATGTCATAAATAGATTTATGGCCTGCCTTATTCCATTTTGCAGTCGCGCGAAATAAACGGGTCTACGGGTTATATACCATATAGATGTATGTGGATGTACATCATAGATTCGTTAGCTTTTCATCAGCGGTCATTAATTGCGAAAATTGATTTAATTGCCAAAACCGTTCTAAACATTTACATTTGAACACACAAGGGGGCGAGTTCCCCCCTTTATGGCTTGTATATGGATGGGCCGTCATCATTGGAAAGCCATAAAACCATTTTGGGTGGCCATATTTAGTTTTCTTTTTTGGAGGGAAATGGGTATAACGAGGTCTGCTCGTGTGGGAAACAATTCATTTGGAATAGGTGCAAACGGGCGGCAATAAATACTGCGATTTAGTTTCGTGAAATTTTCGCAATTCTAACAATTTTTTTGGTATGGTACATGTGTGTGCAATGTTCATGTTTATTTTTAGACATTTTCTATAATTGAAACTGACTAATCTCTGGAGTAATTGCAGAACTTTTTCACATCTTTCTCGGCCATTCTTCAAACAAATGTTTTCATCTCACTCGTCTTTGATGTTGGCTTAGCACTTTCCATTCCATCTCCGAGAATCAACGTATTGGCATGTTTGTTTGCTCAAAGAATAACTGTTTAAGCAAATAAATTGAAAATTTTATTTGCCGATTGATTTACGGCGGGGCGAGTGTGGCACGAGATTACGCATATGCTGCCACTTTTGAGATATGATTAACCGCCCTCAAGGTTAGGCGCTCTTTGTTTATGCTAAATAAACCCACTTCTATAAATACCAATCGAATGTTTAGCCGCGTTTGCCGAAAACGCTTGAAATAATCAGGAAAAATGCCAACATATATGGTAAATATATAGCCCCCTCTGGCGCATCATTCAATTACGATTCGATTCAGGCCCACAGGACAATCCGGGCAGACACTTGTGTGCATTGTCTGGTCGTGGTTGGTGGAAATGTATTTATGTATATGGAAAGAGAAAACTCATTCAGTGGCTGCCATCGATGATGACTGACACCCGCTTGGGCATTTCAATTAATCACACACCATCCTCCAAACATATTCGAATCAATGTCGGCCTGTCAGTTTTTCGCCAGCTCATTTTAAATTTCCCACTCGTGCCGACCGTAAACGTAATTGATCGATAGCCTCGGTCTGGCTTCCTATTTTTTAGGAGGGCTCTTTTGTTTTGCCAGCATCTTGAGCGAATTAAGTTTAATTAAATGGACGCACATGACTCCTGGCAAGACATAACCGCAAAACAAAGCTGCCACTTCCTCTCCAAACCGACAAGCAACTTGTATTTGAAAGCAATTTAGTTGAGCAAACACAGGCACTTCATTGAATTTTAATATGCAGTGTGCTCGAGAACGTGTCCCTAGCCGGTGCTCATCCCCAGTTTAAGCTATAACTAACCCACTAACTTTGGATACCCTTTGATGTCACATGCATTTTTAAGCAAGGTCTTAAAGGATACACAGCTACAAAAGGGGTAAGAATCGGATACTTTTCTGATAGCAGAATATATTTATGATATGCTGACTCTTCGCCAGAGAAAAAAAATTTAGAAACTAGTACAGTAATGTCAAAAATTGAAGAGCTCCTCAGGTAAAAGCACTTCTATTATTTTCAAGTGTATATAGATGTATCCCCAACTACTTTCCGCCTAGTTTTGCTTATCATACATAGCATATTCCCATCCTCGACTGTCTATGTCAAATGGTTCCGGCTCCTCCTTCATGACTAAGTTATGACACCTCGTGCTGTTAATACGCAGGCTTGTCGTCTGTTTGCTGTCATGTCTGCTCAAGTGCTCCGTACTCCGTGTACCGTATTCCGTAGTCTGCAGTCTGTGTTCCGTGTTCGGAGCTGTTACGGGTGGGCTTAAACACGTACTTAAGGTCTGTCATGCATTTGTGCATGCAAACGCCCCCAACTGCGGAGGAAGATGGTAAGGATCGGCAGTATATAACTTAAATTGAAAAACATAGATATAGAAATGCCAGCACCGAATCCGAAGATCTATAATTTCAACTTTTCAGACCATTTCTTGAGTTTTTTAAGTGATAAATTGATATCTCCTTGGCTTTGACTAGCTGTAGAAAGCTTATCAAAGTTTAGTCACCGAATTAATCACGATTGGTTGACTCTGATGAAAGGCAATAAGAGTGTTATGCAAGTTAACTCTGCCAAGCAGGTAAACTGGATAATCGATCTTAATTGAATCCAAAACTCTTGAAATTGTTTCAACTTTCCTAACCGGCAAGATATCATCTGCTAAATGCCAAACTTTCGACTAAGTGTCTTACAGTCCTGGCTGACACTGTAGTTGGTAAGGGACGAGATGGCACACAGTGCGTATGTGTAACAATAACGTGACACAAATGTAGAATATAAAAGGAGGAAAAAACGCACACATAATGGGAAAACTTCACAGGGCTATGTGGTTGTGGGAGTGTGTGTGTGTGTGTTTGCATATATGTTTATGCGAGTGTGTGCCTTTGGGTATTCATATTCTATGCGGAGTGGCATTTAGTGCCACTGATATCTCCTTAACATCTTCGGGTAACAGCCTTTTAAGATTTCAATAAGGATTGCTGAGCTGCGTGCCCCGGAACGAAACTATAATTTTATGCCGCATGGTGTATCGTGTGTCCCCGAGATGATGTTCCTGATCCCAGTTATGCCCGTTGTCCGTTGTCCAATCCCCGCCAGCCCATGCCCGCATTGTTAAGATGTGTAATCCCTGTCATCTGGCCCAAGGGCTTTGTTGACTTTCAATTTTGAAATTAATAAATGCTCTTCTGTGGTCTTTTGTGGGACTGTTGTCCGTGAAGCCCTCAAGTCTACTCACCTCCTTTGGAGGCGCTGAAAGTGCGCAATCGGTCCAAGTCCTCCTCCTCATCGTTGACGCGCAGGTGATGCATGTTCATGGTGGGCACGTCCAGGAAGGCGTTTGACTTTCTGTGTGCTGTTAGATGAGGAAGGGACAAATTGAAAGAGATTAATTTAAATTGCATTAGGGATTAAGAACAACCAGAAACCACCGAACTATGAATAATTTATAGCTGCATTAAAGTGGCAGAAGGATTTATTAATCATGATTACGTTCTAACCCGAAATTGTTAAAATCCCTTCTATGATAGTTTGAAAAGTTCAGAAAGATGACTAAGCTGCAATGTATTTATTAAACAATATATAATAATTAATAAAAAATGCAACGGTAAACTATTTTTAAATTAAATATATTCCCTCAATTTGTATCCATTATTTGCACCGCAATTTCCTACTAAAAAAACAAGGAAAAGAATCATTCGAATTCATGAATAAACATTTGCACAAAAAAAACCGTAGATAAATATGCGAATAACCCTTCGGCTAAATGTTTCCCCCGCCAGTTGTGCATTATTGATTCTGTATTCAGTATTCAGTATTCAGTATTCCCTGCTCCAGCTGGCTGACATTTGGACAGCTTTAATGGTTTCGCCGTGTCGAGTTGACAGAGGGAAGTGCCGCACACGTTGCACACTTGCTGCTGGATAAACTGGGTCAATGGTTAAGTTCATCGAACGTCCAACGTTTAATTGAATCAACATTATTGGAGAGTACTTAACAAAGGGCCGAATGAAACTACCATTTCCCGGTACTCCAACCAACAGTCCAACAGTTTCAGCTTTAACACCTCGCCTTAAAGTCCTGCGGCCCTTCGCCTCCACCTCCTAAAATAGGAAGAAGGCCAACACATTTATGGTCAATTTTACATCGCCGCCGCTCTCGTGCGGCGAGCAATTTGGCTGAGAGCTTAGTTTATGCCGCATAAAAGATCAGGCTCGGCACTTGGCTAATTTGTTGCCGTTGTTTTGCCACTTTGATGGCTCCATCCGGCCATTAAAACCCACAACTTCAACTAACTTATGTACAAGTGCGGTTGAAATTCTAGTGAACTGGCCGAAAAATCGGATAAAGATTAAAGGAAAAGTAGTAAGCAAAGTATAGGAAAATAAAGAGTACTTGAAAAACTGAGTTGACCGAAACATGAATTTAAGAACTAGCTCAGATTAAAAGCACTTTTTGGCCAGAAAGACAGAGTTTCTTTCTCTTGCTTCACATTTTCATACTCTTTAAAGCAAACTTCGAGATGTGTTTTCACGTTTGCCCAAAGGAAAATCAGTTTTCATTTCTTGGTCTAAAACAAAGATAAGAAAACAGCCCTTTAAGAAGGAGATATTCTTTCCTAGATATTCATTTTTTCCTCACTATTTATAGTTTGTGATGGCCTTTCCTAACATTTCCTTACTTCTATTTCATTCACCGCAACTGTGGGTGCTTATCTCCGCCCGTAATTTACTCACCGTGAGGCTGTGGCCTCCGCTGCGATAGCTTACGGCGCTGCGGAGGCGTCTCCGTCTCGCTCAGCCGGGGCTCACTGGTGCAGTAGCTCCGGGTCTCCTGGAGCGTGTGTTGCTGTTGCTGCTGCTGCTGCTGTGCCTTCGTCTTCTGGCGGACCTGCAAATGGGGAAAAGTGTCTTTAAGTCCGGGAACTCAACTATCCATCCATCTATCCATCTCAGAGCAAGGCAATCGCTGTGATTTATGGACTGGCGCAGGATTCGCCCTTGCCGATTGAGAGAGAAATTAAATTGCATTTCTCGGTTGCAGACCAATCAAGCCAGCACACAAATCAAATTGCATTTGTTTGTCCTTTGGAAAAACAGACGCCCACCAGCAGTTGGCTGGTACTCGCCAATGGCATAATTTATCGGCTGACTTGGCCTCGCGGGAAGGGCTCCTCTGTGATCAGAGCAGCTCAAGGGATTTCCCACTAAATGTCAAGGTTAAACGCCTCGGCCACTTCAAATGCAATCAGCACCGCCGCTTGTTTCGTCCGCCGCAAAAGTTTCCTGTTCGGAAGGACAAAAACGAGGACGAGGTGGTGTGTTCCCTGTCCAAGTCCCTCAAGCCACGTCCAAGTGCCTGTCACGCCGCCTCAGTTTGCGGTGTTCCATTGGAATCCTGCTGACGACGACGACGGGCGAAAACTAATTTCAGCACCTGTCCCGGCGATGTAAGCTTCTTGTTCAGTTTCAGTTTCCTTGGTCCAGTGTGAGGGCGATATTTATAGCCGCATGCAAAACTGCCAACTTTGTTAGCCGCTTCCGTTTTCCTTGGCCCAAAAACAGGGGCGAGGTTGAACGAAATGATGTGGGTGTTTGCTGGTCTTGATACCAATTACTTGGTAATTCGAAATTATTAAGTTATGCCGATTAAGCTGTTGGTATTAATGGCTTGCGCTGGAGTACATTTTGTAGGTTACCAAATAATTGGCAATTAGATTGTGAGATTATTTTTCCCTTAAGTTCGAATATCTGTAACCAGTTTTTATAACCAAACAATCTGTTCATATTGTTAATCAGAAAGAAAAATCCCCCTAAGGCTCTACAAATTCCGCCACTGTCCCAACATTAGGTTTCCTCATCGCTGGCAAACAGCACGCCGGAAGCGTTTGCTACGTGGCGTCGGCTGTCAAGTGGCCACGGATTTGGGGCACGTTGAGTTTCTGGTCAGTCGGAGAGCTCGGCAAAGCCGCCAAATCCGCAGGAAGGAGCCGAGAAGGGAAAGTGGGGGCCATTAGGCGAGCTGTCAGTGTAAACGTTCCTTGTTTATTTAGTGGCCGTTCTTTTGCGCTTTTTACAGCTCACACATACCTACGATTTTAGCCGGGATACTCGTTCATATGTGTGTGTGTGCATTTATCCAGGCATTTCATGGGCTCTCGTGACCAGTAATTGCTCTTCTTTCTTGGCCCAATGTTTGCATGGTCTACTTTGCTGGCTTAATCAAATATTACGGCCGTACGGACACACACACACATCTGATCCGTCCGGATGCAGTGGTCGGCAGATGGACCCTCCTTGCCATTTCGCCATCTCGCTTCGGAAATTAATTGCTTCCTGGCGTTAGTTCATTGACCATGCGGTGCTCCGTGGAATGTCCCCTGGCTGAGTCTTCAATTTGTACCCGCTTAATCCCCAATTAGTCCTCTGGGGCAGCACTGATAATTTATTTTCTTAATGTGCCAGTCAGGGGAACGGCTTTTACGTTTAAACAATTAAAATTCGTTATTTCGAATGAGCTTTAAGGATTTTTATAATATATAAATTGAGATAAAAAGTCTTCTCTTAACTAATAATAGTCAGACGTTTTTAGAGAAGATCCTATTATGGTTTTGGTAAGAAAATCTTTCAAAACTTTAATCTTTTAAGCCATGTGTGGATATGTTTTCTCATTAAGGACTGCACAAAAAATAGTATCCTTTCTGCTGCTTGAAATTTTGCAATATCCTTAGCCTGCACACTGACTGCAATTTGTCTTCTTGTGCTGAAACTTTTGTGTCGAAAATCGCAAAATATTTTCCTATCCGTGGCTGTCGTCTGTCTGGCTCACTTATTTGTTGGTTTTTGTCAAGCATTTGCATAGAATACGTCTGACTTTGGCCCACAGAATGCCGTGCAAAACGAAAATAGCTTTACAATGCGGCTTTATTGAGCTCGTTGTTGTTGTCAACGATGTTGTTGTTGTTGTTGTTGTTGTTGTGGCATCTTCTCATTAAACTTTTTGCGTCTGCAGATGAAAAGTGCCTGCGACTTATCGACAACGGGACATCATCGCACTGAACACTCAAAGTTTACTTCTTTGCTCCTGCCGATTGTATCCTTCGTCCTCCTTGTTCATAAACAAAAGTCATTTCAGCACTTCTTCTTCGCTCTTGATACCCCGTAGTAATAGGGGGATAAGTACTATGTGTGTTTGAGCAAAGGAAGTAGGATTCTACCTAAATTTGATATTACCTTTAAAATGCATGCAGATCAAGTCCTAAATTTATTTACATGCCGGAAAGTAGGCAACGTGCGGTATTCAATAGTCGAAGCCCTCACATGCTGACTTCTCACTTGCTTAGCTGTGAACTCATTACGGCCACGCCCACAGACTACATGCCGCCCCCAAAAAACGAGGGAGCATGTGTGTGTCTTGGAAACTTTTCCTATATAAATTACCAGCTTGGGGCGCATCGCAGGCGATGAGAACGACATTTTTAGCACGATGCATGAGCGAAGGGCTGCTTTTTGTTGCCTCGTTTGCTTACTAATAATGTCGCCAGCAGAAGCGCAAAAAAGGGGGATTCACCAGCGAAGGATATTCAGTGACAGAAGCTGCTAGCAGGGAGCTGGAATCCAGTTGGCGGGAGAGCTCATACGCAACGTATGCCGCCACGTGGCGGATGCCTTTTGTCTGAAAGACCCGTCCAAAGAAATTGAATTTGGCCACGATGTAACTCAATTCACACGCCACACTGCAAGCGTTCCAACTTCACAGCTTCCCGGACAGATAGGAGACGAATCAATTGAATTGGAGACGTCAGCGACTTTAGATTTCTGGCAGGTGGTGGTGGAGATTGAAAATAAATGTGTAAAAAATATGCCATATATTTCTATCCAGCAGATACTGTGGTCTTTGGTATTTAAGAGTGAGCTTTCTGAAAGAAGCAATCCAAGTCAGCCCCTTATAGAACTTCATTCAGTAGTAGTTATTCTGGTTTTTCACTGACTATTCGAGGCAATACACCGAAGAAACAATAACAAATAACAAAAATGTCTTTGCGCTATCGCCTGTCCCAAATGTTAGCCAGCTCGTGTATATCGCGATCCACTGTGACCGAGAGCATGGCCAAGTTAGCGATCATCAATTTGGACGATTTCGATAGAACAGAACGACCGGCGATTAAGGCTCTGCTGGCGGTCGAGGAGCAGTTCCGCATTTACTTCCACTCAAATCGGAAGGAGCTGGAACTGCAGAGGATTGCAGCAGATACCTTAAACAAGATAATCCAGCGTTACAAGATTGTCACGCAGATGGAGATCCAAAGCTTTAGTCCGCAAACCTACGAGTTCGAGTCGGAGGAGGTGATCATCAATAAGTATTACATGCACTACCAGGTGATCAGCTGTTCTAACAAGAGCCAGCGTAGGGACATCGACCGCATGCGTTCATTTGTCCTTAACTTCCGGCGCGCATCCGGTCGGTTGAATATGGATTCGGAGAGTCTTCTTATCTTGGGCGACGCCTTTCACAAGCCGTTCAAGTTCTTCATGGACTTGGTGGAAGTGCTCTTCGCATACTTTTATAGCAGTCACCTCCAGCTGGACTGTGCTGCCCGCCTATTGGATCCTTTAGACTTGGAAAGCCTAAAGCACTATCAAAAACTGGTGGCCCCCAACGAAGACTTCGATGATTACTTTTTGTACAACATAAGCTTCTGTAAATGCCTTCGGACTCCGCCGAAGTGCCCTTCGTTTGAAGAGCCAGAGGAGATGGCAGACAAAAGCGCCACTTTCATTGTCCAGGCCAGGAAGAAGCGGTGTGCAAGGCGTCGCGACAAGATGGCCACGCCAAATTGGGAAAGCCATAAAGTGGATCCTCCGTCGATTAGTAGTGGCCGTAATCCAAGCGATTTGGATACAATAAATGTGATTCAACAATCGAACTTGGAATCATACTCGGGTCAACTGACCTTCATTACCCTCGGCAATGAAATGGCTCGTAAGAATCCACTTTTCCGGAGCCTAGAGTAATTGATTTCTGCGGAGCAATGTGCACCAACTTCTAACGGAGTCTGGCTCGAAAAATCAAAGCCAATGGTTAAAATTTATTTAAAAATTTTTCATGAATTTTTATCTTTACATTTTACGAGAGCTAACTCTTTGTAAGAGAAATAAACAGATCCAAATTGAATTATCTACCCAGAATTCATCTCCCTTTCTTTCACTACTTTCTAGGGGATTTCAAACTTACAACTTGTTAACTAGATGGCTGACTTATTCCGAAAATCAATTAACATATAAGCTAGTTTTCGATTCAGATTGTTAAGAAACGTGATTGAAGAATTCAAAATTCAAAACTGTGGTGGCTCATCTGCAGTCCGCTGAATCCGTCCTATAATATTCTCTTCATCATTTCCTGATATCAGAAACATGAAATCTAGTTGCCATAGTATTTAGAATAGTTTTTAAACAACACACCGAAAACAACACCTTAAAATGGAAATGCGCGATCGACTGTTTCATCTCATGGTAAGCCAGAGCTTCTTGTCACGCTCCACGGTGACTGACAGCGTTGCTCGTTTGGCGATCGTTAAGCTAAACACCTTGGAAGGCATAGAGAAGGCGGTGGTCAAGCGGCTGCTGACTATTGAGGAAAAGTACCGCGGTTACTTCGATAGCTACCAGAAGGAGCTTGCGCTGCAGCGGATCGCTGCCCAGACGCTAAGCCAGCTCATCCACCGCCACCAGATCAACATGCAGGTGGACACCAGCTGCTTGTGCCCCAATACCTACGAAATTGAGTCGGAGGACGCGCTAATCCAGAAGTTCTACCTGCACTACCAGGTGATTGACAGATCCAATAACAACCAGATTTGGGCCCTACAAACCTTGCGTCCTTATGTCCTGATGTTCCGGCGGGAGTGTGCCAAGTTGGATCTGCATGAGAAGAGTGCGTTTATCCAGGGCGACGGTTTACACAAGCCGATCAAGTTCTTCATAGACTTGGTGGAAGAGCTCTTCGCGTACTTCTACAGTAGTCACCTCCAGCTGGACTGTGCTGCCCAGCTGTTGGACCCTATGGACTTGGATAGCATGTTGTACTACCAGAAGCTATTGGCCCCCAACGAGGACTTCGATGAGTATTTTTTGCACAACATGACCTACTGCAAGTGCCTGCGAGTGCCGGCCAAGTGTCCGCCGTACGAGTGTAATGTGAAGTTAAGGGGGCAGACCTATATTACACAGGCCAAGAAGAAGCGGTGTGCCAGGCGTTGTGCCCAGATGGCTAATGACGAAGTCGAGACTCCGAAGCAGGGATGCATTGCAACAGAACGTAAAGGGTCCATCGTCAGCACTCGCAGCGAGAGGGACGGCCGCCCGTACCAGTCGGGAGTTGAATCAAGAACCTTCTACGGAAAGTGTGCGGTCTCGCAGTGAGCGGTCTCTGTCCAAACGGCTGTTGTACGCCATCAAGGTGTAGGATCTCTCGTCTCTGGCTGCATAAGTCTGAATTAGGCAAACTTAAATAGTAAATAGTAATCAGGCAATTAACCAACCGAAAAGCACGTGATTGCGTTCTCGGTTTCTCGGAAATGTCTGCGGAAGTGCAGCAAAGTTATCCCCCCCCTGCCCTTTGGATATTTGCTGCACGCAAGTTGCAAGAGTTGCTTACTGCACTTCAAAGTGATTTTGGAGATGTTTTTGCAGTCGGTGCGGCATCCAAACAAATTCGATTTCGAGAGACTTCCCACTGGGCACATTTGGTACTCAAAGAGGCTTAATTAAAAGCAAACTAAAGTTTTCATTTCAATCAAGTGGATCTCTTCAAAAATTGTTTCCGAGTAAGTTGAAATCGAGATTTAAGGATTGCAAAGACTTCAAGTTAAATCTTAAGGTTAATAAATTTGTTGTTGAATATAAAAAAATACAATTTAAAAGCACTTAACTTGTTTGTTGGCTATTTTTTTTTAACGTGTTTTAAGTTTATTTAAGATTTAGTAATTAGGAAGAGTTTTGCTGAAGGGTAATGATGGAGTCCATACGCTCCAAGTTCGATACCATACAAACCATTTGCTCACCTAATAAATAATATTCTGATTTGCCAAAGTGCTTTCGCAAATTAAAGATGACATTCTAATATCGCAGAACAGGCTTCTTGCATGTGCGTGTCTGGCAAATGGACTAAATGTCGACGTTCGCCGCTTATTTATAGTAAAAAACGTGCATTTAATGAAAACTATAAACTATAAGCTATAAATAAATAAGCAACTTTTGCCAGTGACGACGGGCAGATGCAAATGCTAAAGCTAAATTTGTGCCGCATGGCTGCTTTCCAAGCGCATTACGTATACGCAGTGTACTCACCGATCTGGCGCCGGAGGTGATGCGGGCGCTCTGGGAGCGCGTGGCCGGCCGGCGTCGACGGTAACCGGGTGTACCGCCCTCGGGTGTGGCACTGCCAGAGGCGCCGGGCATCCCATGGATGACCGTCTCGATGCTAGCACCTGTGGCACAAATAGAGGCGCTCCTCGTCTTCTTCTGCATGCGATGATGCATCGGGGAGATGTCGTCCACCATGGCGAATGGTCTCGGTTTTCGGTATCGGTCTCAGTCTCCTTTGTTCGCCGAATGGTCCCTCCTGGGAAATTTTTGGGTGACTTCTGGTCTGCGGCTGATAGTGGTCTGGTGGTCTCCGAAACGAGTGTTTGGCCAAGTCTAGGGGATTCTACTTGTGTGCATTAAGCAGTTCGTGCTGTGGTTCTAGTTGCTCTATTTTACTGCTGTGGATGCTTTGTTGCATAATTCATAATCTGAGTTTTGGATGGTGTGTGACTTTTTGTTTGTGGTGCACTCTGCAAATAAATCGTGGCAAGCAAAAGAAACGAATGCAGAAAACATTTAAATGAATTTCTCAAATCAAAATTACACTTTTTCTCGAATATTTTCGGTTGTGACGTGACCAAGTTTTTTTTTTTTTTTTTTTTACAGAAATAACCCAAAGAAATATATTTTCGAAAAGCAAAAGTGAGCAACGAAAAGCGAATTTCATCTGCGTTCTACTATACAAGATTGTATTTGTAACAACATGCAACATAATTTGCTGTGTGATTTTTCATTTCGCCAGCAGCCATTAAACATAAAATTCCTCTGTTTGTTTCTCCAACCCCGACCACTTTCGATTTATTTTTAAACGTGCCTCACGCGTCTCTCTCAGAACAGAAACTGGGTCAGCTCTGGCAGTAGTTGGCCAGAGCCCATTCGCATTTTCAGTGGACACCCCGAAAGCGACAAATTGCAACAAGCAAACTCGAAATCTATTCAAAGGGGCAAAGCCTTTGGGAATTGTGGTTTCCATCGAGCTTGTGTAAGGTTTGAGGTGACTGTTATGTGTTTTGGTTATGCATGGGTTTGGTTTTCTCTATTTTGATTGGATTACTAAAATGGTTGATAAGGGATTTTGGTTTCTATTGGGCTTGAGTTTGTTTTTTATTTATTTTATTATTTATGGGGATATTTTATTAAATTTATTATCGAAGTCAGCAGCCAGCATCTTAGCCTCTCGAAATGGTTATTTTTGAACAGCTTTTTAAACCTTTTCTTGAGATTGTTCCACCTCACATTACCTCAAGTTGCTGATAAAATCTTTCTGTAAAATCTGTAAAATCTTTCCTTAATTTAAAAACTTTCCTTTTATTTCCGTTTCCCTTTAAAAAATAAAGAAACAGATTCATATTCGAAGTTCTTGCTGAAAGATTCCCAAAATATCCCCTCAGACCATTCACTTTCATAACAAATTGTGTTTGGATTCACTTGATCTTGTTGCGAAGATCTGAAGAGTCCGATAATCACGTAATTCCCAGGGTCTAAAAATACATTTCCCAATATCGGCTTCAGTTTGTAGCACTTGCCACTGGCGTGGCATGTTGAACTCTTTCGTATGGTTTCCAAAGGAGAAGAACGTTTCACAATTGGGACGTAAATAAAAGCTGGGAAATGTGAAAACGTTCGTCTGGGATTGCGCAAAAAAGAGCTCTTAAAGAGCTCGTAAAAGTTAAATGGCAAATTTAACCTGCAAGCTGCGTTTCTAATGGACACTAATTGCCATTTGCAACGGGAGAGATCCCGGGGCTTTCCGCGAGGGCGAAATGAAATCCATTTCCCAACTGGCCTTAAGCCAAGGCAACTGAAATTGAATTTTCCCGACTGGCGATGGCAGAGTTTTGGAGTGGCAGCTAAGAAGCCTGCGGAGCAGAGCCAGCGGGCCAATCAAAACATATTGGTAATCTACTTAGGCATCCTGTTCGCTCCTTAGACATGCATCATTAGCCGCTCGACCTGGCGGGGCATCCTATTCCTATTCCATTTGCCCGCGCCTGCCCCTGCCTGGTCCTGTAATCGAATTACGCTCTCGCTATCTTTTCATCCGCGCCTGCACTTAAGTGCAGCCAGGACACTTTCCACTTTCTGTTCCCGACAAGCCAACTTGATGAACTTGCAGTTTTTGGCCGCGTTCATCCGAGTGCCTTAAGGTCTCCCTGCTGGGTAATTAACTTGTGCGAGTGATTAAAACATAAATAATTAAAAACGAGCCACCCTTTTTTCGTGCTCAGAAGAACAAAAGATTCGGGCCAAGTCCTCTTGCCAAGTAAATAATGCAAAGGACAAAGGGGAAGAAAGGGGGAGAATAAATACATAAACTTGAAAATGTTTTTCACGCGGCAGCATATGCGTCGACAGCTTGAGATAAGCAGGCCGCGGCACTGAGAAAAAAGCGGGATTTCTTATAAGAAAATTTGGAGATTTTTACAAGCCTTTGCAGCAAGTGAAAGTATTCTTAAAGGAAGAAATGGACTCTTTAAACATTAAATAGATATTTTAGACTTTAATAAAGTAAAGTTTTATTTATATTTGGCAAACAGGGAAAATCCAGCTTGAGGGGAGGTTGGACTCGTTGACTAAAACACGCTTAAAGGGTTGAGAGAACTTTTCTGTGCGACTTTACGCTTGATTTGCCACCTAAACCGAGAATCCAGCGATGCATTACGAGGACACACGAAAAAGGGAAAAGCGAAATGGGTGCCCTGGGATGATTTCAGCTGCTGACCCATTCAGTCGTGCATGAAACTCCTGGCCACATGACGATGAAGTCGTCGCCGTCATCAACGTCGTCGAAGGCTCCTTTGTTAGGAAAAGGATCTGCCTCCTTGCCTTGTTTGCATTCAATTGATGCCGCAGGCTGTCCTGGCTAACAACAACATTGGTAAGAGCCCCTAGTGCGTGTGTGTCCTCCTAATTGGCCGCCGGATGGAGGAGGAGGTGGAGCAGCCACAGTGCCAGGACTAGCCTTTAAAGCTTGTCGCCCTGGCCTGGACTTTGCTATTAATTTTCATTTTTATGTTTATAGACTTTGGCCGGAATTCTGGGCCATATTCGTGGCGTGGGTCGGTGGTCATTTGCCTTTATGGCCTGATATGAGTCGGCCAACTTTTTCGCTCCCTCGTTATCACATGGCCTGTTGCTTAGTTATTAACATAAATATTTTCGCTTCAGTTTTTTTTTTTTTGGTCCGCCCGCGGTTAATCAGGCCACCACCCATCGATGTGGACAGATGATGACAGCTGTGCCCGGTTCCAGGCAACTTAAGCTATCGCAGAAATAAGGCCCAAAAGTGCGTTGCGTTGGCCCACCGATATCACGCCCCTCGCACGCAGCAGCAAAAAAGTCCCCGATAAAGTGTCAACAGATACCGCGTGTATGGCCCAGTGAATCCTGAATGGAACTTGACTGTATATGGGGGGGGTTGTTATGTGAGAGACTGGATGGTTCAAGGTTGGACTGCCACCTGAATACAAAAAAGGGGTGAAAAGAAGGTGAAACAATCAAGAGCAGTTGAGCGGAACTGCAAACAGAATTGATTTAAATGGAAGCTGATTGCGGTCGAGAGTGAATTGGTTTTAAATGTTTAAGTTTATTATAAGCTAAATAAATACAATTATTTCGGGAATATAAAAAAGTATCTGTTAAATTGATTTGCGGCAAAAGTTAATATTTGTACTGGTTCTAAAGATAAAAACAAATAAAGGATAGCATTTGATTTTATTTTCTACTTTTCAAAGCTGAAATTTTGTTAGTTTACAATTTGTAGACACAATTTGTATGGAAACTGTCATCATCAAAACCCCCAAAAAACCTAAAAAATATTAAACTTTTTTTATATACGAATACTAAGCTCTTCTATTAGCTCTTTCAAAGTCAAAACTTGGCTTACTTAACTGGAAATATTCTATTTCAAGGCATATTAAAGGCAGCTCTTAAATACTTTCCTTTCTGCCTGCTAATGTTTATATTATTTTTTTTTCCAGGAAACGTTCGTTTTCATCTTGTTCAACGATGACCCTGGGCCACGCCTCCTTTGTGTGGGAGTTGGTTTGGCCTGTCAGCGGCTTCCTTCAACACGTCCACGTCCTTGTCCGAGTCAGTGTCCATGTTGTTATCCGTGTGGCAGCTCGTGTCGTTGTCATCCGATGTTCGCAGCAGCGTTTGTTTAATGTTTCCCTTTGAGCCTCATCTCACAGCCTAGGCATTTGCTTATTTTCATGGCCAACACCTGTTGCTGCAAAATTAATTTCAATGGGTCCACAGGTTGCCAAGTTGTCTCAAAGGTCGGGGTCGTGTTGGGTTGGGTCACAAGTTGACTTTTTCCCAACGCCTTCCTCATTATTTCTTAGTGCTGATTGGCGACATTAATCCTAAGCCACTGGGAGCACTTTCTTGCTCGGATTTTAGACAAGCTCTATAGCTAAAGCAGAGCTCCATTATTATCATCTTCAGCTGGCAGCTTGTCAACGCAAATGAGCTAAATAAAAGCAAAAAGTTTTTATTGCGCATACGCCACGTTGTCGTTGGTTTTGCTCTAATGGGACAGCGTGTTATTAGCTCGGAGCTGTTTTATTTTCCTCTCCGCTCAGATGAAAACAAATTTGAATGATTAAATAAATTATCCAGCATTTGGCTCTGACAGTGGGGACCGAGCGACCAAAGAATTTTTATGACTAAAACACAAAAAGAACATTTAAAAAATCATGATGAAATTCCTTCACGCCGGGAGATCATCAGCCGATTTTTATTTGTTTTCAGTTTTCAGTTCACCAGCGAGGCAGTCACTTGACACTATCCAAAGATTTTCAAACTGTTTGACATTAATTTATGGCCAGAATGGGTATTTATTTTGTTTTCATTGCCTAAGTGGCCAAACAATCTCTCCCGCTTGCCTTTGATTTCGTGTTTAATGTTCAATAAATCGATGAGGATCCCAAATATAAACAGGGATTGCAGGCTAAAGGCAGGGCAAGCGGCGAGAATGAGCAAAATCTGTTCGGGAATTTATTTTGCTGCAAAGATTTTCCAAATCGTTGGGCAAAATGAAGCTCAAGGGCAGATTATGCCGCTTAATGTTCTGTCTCCTCCGCTGGATTTCTCCTGCCTTCGTGCCATCGTGCCATCTTGCCACTTCTGCCATCCACGAATCCCTGTCTGTTTAGTTTAAACTCGACGTCTTCTACGGTGATTATGACACATGTGGAGGCGGGTGTGTAAGTATGTGGGTGTACCAGGTTGTGTTTATTCCACCTTCGGCTGCTGCCTGCTGTTTACTTCAAGTGGCATTCTTTGGGGGCCTCGTAATGGCTTGTTATTCTCAATTTGGATTCAAATCAAGCCAAGAGTCGGGCCGCCGGCGAAGATGTTTACACAAAAATTCACTTCATTTAGTTTGCGATAGGATAAATAAGGCCCGCGGCAAGCCTCTTTGATGTGTGTGTCATAATTAACTATCGGGGAATGTCCTTAGGTATCTGTTGAACGGCACTTTGGTCTGGAAATAAATTGAGGAAGTTTACGACTTTCCTTTTCTTCTTTTCTTGGTGTCCCCTAATTGGTTTGCATTTGATTTCACATGCTCGCATTCCTGTCCCGTGCTTTGTTCGATTTTATTATGGCAATTCGATTTTCCCAGTTTGGCCGTTCGGGGAATTCCACTTCTTTTGTTAAATCTGCTAAGCCAACTGAGAAATGCTTTTGAAAGTGGAAAATCGAGAAGGGGTAGTCCCAAATAACTCAGAAAAGGACATATTTTTAGGAGCTATCCGTTGCCCAAAAGATGTAATTCAAGTTAAAGTTCTAAGAGGTTGGAAATAGTTAATCTCTCATCATTTTGCCCTATCAAGATCGAATCAAAATTGACCAACCTTTTAACTAGCATAATTTTCCTTCCACTCCATCGATTTCCCTGCGGAACTGGTCGCCTGGAATCAATTGCAAGTTCCTTCTTAGCTATCCATCTATCTGATTTTCAAACTCTTTATGCCATTCTGTTTGCATGGACATTGCTGACCCAGACAGCTGCAATTATGCTCCCCGGAGGTTGGAAAAAGGACAGATCCAGCAGGAAGAACACCCTGTGTCCATCAAAGTGAGCTGGGTAAGGAGAAGGGAAGGAGCTGCCGCCAGGGAAATACATAGAAAAATGGATAAAAAGTTAAGCCAGTCAGGAATTTATTCGCATTTGAACTGCTGTTTGTTTGTCTGTTTGGTCTGGGTCTGGGTTTGAGTTGCTTTCGGTTGCTGGAAGCATTTTAAGTGTGTGCATAAATATTTTCGTTAGTTGTGTCTGCCTGAGGAGGAGTTATGCAGCGGAAATGTGTCCCACTTCACTGCCAGCCCGGCCACTTGGCCCCCACTCCAGTTTCCTGCCCAATTGTCACTGACTGGCACAGGGCCCAGTCACGTTTTTTCTGTTGAACTAAAATGGGAGTTGTGCACAGGGAAAAACTAGATAGATTATATAAATTAAAGATATATTGATGGAGTTTTAAACTGAAATGTCATATAAAAAGTAATCTAAAGGGAAAGACTGTGATTTTCTATATGAAACTCACTAAGTGCCCATTTTTATCTGCTTTAATTATATTATTGCATGTTTTTTTAAGAATTTCTTAGCTCATGTAGGCAATTAATGATTGTGTTCCCCATCAAAGGCAACACCTTTCCCCCAGTGCAGTGCGAGGAACACGGACCTGTCATGTTCATAGCTTCCCCGGGCGTAAAAAGTCCAAAGAGCAATGACAGGGGCGACAACATTTTCGGAGGCTAAGTGGTGGGTTGAGGGTGGCCAGTGGGTGGTGGACAATGCCGCGACCTGGCCGAAAACCGAGTTCAACCTTTTGCTGTATGCGACTGGCATAGTCACGGGTTTTTGCCTCTGATGTTCCTGATGCCAGGTGCAGGCCGAAATGCTTTCAGGATCTCAGCTTTGTTCCCAGGCTCGCCACTTACTGTTCTGGTCGATGTAGTCGGTGCAGCTTTTAATTGAATTTGGAATATTTTTGGCCCAGGGGCCAGAACAATCTGGCCAATCCATTGCGCCCAAGAGCCACGAATTTGGCTATGGCTATGCCCAGATACGACTCCTCCTCCTCCCTCATTGCCAATTAGTGGTGGCTGTTCTCTTGCTCAAACTCTAATGGAATTAGTTGTTAATTTGATTTGCCATAAAAGCAGTCCTTGTCTCCGTTTCCAACCATCCATCCGAATGCGGGTGTGTGTTTGCGGCTACATTTTGTATGAAAACCAATGGATCCGATGGATGCTGCGGAGGCTGCTGACTTCTGGGCGTTGAATATTTAACGCACTGGGCAACGTGGCGTATGAGTGATTTCTGTTTTCCCTTTTTTTTACGATGCCCGATTATCCTGTACCGAAAAAAGTTGTGGAAAATGGGGAAAGGAAATGGGAACTGCTGGGTCTAAGGTAAACAAATCGAACCGCTGCCGGAAACGCGAAAAGTGCCAAGGCACACGACACTTTCGCCGGAGGAGGACAAAAGTTGCCACTTGAGTGTTTCTTTTTTTTTTTTTGGTTAAATATCTATTTGGGTCACGACATTGCAATTAGGCAATTTAATTAATCAAAACAAACCTTTAGTTCGGCTGTTGGCACCTCTGACTAACCCCTCCAGGTAGCAAATTTCAGGAGTCCTCGCTTTCGGCTGGTCACCAAACCCGAACATCCATCCAGCGCGGCTTATGCTGTCTAGGCTGGGGGCACTACTTATGTATTTGATCGATAATTTTGTATAAAAAAACCAGCGGGACGGCCCACTTTATATATAGCCGGATAATTTTTTGCACTTGTTCACTTTCTTTTTCCTTGTTTTCCGTTATTTTTAGATAATGTGAAGTGAAGCCGAAACCGAAACGCACATAATATTTTCTCTCTATTTTTCTAGGTATTTTCCACCATAAAACTCGGGCGTTTCAAACGCAAATACACAGATGCCTTGGCTGTAGTCAGTATATAATATTATTATTTAGATTATTTTCGTACTCTGGGGTTTTCCAAACGCGGGTTTTTCTAATTCGAAACGTCGAAACGGTACGTTGGGCGCCTGGCGATTTTCCAACCGCTTTTCACATCCGATCCGTGCGAGCGCCGTCGAGTGTTTGAAGCGATTTTGGTTCGGTTCGTTTTGGTTCGGTTTGGCCGTTGGTTCGGCGCTTTCAACTGTGACGTCATGGAAAAGCTCTGACACGTCACCGTTAGCTTTTCCGTGCACTCTGCTCGGAGCCTATGACCACCACCACCCGCCCTTTGTTTTCCCCACCATTCGGATTGTTTGTATTTTTTCTTTACGACTTTGCCTTGTTTATCTTTGGCTGTCTCTGCTGACTTTGTTTTGTATGTTCCATCAATGGAGCATAAGGACGGTGGTGCCACCGGGAGTGAAAAGGTGGTGCAAAGTAGGTGGAAAGTGGGTGGCCAATGGGCGGCAAGAAGCTTGAGGATTGCAACGTTTACATCTATTTTTTCGACCCTTTCTCTGGCGTTTCCTTTGTTTTGGTTTTGGTTTTGGTTCTGATTCTGATTCTGCTTCTGTTTCGTTGTTTATAGCCCGTGTTTTCCGTTGGCTCTTTTATTATCCGAAGCGCTGACAGCCAAGCAATATTTAGAACTTGTGACGAGCATTATTCGGCATTTTATTAATGTTTCGATTTCGGTAGAGGACGTGGGGTTTTACCCACTGCTCATGCTTTATTTCCCAATGTATTTACATGTTTGCACAGCAAAAAGTAAAAAGGAAATTAAAATGGTGATTAAAACTGAATGTTTATTCAAATAAATCATTAAATGTTTAAGAAAATTCGTGGTTTTCCATGAATTTGAATTAAAATTTATTGTGATTTAAAGAGATAATAATTCTGTGCCATATTAAGCTACTTTTTACTGTTCCTATACCTCGTTTCCCTCAGTGTACCCCATATATTTCTGCTGGTAAAGTGCTCTCATTTCTCATTTGAATAGATCCAATGGGTATAGCCGTGTGACCCGCGAAACTCTTTCGAGCTGTTCACCTCAACCCAATTTGCAATTACCTAAATGACCAAACACATTTGCCAAATGCAGGAAATGCAAGTGCCAAAAATAGCAACAACAACAAAGGTGGCACCTGCTGCAACTGCGAAATGCAATTAATCTTCAGCGAAACCCGTCCGACAGACCGCAAACAATCTCGTTCAACGCAAACAAATCCCATCTACCTCGCATATGGTTGAAAGTTGGTAATACCTTTTGTATCGTTACAATATGTCAAGTTTTATGATGATTGAGTGAGCGAAGAAGCCGCCCAGCGGAGTGGGAAAATGTTAAAGCTTTGGGGAAAACTCACGCGCAAGGAATCCTTGACTAAAGTCAAATGGTGTCGGCCCTTGAACTGTTTGTTATTGTTCTTGCGGCGGAAGTTTATGTTATGAGTACAGTGGACACTGTCATAACTCAGACTGTAATCTGGGAGATAGTAAAATGACAAATTGGAAAGCTATATTGGAAATTTAACTAAGGTTGCTTACACTGAAGTTGACCTATAATATCACTTTAAAGTCTTTTTGGAAATGAAACTTCTAAAACACCTTCATTATAGACATTATATTGGCACTCTCTATTTATTACTCTTCAGGAATATTAATATCCGAAATATGAAGTAATGGTGTGATGACTGTGTTATTGTTTCTGATGTTGTTGTGGCTGCCCCTGCCACGTGGCTGAATACGTTGGCCTATATCTTATCAACATAGAGGGTGTGCTTGTGTGGCATATTATCATAAGCCATGATTTATTTATAGAGGCAACCAGGTGGCCCACACCCATGCACCAATTCGTATTCGTATTCGTATATATTGCCTTTGTCCTCGCTCAAGTTCGGAGAGAGCTGTCAATTGATTTACTTGACCCACATGGGCAAAAAGCGCCACTCCCACCAAGCCCAACAGCCAAACAGCCCACCAACCCACCACCCTTAATACTTTCGTGCGGTTTCCCGCCTTTTCACTAATGCGATCAATATTTGGCAGATAAAAAGCGGGCAAAGGCAAAAGTTGGTCATGCCGGTGGTGACCCACAAAAAAAAAAAAGAAAAACGGTTTAAAGCTCGCTTAAAGGCCAATTGTTGCGCCTGACGGGGGATAAGAAGCGAAGAGCCCTCAGGTGTTGGTCAATTAGAAGAAAATTCATTTTCGCGGATTTCCCGGCAAACGAAAATTTATGTTAATTTATTTCGAAAAAACTTTTTAATTAACCCACAAAACAGAGGATTCAGACCGCGCGTCCCAAGTTTTGGTGTTGCCACCAAGTGGCGACTTGCCACCGAATATACTATATACATTCAGTATCTGTATTATCTGTATCTTCCGCTTGCTGTTTGCCGCTTTAATCTAGCTAATCTATGCAAATGAAATGCGCACACCTGTCGACCAGAAAGGTGGGGCAATATGAAAGGGAACTTTTCCCAGCTGTCTGCTGTGGCTTTCCTGGTCGCTTTGAGCTTGTTTTTTGGCTACAATTTCCCTCAACTTGGCTCGCCGCAAACTCTTAATTGCAGCCTAAGGGCTGTGGGTAAGTGTATAATAAGGAGCTTTTGGATTCGGTGAAAAGAAAAACATGTGGACTGGTGTCACACCGAATGGAGCTGTTGCTAATGATATTCATGAGTTTGTCTTTGGTTTGGCTATTTTCATTCGAAATCAGGACAGCTAAGGATAAGGCAGGGAGACTTCAGTAGTACCAAATTAGTTTGTTTTTATTATGGGAGAAGGAAATTAAACTTTAAGAAGGAAGTTTTTGACAAGAAACGTTGCGCTAACAAGGACTCTTTTATTATTCAATTTTACCTTTTAACAGTTTGGCTTATTAAAGCTCTAACTTTAGCTGATGCTAGGTTAATGACTTAATCAAGAACTCGCTGCTGAAACGAAACATAAATCTAGTTTATGACAAAGTACATAACTTTCGTAGTATTTCAAGGAGTCATTCTAAAATGTTTATGTATTTCTGAACAAGCCTGATATTTGGTAAGCAGAGTGAAGTTAATAGCTGTCAAACTGGGCTATACATTTCCCAGGGCTACCATCTATCCCCGCCCCCCAAAGTGTGCCCATTTCCATTTCCATATCCCGCACTAAGCAAACATCATCGCGGTCGGGGGAATCCCTTCCATCTTCCACTCGACGCGTTGCGTGGCGCAAAGTGAAAGATAAATGGAGGCTGTAAAAGCAGAGCACTTCGCACGAAGCTCTACGGGATCGGGGTAAAAAGAGGAGAGAAGCCACTTTATCATAAACTCAACAGGTTCGAATCCTTCACCCACTTCCCCTCTACGCCCCTTCGTATATGTGTGTTGCCATAAAAGTTGCTGCGCTGATTGAATAAAAATTTCATTAAACGCACATTTTCTAGCAGCTTGAAGGCGTTCCGTCTCCGATCCATCTGAAAATCCTTTGGAGGGACTAGAGATGAGCTGAAGGAGCGATGGCCCAAGGCAGCTTTGGCTCGTCTGTCGTTTATTTTAATTGCCGGCATTAGACGTTCGTTGATAGGCCATAAAAAAGCAGTTGGCTCGACGGCAGCCGTCAAAGACAAAATGGGAGATGTATCTCTAGAGAATTATTGGCAAGCTGATAGATACTCTCTTTGAGGTTGGGAGGGTGAAAACCTTTCAAAACGCATGCAAAATTATACATTCCTGATCAGCCCAAAGGTATTTCTCGGCTTCAGCTTTAGATTTCCCTTCTCGCTTTTTGTTTTACGCGCCTCGTCGGCTTCATTTCCGTTTGGAAAAGTGCGGGGTTGAAGGTTGGGAGAAGGCGATGGGACATTGTCATTCTGCTTTTGCGGTTGCTTATTCGGTTGTTAAATCGTTTTTATGACGTATTCTCCGCCGCCGAAAATTTACGCTCTGCGGTTAACTTTTCCCTTAGCATTTCCCGCCCTCATTTTCCATTTTCCTGTGCACCTCACCCCGTGCGAATCTCGGGCATTACTCAACCGTCTGTGTTAAGCTTTCGAGTGTTTGGGTAATTTCACAGATTTATGCAACTTTTTGGCGGGTAAAGGAGAATAAAAATAAGGAAAGAAGTGGAGTGATGGGTGAAGATTTATCCCTCGTCTGCCAATTTTCTGAAGAAATGGTTTTATAGTTATTCTTGAATTAATCCAACATTCCCCTTAGCTACTTTGTTATACTTTAACTCTGACCACCATTGAACTTGTTATTCAAGCTTATCGTTGTTAATAGTTTGTACAACGCCTAGCTTTGCATCCTAGGTCTTTAAGGAGCATCCTCCCTTAAGTATGCAATATATTTTGTAACAGGTAACAGGTGACAGCTCAATGAAAGTGATTTTTTAAAGATTTGTTTTAATATATTTTTATGTCAATCTCATTTAAAAAATATTTTTTACCTTATTGTTTAATATTATTTAGATTTTTAAGCTATAGAAACTTTATAATTATGTCAGCACTGCCAAGCTTATTTACACGTTAGTGTAAAATGGTATGTAGAAAAGCGCCCTCTAGTCATATGCCCGCCGTTTGAAGATGTCAAGTCGCTGTTAATGTGAACAGTGAACAATTTTAGAAAGTAAATGGTTTTTAATTTTTAATGACTTAAAAGATAATTTTACAATAAAAATGGGGCAGTGAACTTTTTTGGAATTCTTATTCTAATATGTTCCTGATTTCCCAGTAATACATACATACATATGCTGTAAATTATGTTTCCCCTCAAACGCTAACTTAACAGTAAAATAACATAATGTTATGTGCATAGAACTAAAAACAGGGAAACCATTTTTAGCTTAGACACTTTTCTAGCAGAGCCAAAATCGGGGACGCACACCATTAAATTTGAATATGAATTTTGGCAGTTGTGTTCTAAAACGAATCTGAATCATAACGAGTCGTTATTAACGACTTTTTATGGTGGTTTCTGAGATGGTTCAAATGACAAGGATCCAAGACAATTATTAAAATCCAATTTTCAAAATGTTGAAGTAATGACTCCTATAACTAATGTCATGGCGACATCTTTTGTCTCTGGCAAATTATTTGCACCATGGCAACTCAAATAGAGCGAAAAACAATACTAATACCTGGAA